TTCAGTTGACAAACTTTTCAAATTTAAAACCTGCTGACTTTGTACAAAAGGAGTGTGCCACTGTAACTTTGTGCTTTGAATTTTTATTTTGTTGCACTACACAACCTTCAGGAACCCACTTATTCTCTAAGGCTGGTGGTGAAAATTATACGTGACATCTTAAAACTTCATTATTCTCACTGCTGCTTCTCGAACCGCAGCCATTTATCTATTTATAAACCCACAAAGGCTTAGAGTGTGTAACAGCTGCACTAAGCTGTGCTTCTCTTCAGTATGTTTCTGCGCAGAGGTCCGCGCTTGTACTGAGATTTATTACAACGCGCCACGCATACAATTTTGTACAAACCACACTGAATTAAAGTAGTGTCAATATTGGGATAAGATTCATCATAGGGACAAAAACGCTGGTCAAATCTGGTATTTCCATGTTTAAGGATGACTGATAAAAGCCCTGCTTGTTCATTTCAATACCCGAAAACTGTGTTCATGCAGCGAGTTCCTCGTGATCTGAAGTGACCATATTGACGTTGCCAAAAGAAAGCCGCCTTAAATCTGTAATTGCGGCCTGTGACCACAGTGGTCACTAGAAAAAGCTTTGTGTCTGAAATCAGTCCCTGGCTCGCTCATGCAATGGCCCACTAAACGAAGCCACACCGAGATGGAATAACTTCACGCTGTGCTCAGGTACACAAACCCCCCCTAAATGCTCACATAGCAAATGGCTGTTTGCCTTTATATTGATGCTCTGCATTTGAACATTAATACCTTTAGCTGTAGCGAAGTGATCATTTTAATTCATAACATACCGCATGTCATGAGCCTCTTTCATGGCTCTTAAAAAGCGTAGTTTAAAGGGTTTAACATTTAGGCAGCTAAATACTGAGACAAACAGTGCAACATGCGCTCTGATTACCGGGAAAGACTCCCAAGTTTAAACTACTTTACTTGCTTTTTAGTCGGCCGTCGATGGAACATTGTCTTTGACGGATGTTCTTCTGCCGTTTTAAAGGGCTTCTTCTGTGCCACAGTCAAGAGGCTGAGTAGTTCGGGTACATTGTTTTAGTCTTCACACGACATTTCCCTGCAAAGACTTGCATGTAAAAATGGGTTCATTGTGTTTTCTCTGTTGATGCGTTCACACTGACTCAACGCACCGAAAGCCGGGGCTTATTGGGCATACTCCCATATTACCGTTGTTTGGCTTGAAATCCACCAAAGGGTTATGTACTCTGGAAATGGATGTCATTCAGATATGTCTTACTCTGCTCGTGCTTTGTTGTAACGACCATCACAGGAAAAGAGAAAGTGCATCCGTGCATCACCTTTAGTAGTTCCTGTTTTTATGGCCTTTTGAAATCAATGCGCCATGCAGCACTCTCCACTTTGCTGCCCAGTGTGTATGATGATGATGATGATGATGATGATGCATATAGTCAGCGGCCTGTGATTGGACAAACACTTTTATATTCTCCCGTACTATTACCTGGTTTTATTGTCTGATTTAATGTGTTTTAAATGCTGTCAGTCACTGCGTCTTTTTGTTATCGACCCTCTTCTCTCTACATCACTCCACGTCCCCGCTTCTTTTCATCTGCTCTCAACATCAACCCTCTTTTTTTCCTTTGCATCTCCCACTCCTCTCCCACTTTCTCATTCTCCTTCCCCCTCTCTCTCTCCATCTCTCTCTCTCCATCTCTCTCTCTCCTTGCTGTTTTGATTGTGACGCAGTTATTAGGCTGTCAATTCTAATCTTGTCTTGCCAGAGCAGTGCTGTCCATTCAGAATTACTGCGACCCCCCTCCTCCCTATCTGTCTCCCCACATCCACCAGCCTTCAGACAACAGAAACGCTGATGGGATGAGCAAGCTCCGGCTGACTCTGGATATCAGTCTTCCTCTTATAAATTACCTGTGTACAAAATATATTTAGACCGCACTGCTCTGTACAGGACATGGTGGTCTTACATAGCAACACAGGTGTCCTAAATGAAGAGGAATTTATACTTCATATACTTTAATGTCATTGCACCTCAAATCCTTCTCTGCACAGACAACAATTTGCAATATATTTTGTGTACCGCCATGTGCCAACTGCTGGCATCAACTATTAAGCTCAAATTCACAATATTGTGTAAACATCATTGATAAAAAAACAGGTTTCTACATCAAAGTTAGCAGAGTTCTCATGTTTTGATTTTGTTATAGTCTGGATTTGTTTGTCAAAAGGGAAAAATGTTTTGTACATTTTCGGAAGTTCTGTAATTCACAAAGAAAGTAAATGGCATTTTTTAAATCTGAAAAGAACATTAACCAGCTAAAGAAAAGCTAGAGAAGCAAAAGAAGACAATGACCTAAAACAGACCCCTGCAAGTTGTGCGCTTTATGTACTGAAATGAAATTTGACATCATGTCACTTTATGGAATCTTCAGCACAACTACGGGAACACAAGACAGGAGATAAATGTCCAGAGGTCCAGAATACAGATTTTAGACCCCAGGATGTAGTGTCAGAGGATCAAAATCAAACTTTACAGACTCATGATTTGGCATCAGCAGTCACACAGAGAGAAAGAAATCCAATGTGGAAAAGGACCAGATAACCAATCTCTCCTCTGACACAATCAGAAAATAGATCAGAATGCAGTGCAGCCGCAATATGGTGCGTTGTGAATAAGGGATGTGAATCCCAGCTGTCATATTCATTACTGCTCTCTGCTCAGGCATTTGAAAACCGATGAAAATAAGCTTGTTATAGCAGATATGTTGTTTATCCATTAGCAATAATTTTCCAAGCCAGCATAACTAAAATAACCAATGGTTCCAAAATATAATGGATATTTAATGACATTCCTAGATACACAGTAAATTATAATATTATAATATATAAAAATAATAATAATATATACAGTATAAATATATATGCATATGTATTCATTGTGTATATATATATACATCAATGTTAAGCCATCTGTTTTGTTTTCAGTCTTTTGGGGTAATTCATATTTCTTCTGGCCTCCTATAACTCCACAAACATGAACAATGAGAGAGGAAAATAAATGAATAAAATAATATGCCCCTTGCTCCCCTTGTTGATTGTGTGTAGCTGCAAGCTGTTGTGTGCTATTGCTTCTTCCTCTGTATGAATACATATGAATTTTCCTGAAGATTATTTAGCCTTCTTTTTTTTCTTCTTCTTTTTTTTGTCATTCCATTAGCTCTACCTTCAGTTTATTCTATTTTCTACTTCAAAGGCTTGAGTGGAACAGATGTCGTTTCAAATGCATGTCTTCTGCCTCATTGCCTAAAAGTGAGGGATGATTATTTTTTAATGAAACCAGGCGTAGTCACAAAAAAATGAACAATACCTGTAAGCTGTGAAATAGACAAGCAATACTTTTGCATCACCCGAAATGAGAACATCCATTCATTTCCGCACATCACAAAAGCCATTTTGAAGTTTTTCTTTAGCTGCCAAATGTGCCCCCGGACCTTGAATTTTGATCAGTTAATTTCATGCTGTGCAGAATGCAGTGTGTTGTTTGGCTGCAAATGCTTCGCTGAAACAATGTAATTTTCAAAGGCAGTCATTTCCTGTTTTCCAATTGACAGTCAAAAGAAAAAACATGGCTGTTGCTTAATCCCGTGATAAGTATGCATTAGATGGATGCGAACGCCTTTAAATGTCCTCAAGTTGCTGTTTGATACGTGCGCGGGGACAAATCTTTTTCATGCTCCCTGCTGAGTTTTAACACTGAAACCCAGGATCAGCGGATTATGAAAGAGAATTTTGAAAGCTGTTTTTCTAAAATGCAACTTGATGAAATAGGAACTCTGCTTGGATATGGGCAGTTCACGCTCACAGTCAAAGCTAATATTTGAATAACTCTCAATACCCCCGACATATAAATAGTGCACATAAACATACTTCATTTCGCATAATACCAGTGTACATCATTATATATTCAGTCTTTCATTATATCTTCTATTATACGGGTGGAAATTGGATTGTTATTTCCTGCCTTTATAGCAACCAAGATATTTTGCTGATGTTCCAGTGATACTAATGGCAACATCAAGCCGTCACCTTTTCCTCGCCATCCTCCCTCAGCTGCACCTCTCTTCTCTCTCTTTCTCCTTATCTTCCTCTCGCTCACTCCGCGCTCCCTTCCCCTCCCTTCCTCTCCCTCCTCTCCCTCCTCTCCCGTGCTTGATGTGTTCTCTCCTCAGCAAAGAAGGAAATTTCCATATAGAATCACAACCAGGATCAGGTGACCTGGATTTGACTCCTCGTCAAAGCCCTGCGCAGAAAATGAAAATGTATTCATGTGTATTTGATCGAGTACATCACACAGATGTGAGCCGTTTTTGCCTGGTGAAAATATAGTGAGATTGCAGTGTGTTATTGTTGACAACCCAACTGGGTACTTCGTATAATAAATACAGATTTAATCTTTATTTTGTTATGGTTTCCTTAGAGTGTCGAATTGTTTGTGAACTACATGAAAGGGGAAAAAAAAAAAAAGAATAAGAGCAAACCTGAAAATACACGTGTGAATCCACCAAGTTAGCTAATAAAGTGATAGCAACATAAAATGAGCTCAGGACTCCTGAACCGCACCTCCCTGCCCCCCTCAGAGGACAACCTGTCTCACGGACGTCCTGTTAGTCTTCATTCGCCCGTGTCCGTAAATTGATCTGTTTTCTCCTTTCAGAACAAGCTGCAGCTGCTCTTCGTAGAACTGCTTTAACCCTCCTTTTTCAGCGCTAATTGAATGTTCTAGTTGGCTCTTTTCATTCATGCTCGGCGTCATTACTTAATTCTGATGGGTTTCATACGTTAAACATTGTGGGAATCAACAGTATCTTATCCAGTCACTGCATCGTGCCTATAAATTCAATGAAAGCTCCAGAAAAAGAGTTATTCTCATCAACTGATTTATGACCAGCAATGTCTCTTTTCCTCTGGTCTCCCCCTCTTCCCATCGCTCCTTCCGCCTCCAGATAAGCAGTGAGAAGCGGGCCTCAGCAGAAATGATGAAGCCCAAACCCAAGCCTCAGAAGAAGAAGAAGAAGAAGGACCCCAACGAGCCACAGAAGCCTGTGTCTGCCTATGCTCTCTTCTTCAGAGACACCCAGGCAGCCATCAAGGGGCAAAATCCCAATGCCACCTTCGGTGACGTCTCCAAGATAGTTGCGTCCATGTGGGACAGCCTAGGAGAGGAACAGAAGCAGGTACGAAACAGACGTTGAATGAAACTATAAAAGGGATGAAGAAACACGGCAATTTGTAACAGATGTGATGAAAAAAAACACCCCATTAAGATACGTGTTGTAAATCAGAAAAATTAAGTGGAAGGCACAACCATCATTTCCACATTTGACCTATTTTTTCCTCATACAGTGTCTATTTTTACACTGAACATGTTATACACACAAAGGAATAATTGCACATGAATGCAAATACACTGACACTCACACATATACAATACTATGCAGGTATTTTCATCTAACCAGTAGATGGCAGGTGTGCTGCATCCTTTCCCTGCCCATATTCGCTATGGACCAGAACATTGCTGTGAGATACAGCTCACCTTAATGAGCTAGTTCTTCTCTTTCTAAAGATAATCCATCCGTTTATCCCCAGTCCCCTGACTCTCATGAAAATGATTTTTCTTTCTGAATTTAATTCTAACAAAGGGGAGGAGGGGACGGGTGGGGGAGCATTCTGTGCAACGGCAGCTGTAAAACAGTCCGAGACTACCAGAGGTTGGGCATTTTGCAGGCAAAAAATCAGGTCAATATGGGAAAAATGGAAACACAGTTGGGCAGATCTCAGGAGTTCCTGTGAACCTCCAGCTTTAATAGCGGATGCCTCAACACCATGCATCTCCCTTGGTCCTCTGACAAGCAGAGATGTGTGAACTTCTCATTTCCACCCTCCTTATTTATATCTCTTGCCTGCTATTTTGATCCTGCCTAGAATACAAAACAAGTGACCCACCCCCCTCCTTCACTATCCCCTCGTCCTTGGATTTAGCTCAAGGGCATCTCGGCTGTCCAGTAAGAGTGGTCTATTGTCTTTGTAGCTACTTAGCGTCAACTCCAGCGCAAAAGTAATATGCTAATGATGACAGAGTCATCGGGGGTCATGGCGCTTTGTGTTATGGGTATTCAACTGAAAGATAAACTACATTTTTTAGCTTATTTGAGCAATTATCAGTTTTCTTGGGACAAGTAAGGTTTACTTTTCAGAAAGGATGTTGTGGGAAGGCGGTAGTCCCGTATGTGATATTTTCGAAACGGTTCCTTCTGGAGCATCAGGCTGAACATGCAGCACACAAAAATAGGACAGACCGAATTAATGTATAAAGAAACAATAGCTGGCATCATCAAATTGGCAATTATTTCTTTGATCAGATGCTTACTGATTTAATCCCAATTTTAGTGTTGTGTTAAGACAAAATTTTAAAAGCTTTGCTCCCTTTGAATAATGGGTAAGGCATCGATAAAAAATATATATTTTGGTACCTGAACCAGTGCTTGCATCAGCACGTATAAAATAAGATCATGTTGAGCCCTCCACAAAGAGTACAGTGCATGGACATTTTGATGTCTGACGGACAAACATACTTCGCTCTCCTTTTTGTTTTGCGTAATAGACATAATTATACCTATAGCTCTTATAACTAATAGCCCCATTTCAGACTCTCTACATCCCGTACAGACAATGCCTGCAAAAAGAATATCTGCATGCAAAAACACATCCATAGAAGCCCACATTGTTAATGGAAACACACTAAGAGCATCCTAACACTACAGCAGCACTTGTTTGTGTGGCAACAGACGTCTGTATATCAAACATTACAATATGAAAGACAGTTTCAAACAGAACTCGCATACAGGCAGGGATCGCATCCTAATGTGCCACCATTCTGGTGAATATCTAATATCAGTCGGTATGCTGATAAGAGTGTTATTGTGGAGCTAAAAGAAGAGAGAGAGAGAGAAGTTCCAGTTCATTTCTCTAGGTGGATTGGAATGGAAATGATGTGTTGCTGCAGACGATGGAGACACATTGAGATGAGTGAGTTTTAGTGCTGTGATGAGGAAATAGAGGTGTTCTGTACCATTGGTTCTGATGGAAAGAAACATTAAGGGTGTGCAGGATTTTGTATGTGTGTGTATTTGTGTGTGTGTGTGTGTGTGTGTGTGTGTGCGTGAATGATGTGTTTAAGAAATTGTTGGATAAAAAGTATTTGTGTGTATCTGAGTATGTGTATTTAGAAACAGACCCGTGTGTCCAAACATTTACGACGATGTCGACCTCTCCTTCCGAAGCACCTCATTTTCACTTCTCTTTTTTTTTCTCTCTTCACAGGGGTACAAGAGGAAAACCGAAGCGGCTAAGAAAGAGTACCTGAAAGCCTTGGCCGCGTACCGAGCCAGTCTGGTTTCCAAGGTAACGATTATGACACACAGGCCCTGGCTAAGACTGATGATGGATTGGATGGAAAATCCGTACAAATGGGAGGGGTGGGGCTTCCTTTGGATGAGGTGGTGGTGGGCAGGGTGGGGATATCTGATGCAAAAGAGCAGTCGGTATTTGGAACAATACCTGATTTCCATAGGGTGCAGTTGTCGGGGGTTGGGGGTTGTAGTTGGTATGGTGATGTAGTTGGGGGAGGGGTCAGCGCAAACGTAAGGCCAAAACATCTACGAGGGAGGGAGGAGTGAAAATGATTGCTCCCTCATTTTCTATGCAAGGTATCAGGTTTACGTTTTATATGTTGTATATATGTTATAAATTATAAACCCGTAATATATATTACCCCAGCAGGCCGCTGTGTCGTGCGTTATGTCATCGATTTCCACCATCTCATCGTGAACAGGAAGTGCACCCAAATCATCGCTAGAAATCATATGCTGCTCTCCTGCTTTTCCACCTCTCACAGCTTCCTGCTAATTCAAATCTATGACAACCTTTCTGCCAAATGAATGATGATGACTTCTATGCATCAGCATGGTAGCACTAGGAATAAAGAAAGGCAAGGGGGAGGGCTTTGTTTAGTGCCGTCTTATATTAACAACACACGATGTATTGTGAAGAAGATTTCTTTTGTCATTCCATTTGTTCTGCAGGCAAACAGCCTAATTTCTGTGCCCGGGCTGCTGCATATATACATCTATAGATATGTATAGATATCGTATATATCTTTATATAGAGTGTCACCTTTTCCCATCTATCTGTCGAGGTGTCTATTGATCATTACCTTGTTCCCAGCTACATTCATACAAATGGGCTCCATTAGCTTCTAATCAACACTGATGGCTGGAGATGAGCAATCTGACAGCTTATCATAGGGGCCCGGAGAGGGTGGGGCGGGGCGGAGGTGGAGGTGGGGGCCGTCTCTGGGTGCTGCACCTGCTCATATTCCGCCCAAAATGAGAACGGTCAAGTTTGACTGCCCCCATCTGTCAGCTCGTCTGCATGCGTGTGTTGAGTGAAAGCTGCGGTCGGACTAAAGATCAAATATCTACAGCCTCATTCCGCAGTGAGCGTCAACATGCTGAAGAGGATTTGCTGTTTAGAGCTCTATAGTGTCGACTGTCCTGTTAAAGAAGTTGCAGCAGGCAAGGAAGGTACACGCGTTCATTCTGTCAGCTTCTTTCCTGCGTGGAGTAGCAGACCATTTTAGAGAATTGACTGAGGAAGACGTGTGGGGAAATGTTTAAAGGGATACTCTTGCAATTCTCATCCTGGGTGTAATTTACATATATTCTCCAATAGGTCTATTCAACCTGATAACGTTTCACTCATTACCCAAGTGTACATCAGAGGAATAGCTGAGAATTCTGGTCCAGAGTAAGATAACCCCTTTGATGTCTGTTTCTCATGAAGCTGAAGTAGAACAGACAAACAAGAGGAAACTGATTGCCTGGCTACCTCAATCTTGTTATCTAGCTGTGAGCATAAGTGTGCTAATATGTGTATTCCTTTAAAAAAACAGTCAAATAAAAAAATAGCGACAGTAAGTCGTCGCTTGGAAATCCCTGCAGCTGTTTTAGGAAACAACCCACCACTTCCTTTTCAGCTTGCCTGCCACATACTTACAGTATAATACGATTCAGGTTGATAAGTACAGGAATTTCCCTCTAACATATAGGTCAGGCCTGCAGTTTTGTTTTAAGAGTAATGGATGCTGCTGTTAAGAAAAAGGTGATGGGTGAAGATATGATCTGCATGCCGTTATTGAAAGTGAGTCACCTCGTTAACTTATCTGTCTTATTCATCCACAGACATACAATGACCCTGAACCAAAAAGTGCCCAGCAGAACAGCCAGTCCTCCCACATGTTGCCCCCGAAGCAGCCCCTGTACAGCGTGCCCCCCCAGCCCTCCTCACCCTACCTGGGCCCGCCGGGCTCCTTCCCCCTGTCAGACCTCCAGAGCTACGCAGGGCCGCCCCGCCACACCCTGGCCCAGACCCTCAGCCAGTCCCAGATGCTGCCGCCCAGCATGAGTGCCTCTCCCCCATCTCCCTTCCAGATCAGCCCGCCCCTGCACCCCCACGCCCAACTCTCCCTGCATCAGAGCTCCCTGCTCAACCAGCCAATCCGCATGCAGCAGTCGCAGCCAATCATCTCACACTCACACCAAATGGGGCTACAGCCGCCTCTGCATTCCCCCCCTCTCAGCCAACAGGTGAGGCCAACATTGAGTTTTGTGCCTGTAACGATGTTCTCATGATCTCATGCCTCAATTCCAATTTGGCACATATATGAATAACAAAACCCCCAAATATGTGTATGATATGTCTAATTTAGTGGTGAACAAACTATTTTCTCCTTTCCTTTTTATTTTAAAATGTCTCCAGTTCGGCAGAGGGCTTTTCATGTTGTAAGAATTGTGATTTTTAAGAGCCTTTTTAACCGACAGACAGGAGGTGCTCAAGACCACTGTCAGCATTTGGCCTCATGGAGCATCTTGCCTCCACAAACTCCAACTCCTGGCTGGCCGTCCCAAAGCTAGAGCGATATAACCACTGTCCTCTCCTTCCCCTCCTTCCTCTCCTGTCCTCAGGGATTCTCCCATATTCAGGCTGATTACCAGAACAGTGTCGGAGGCTCACAGTCTCCAGGGGCCCCCAACCCAGCGCATGGCCAGACCCCCGACTGGGACAGCGAGTACTGCAACAGGGACTGTGGACCTAACCACTGCGGGTGAGCTCGTCACACATTGCGTTTATGGCAGAGTGCTGTGTGCAGGACATAATGGTTAGTCACAAACGATGGTCCAGAATAATGAAATCCTGGCCTCTGCAGATCCAATCCAGGATTATTTGATTATTGAGAATATTAAGTATTTGTCTGACGGTTGCTCATTTTCCAAATGAGTTCCTCTAAACCACTTCACTTTCAATCTCAGACAGTATTAATCTGTAAACTGTGACTCCTCTGCTCAAGCAGAGCATCTCCTTGAAATTGAAATGGGTAGCAGCAGCAGAACAACGCTATTACCAAGCTTGGAATAAGTGTGACACCCAATTAGGTTTCCCTGTGTTTTGCTCAGCGCACATTGCCTTATTGAATCAAGCTATTCAAGCAGGTGCAAGACAAATGCTGCGCTGTCTCAGACGTGAAACTTGGTGTTACTATTCCAGGAGACAGCAGAGCTGGAAGTCAGAATCTCATCGGTAAATCACGCCCCGGTCAAATCATGCTCGATGCACTTTGAAGTGCATTGAGTCTAAACCTTTTCCCTGAGTGTCAGGTCATAGTAGGTTGGAGTTTTGGCGAGTACGGAATTATTTCCACTGTGGCAATTAAGACGTTTCAAGTACCAAGTTATCTGCGTATTCTGACTTTTTGTTCATACAGATTGGTGTTTGTCAGCAGTTTTTATGTTTTAGAGCTGCTTTCTTGGACGGGTCTTACTTTGAATATATTTGTCGTCTTGCTTGGATTTCCTGGTGAAACAGATGACAGATACTTCTGGTGACAGAAGTACATGTTGTCAATTGTCCCCCTCACATGCATCCAGACACACATTAGTGTAACACCGACTATTCTTCCTCAGCAGTGGCATGGGAGCTCGGGACAAGCCTCTCTACCTCACTTGAAGTTGAAAGACCTCCAAATATCAGACTCCAGGGAGCTCTCCACCATAACAACGACGTCATCGATGTATCTGTTTCTACACCGTTTATTTCCTTCATTTTTTTTTTTTGTGGCGGATTCCGAAAAATCCCAAAGACTTCTACGGTAACTTCAGCTATTTGCCAAGCACTTAGATCGGCCTGAGGCACTTCCCTTACGTTTCCCCTCATCAGTGGGCTTTTTCACTTTTCCGTGGGGGCAGTGAGCTTTAAGCTCGTGCCAACATACTGGAAATGAAGACCAAAAAAAAAAAAAAGAAGTCTTCTCATTCTTTTTTGAATTTTCTTAGCGATGCTCTCTCTTCCGTTCACGCCATTACTCTGTGTTTGCGATGGATTGCCCTCATCAGGGGGTAGAAATGCTCTAAGCATACGTTAAATTAAGGGGTTTTGGGCGGAAAAGCTGAAGCAGGAAAATAGAATATCGTCACCTCAGCTGGGGTGGATACACTTCAGGACATACCGAAACACAGCAGAGTAAAAGCAAAGTGAAATTTTAAAGAAGTCACGGACACTTGAGACGTTTGTAAATCATCCTCGCCCCAAGTTAAAGGACTCCCTCTTTTCCTTTTCTGTCTCACAGAGTGATGTAAATATCACCACAATGGATTCCCTGTTATGTGTGTATTTAGCTGCAGTCCCCTTACTTTCTTTTTTTAAAGAAACATTATTTCGGTTTGGCCATGTGATTTTCGTGCAGGAGGATTCAGCGAGTGAACACACACACACACGCGCTAGAAGTTGCGTTGAATCCGTGTTCACTGGTCTCGTTTGTCTCCGCACGACAGAGAACTGCGAAGACGCTAAAACGCTCCGTTTCCCGTTAACTGTCAGACCTCTGATAGAACGCGTCTCTCTCTTCACATGGCCTCAGGACGTGACAGAACTGTAGAGGTCAAAGGTTGACACCTCTCATTTAGCTCCTCCTCCTTTTGGTCAATAAGGACCGCCCCTCCCCCCCACCTGTAAACCCGCTCACCTTTCCTTAGTCCTGACACCACTTGTACAGGTGAATAAAAAAAAAAAGTTGCTAAATGTGAAATGTTACTAAAGAAAAAAAAAACATAACAGTGGGTTTTAAAGTTTTTGACTAGTTTTATTAGGTGTTTTAGAATTGTGTTGAACTCATCTTTATCATTTTTTGTGAAGAAAAAGAATTCTAAAGATATTTTGTTTTTTAACTGTAGCAGGATTTTTTTTTGCATTTTGGAGGAAGAGTCACGGAGGGGTAGATATTTCAAGTTTGTTTATAAACCTGCCAAATGTACTTCTTTAATTTGAAAAGCCGGTTATGGGAGAACCCATTTTTTTTTTCCAATATCATATGTTTTATGATATGGTCATTCTATTTAATTTGGTTGCAATACATCTATTTATGATGATATGAAGTACCATTTTGGCTTATTTTCATCAGGGTGCATTATTAATGTTATTATTATTATTGATCAAACAATATTATTATTAGAATAAAAAATATTTTTTCAGAAATTGTTGTTGGTGCAATACCGGTGTACCAGCATTAGATTCTTTTTGTGTCACAAATACTTCTTTTGTTTTCTTTTGTCTGTAATAAAATGTTTAAAGTGGAGAAAAATATGTTTATGTCTCTACTTATTTTACTTCTTTGTACATTTCTTCATACATTTCTGAGCCTCAACACATTCATTTGTAATGTGATGAGAAGCCCCTGATAGCTGCGTCCGCCTGTACGTATACCTTTGCCTTTGCCTTCATGAGTCTGAGGTTAATTGGGAGAATAATCTTTGACGGTGATGTGACTGCTGCCACATCGCTCACTAAGTAAAGAGATGAGGTTCCACCGTGTCCCTTTATTACGCTTGAACCATGTCTCTTTTTTTTCGTTTTCATGAAACCAGACATGATCAATATAGTATATCAAATAGCATTTGTGTGCCTGCTGGTTGTGCTCTCTGGTAAAAGTGTGATGATGAAACTCTGAGTTGATGCAGCAGTACGCATTCTGTCAGAGAACCACCTGAGAAGAAAAATAGGACTGTCTTTTACTTATGAATTTCACAGTTGGATTAAAGGTAGAATATAAATGGAATCTCTCTCTCTCTCTCTCTCTCTCTCTCTCTCTCTCTCTCTCTCTCTCTCTCTCTGTCCTTCTTTCTCGCTAGCTCTCTTTCTCCATGATGACGCAGTGCCCCCTAGAGCTGATTCATAGAATTTACCTTCAGATCCTCTAACCTAAAAATCAACAATTTTCTTATAATAGCCTAAGCTATAGCTTAGAATGAACATGAATGAATGAACATGAAAAAAGGCCTGAACCTCAACATCATCACACAGATGTAGTTTTACTGGATGGCTTCCAGATGTAAATTTGTGAAATGAAAGAAAACAAGGAATTGCACACTTGCAAAAGTACCCTTAAATGTTTTTGTTTTTTAAAGGGACATTTCTCACAAGATTTTATTGGCAACTGCATAACATCAAGATGGTGTTGGACTGGACCTCTCCACTGTTTTACCATCTCATGTTAATGCGCCTCTATCGCCACCTACTGGTGATAACTTGTGCATCAAAAGCTGTCAAACCTAAAGTCAAAATGTGGTAAAGAAGTTCCTAATCTGTAGGATCTTAACTTTTATTTTCATTTTTATGGCTTCTCGTGGTGCAAAGAATGAATGTTGTACAAGACTTCCACTTTAATAATAATAATACTAATTTAGAGATAACAAAGCCAAGCAAATCCAAGTATGATGTAGACTGAATACACATTTATTTTGACTTTATATTTATTATTTTATTTTATTCACAATGCTCGGGGGACATGTGGTGTTTGGTTTACTAATAAACTGTTAAATATAAATAACTAAATGATGTATAAAGGTTGATTTTAATGATGAATGCTTACTGTGAAGTTGAGTCGATCGTGTCACATATGATTGATTAATCAACAACACGGATAGCTGTCGTGGATACATTACAATCTTACTTCATACTAAAATGCATTCTACATCTGTAGTAGCACAACATGAAAGCATTTAATTTATTTCAAAGCTTTAAAACAAACAGCATAAATGTTGTATTGCCATTCCTCATGTTTGCTTTCAATAACAAAGGTTCTGGTGTACTTAGAATATGAGCTTTCACCCAACTGCTGAACTTTGCTAGATTCTATTCCCCAAATTACCTGATAAAGTCTGCGTTTGCAGAAGCTTTCAAAATAGTGCGCACTCAATTTGCCATCTTGGCTCCTTGCCTGCCCAATCTCCCATCACTAATATCGTCTCGAGTAGCTCTGATACTTGTTCCATCAGTGCCATTAGACCCTCTCATTTCCTCTTTCCAAGGATATGAACTCTCCCGACATCAGAGGCATCGGCAGCACCAACAAAGACAAGAGAGGACACACGGCATTTCATACAGATCACTACCTGAACACTTGATATCTGATATGGTGCCGCTCGGCCTTTTTGAGAAGACCTTAGTGGTGAAACATTGTCATTTGGAAAGAAGCTATCTTGTGTTTTGGGATTGTTTGTTCTGGTGGAGGCGGTTATCTGTGGAGAGGCTGCGGTCGGATGCAAGTAGGACGCTGCAACTGAAATTACTTCTTTTGTGTGGTTAACAAAACACAAACAAAACAAAAAGACCAACTTTGAACAAAAATATGTTTATTGTTACATGTACCGTCCATGGGCAGCAAACAACAACAGTTACAATATTTAGCCTACATTTTTTAAATAAAAAAGACCATTATTGTTTTTGACTCCAGAACCCTTTTATTAGGCAAACTGGCCTTCATACACAGAGTAGCACTTTCTACACAGAGATACAACATGTTGTGCATAATGTAAAATATACAAATGGGTTTAGTCAATCAATGATACAATGTGTGTTTTTAAACAACCTGTGTTTAAATGTTATCAGAATTATTTATTTCATTATTGTACTGTTGATTGTTGTGCTTGTATTTACCTGGCTGTTGAATAAATAATACAAGTACTTCAATATTTACTATAACACACTAAATTTCCAGATTGATTTCTTTCCGCTGCTCTAGGTCTAATTCTTATTGTCTATTCTGTTGTGAGAACTTGGTCTAACTTCCAGAAATCCCTCACAGCTAAATTGACCTTACGACCTTACGAACGGCAGACTTTTGCATATTCTGCTGCACAGCTTTTGCTTATTTTTTTTCGGAAAATATTTCATTTTTCTCTTGGATGTCTTTCAATATCAGAAAATGTATTTTAGTTGACAGTGCTGCAAAACCGTGATGGTCTGTTTTTTCAGGGGATTCTCAACAAACAACCTCCATCCTCCTTCATTTCCCTCTTTTTTCCTCGGGATCTTGAGTAGATGTACAATGTTCTTGCAATAACTCTTGAAAACCTCAGATAATCAGTTTGAAAGTAAGATTTTATAGGTAAAATATAAAAACAAAGCGAATGTCGCTAAATTTGCAACATACATTCTGGTCTTATAGTGATAATAAAACAAAAAACAGAACAGTACCACTAAAAATTGCTAGCAAATATAAATCATACAATCAACAAAAAACACTACAATGAAGTTTTTAACCCTTCTGTTACTTTCAAATTAAGTAACATCTTTTACCATTGGGGTCAATTTCATTTTATACAGCTAAAGCGGTCTGGGCTCAAGTTGACCCCAAAGAACACGGATGCGTACAACGTGTGTACAAGACATTGAAAACATATCATCATGTTAATTTTATGTTTACCCATTAGATTAGGAAAAGCCAATAAAAAAATGATGTTAATTATCTATTTAGAGACGTTAAACATTGAATGGGGTCAAATTGACCTTAAGAGTAATAGGAGGGTTAAAGTACAACCAGAACGACACGTAATGCCTTACAAACAGCTGCTGGTAACCACGGTCATTTCATAAAAATACCATCACATTTTAAGAACTGCATGACATTATTTGATGTGAGAATGGTACAAGAAAGAGATCTGCTTCACAGCGACATACGTTCAGGAAATATTACACACACTCATTTATCTCACTCATTTTAGTTCGTGGTTTCACCTAATGCTGTGGATTCATTTTTACCTACTGAATAAAAGAAAACATTACAACTTTAAAAGAAAATAACACAAATATGAGTAACAGGAACTTAATGTAATCAGTGTTGTGCTAGTTAATCATTGCCTCCTCCATACTTGGCCTTATCTATCATATTTAACTCACAGGTCAGCAACGTCCACATCTATACAACTGTAAACAATCTTAGACTATGTTGTTTGAAGGTATCACATGTTTTATTATGTGCACACTTCGGCTGAACAATGAGTCAACTTGTATGTTAAGCCACTCGAGTTTCTGAATGCAGCTTGCAACACTGTGGGCAGCACACATTTCAGGACCAGGTCATGATGACCTCCTTAATGTTCACTAGACATGCCTTCATAATTTGTCATACATAAACCCTCGTTTAGAGATGTCAACTGCCCTTATTAACTAACTTGTTCCATAGTCACATGCCTGGTTAGGGAACATTATGAAATAAATTGCTTCAGCCAAATCACAAGTGAATAAATGTACATGTACATATCAAAAATGTTCAAGCAAACATTGACAGTCCATCATCTTGTTCCGGCTGTTCAAGCGTTATTCAGCCGCCTCTTGTTGCTCCTTCTCCTCAGGAACCGACATGAAGATCTTCTGACAGAACATGGTGAAGATTTCTGAGGAGAAACAACTCATCAACATCAGCCCTGTCTGTTTTCTTTTACCAGGTTACTGCGGTTTGGGCCTTCAATCTAACATCGACTCAACGTCTTGCTTCCCGTCGTTCCTGCCGACTGTATAAACAAACCAAATGTATCGCTGCCCCGAGCGGCACTCGGGCAGAGATTCTCACATGCATTTCACAATAAACTTTGAGAAATGCTACTGCGGGCTTGCCTGATCTAATAGACGAAGACGGCACTAAAAAAACACAAAAATGTCTCACTCACCCAGCACCTTCTGGACCACATGGGGTTTCTTCCACTTGAAGCCCAGCAGGTACGCCGGGATGCCTGTGAGAATAATGCCGCTGCCCACCAGGCACTCAAACGGAGCTGCCCAGAAGGACACCACGATCATGAAGACACATCCCAAAACAAAGGTCACTGGGATGAATAGATACACCTACGGGAGGGAAATATCATAGATGTAGGTGTCGGCTCTGCAAAGAGGAGGGTGGGTGAAGCAGCCTAACAACATTTGACTAAATGAGGGATTTAAATGGTAAGTGAATGAGTCATTTTTCACAATGCTGCCATCGGTTATTAAAAGGACACATTGTTATTCCATTGTTGCATATTTATATAACAATGCAACTTTTACCGATGATTTGGTGGGATATGGTTTAATCAGTTAATTTGCCTCACTGGGTTTTTATTTCCATGTTCTGCTACTTCATATGCCACTACTGTAATGCTGCTGCATCGATTCGATTAATTTAGTTCCCCGTCACTACAAATTCAGATCAATAATTCAAAACAGGTATTAAGAGAACTATGATGTATCATTATACTATGCTATATCGTTCTGCATAATGAGCACTTTTACCTTGGTTGTATTTGTTCCTGCTATTTAATGCTGGCCAGATATTCCTCTTATAAAACTAATATGCTGAGAGCACTCAGGCTGAAAGCAGAGATGAAAGACTGGTCTACCAAAATAATATTCCTACGATGGGACGGAAACAAAGACTCATGTCTACGTGGAAACACCCCTCCCTCCTATTATTAAAAGCCAGTATGGTTCCACAATAACAAGAGTACTGATACAATGGGGCTTTTGTTTTTTCTTTTTCTTTAAATAACAAAAAGAGTAGATAGGGCTATGAAACCATGAGAACTGTTGATGTTTTGGACACAGCTAGAACCTGGCTGCGTTTCAGATAAAGCAACAGACTTACACAACTTTTCCTGTTCCTCGACTTTTTGTAATAAAATCTCCCGAGCGTGAGTAAAAAACCTTTCGCCACTTGCAGCGCAGCCTGTGAGACACGGATGCGTCACCTTAATGGGCCTTCTGAGGTCGGGCTTGGTAAAACGCAGCCAGAGCATGCCGGCAATGGCCATGCCAACACACAGCCAGGTGAAGAAGCTGAAAAGATTGATGACAGAGAAGATGTCCCGCGAGATGGCGTACATCATGGACAGCAAACACTGAAAAAAGACAAAAGGAAAGATGCGGTTGTATTAGGCTTGTATTCAAAGCGTATGAACACACACGTGGTTGTTGTTCTCCTTGAGTTATTTGGAAAGCTGTTTGCAGAATAAATCTCCTCTGGGATTTGTGTTTTTGTAAATACTTTCATGCTGTGAACATTCAGGGAGTTGCGATTTGTTTTAGAGGCTTGAACAAAATGAATCTTGTCGAATAAAAACAATTATAATAGCCACATTCAACTGCTCCAAATTGATAATGGCCATGATGTGACTTTGTGCCACTTTCACTATAACATAACTGTAACTGGGTTGTGGAGCTTATTTGACAACGGGAATTTTTGTCAGGTCCTGGCAGTTGCCAGCAGGGGTCTTACTGTGAAAATGAGGGATGGTACTGGTGTGAAGAGATCCGTGTGGACCAAACCCAGAGCAGCAGGGAGCTGACCCTCTCGAGCTCCAGCGTAAAACAACCTGGAAGAAAGAAAGCTCTAAACAGGTTATTCTGTGATTAAGTAATTGGCCTTGATCAACTAACCCTGTAACAGCCTCAGATTTACCGTCATATAACAGTTGAGAGCGTTCAGCATCATATCACCGATATGGACTTAAATGTAATCATTGCATTAACTCATCTATAGTTAAGTTATGAACTGGTGTATTAGAAGCGTAGAAATGCTACTTAAGTTGCATTCCCTCTGTGCAGACACACACCTCGCTGAGGTGAACAGGGATCCGTTGACGGCTCCAAAGCAGGACAGTCCTACAAAGACAGGAATCAACCAGGACATCACACCAAGGTGGTACTCCCCAAAACTCTGCCAAACAGCACAAAGTATATGAGGAAACACGCATTGCGCCGACGAGATGCAACAGACGGTTTTGACTTTCGGTGTGCAAGTCGTAGCTGACTTTATCACAGCGCTCACCACGGCAACCGCCTCTGACTCCACCATGAGTTCAGGAGAGATGGTGGTGAAGTAGGCCAGGTTGGTCAGAACGTACACCACCGTTACTATAGGCATGGATATGATGATGGACAAGGGCAGGTTCCTGTGGCAGGAAGATGGGGGGGCAGAGGTCACTGGCGGAACCTAGCAAACTCATAAGTATGCAATCAATACAATTTTCTTTTGTTAAGAGAGCTTTGTATTAGGCTCCACGGATGTTTTTGAGGTTTCTTTAGAATAAGATTAAAATAAAACATAAAGGGCATCATGTCACTTTGAATGCGGTTTCTCCATGGAATCCAATAATAGAAAACAAGCCATGGATGAGGGTAGTCCTGCTGTTGGCATGTCCAGTCCTCAAAACTACATTCATTACACTTTTGTCACCTCTCTGGATTGATCATCTCCTCGGTCACGTAGTTCAGGTAATTCCTGAATAAAAAGAAACATATTTAAATTCATTGGGTATTTCAAAGCAAACAGTTGGCAGTTTTAAATTAATTATTTATCTCACCAGCCTCCAAAAGCAAAGAGTCCGCTGTACAGAGCCAAGACAATATTGTCCACTCCCAGTTTGCTGCCTTCAAATGCCCTTTCTGGTGTTAGGTACGGCACATCACCTGCACAAACATAGAAAGAAGAACAAATTAAAGGAATCAAAATATAACGGAAACTGTCTTGACAGTAATACTGTTATCTTCTAAATGAATCGCCTGGTTTCATAGAAATGAAGCGTATTCTCATTCAGGGCTGCTGCCCCCTTTAATTTCCCCTTTGGCTCCTGTCGTTGCTTGAAAATTGACAGGCTTCACAATTTTAACTGGCAGATTGGGATCCCCGTCTTTTCTAACAGGTCCTCCAGGTTTGAGCATTGGCTTCGGGTTGTGTGTGTGTGTGTGTGTGTGTGTGTGTGTGTGTGTGTGTGTGTGTGTGTGTGTGTGTGTGTGTGTGTGTGTTGCTTCTGACCGGCTCTCTCCTCTACCTGTCGCTTTCAGATGGTAATGACTCTGCTCTCCGTAAAGGCTGTATTACACACACTAGTACTTTCTGACTAGTCCTCTCTCGCGCTCTGAAAGACCCCAGTGTGACAACAGCCGGCAAGCTTCGACGCCTAGTTTCCATGGCAACACAGCGTGGAGCACAATGGCGGTGGGTGTGGCCTCGTGGAGAAGGGGAGGGGTGGCGGTGGAGTAGCAGATGTAGCGTGGAGCAGACGATGAACACGCCAGCTTCCTTTGACTACCATGACTGGAGCTGATTCAGTTACTGGATTTCAGCTTTGATAATGCTTTGAAATTCAAGATTTTCCAAACTGAAATTATTTATATACTTGTAAATAACAGCAGTATACCTCTCTTTTTCTTCTTGTTTTTCACAAATAATCATATGAAAGATTCAGTTCACACTGAGATTCATTGTAAGGAAAATTAATATATTTGTAGCATCAGTGTTTCTAAACCTTCGACTATTTCTGACAATATCAACGCTACAATACTCTCATACAAATTTCCTGTCTTGCATGCGTGCATAATATACAGTACACATATTAACAGAGGCTACACATTGTTACGATGAGTCACGTATTTAAAAAATGATCAGCTCAGTGTTGAACCTCAGAATATGCCGAGGCCGACACACGTGTGTGTTTGGCTTCACACTCGATCACACGGCTGCAGACAGACAAGCCACCTAACAAACTGAGGGGGTCTGCCTGGTTGGGCTCATTGCTGTCGCTCAACAATTTGTTGATCCTTAGAAACAAATAAACTTGGGTTTTAGCAGAGCGAGTGAGACATTGAGGCTACTATATACAAAGTGCAATTATACTTTGTATTTGTTTTTATTTAACCACATTTTTATGACCATAATGATTGCAATAAACCAGGGAAAGGATTAATACACGGTATACATCTGCAAGCTGGGAAATACTTTTTAGTCATATCAGATGATAAACAATAGAAAAAATATTTCTACACTTTTGTCCACCAAAAAGGATTTGTAGCAAATCAAGTAGTCTAGCTTGTCCACTCAACTTAGCATCAATTTGGGATCGAGTTAGATGTTATACTGGAAATGATACCACATAGCGGGACTGAATAAAACTAAGTTTACACCATTGGCCTGATTCCTTTTGTGTGATCGTCACTGCTTTCGGTCTCTCGTGTTCAGTCAATGGGACTCACCTGTGGATATTTGGATGAAGCCAAAGATGATGATGATGATCAGGGCTAGTAATTTGGAGGCTGTGAACAAGTCCTGCACCTTGGTGGCCGCTCTCACGCTGATGCAGTTCACAAACGTCAGGGAGGCTAAAGGAGATACATGTATACATATATATATCAGTCTGAATTTTAAGTCGTCATCTGTGAAGAAAGAGTATTTGTTGAAGTATTTGCGAGGTCAACAACGGCCACCCACTTAGACACAGGCAGGCGATGAGCTTGGCTGCGCTGTCGGGCACGGGGCAGTTTGGGTACAGCGGTTTCAGAAGGTAGGTGGCAAACACCAGCGACACCACGTACTGCGAGGACGGCCGGATGATGAGCATCTCCACCCACAGCTTTAGAAAAGCTGCCAGCTCACCGTACACCTCCAGGATGTAAGTGTAGTCTCCCCCCGACTTGGTGATGGTGGTGCCAAGCTCAGCGTAGCACAGGGCGCCCATGGTGGAGATCACTCCACAGGCGGACCAGACGATGAGCGAGAGCCCGGCCGAACCCGTCTCCTTGACCACGCCCGTTGGAGTGACGAAAATGCCCGAGCCGATGATGGTGCCTATGATCATCCCCACGCCATTGAAGAGGGTGATGCTGCGTTTGAGCACGATCTTCTCCCCCTTGGCAGGCGAGCCGGTGGTTGGGCTCGTGGCGGTGGGATCGGGGACCATGGAGGTGGACGGGGATGCTGGCTGCTCCCCAATCAGATCATCTTGATTTTGGTCTCCTGAAGAATAAAGGCACAGCAGACCAGGAGATGAGAGTTTCACATGTGAGGTTAAACCATTAAATGTTGCCTGTGAGTCTTATTTTGTTGTAAACTCTTATTGAGGTTTTTTTGTTGAGCTATTTTAGGCACTGATGAATTTAATAGAATGAAATACCAAAGCTACGTGAAAGCAACAACAGAGCGGACACGTTGTTTAGGGTGTCTGGGATAGAAGCAGTGTGCATTCTAGTTCAGCAAATTGAGAAAATGTTTGGCACGGACTGCTCAAAAACAGGCTAATCATGGTCATTTGAAAAGGATTATTGTGATCGCACGCCCAGTGATGGGCCTGTGTGGAAAACACGGCTCTATTTTCATGTATGTTGACACATGGTCTCACCTGCCACCTGCCACTATCACCTAAAACACCATGAAGCATCTCTGTACTCAAATCCATCTGTGGCTACAGAGATGCATTCAACAATGTTGCATCAGCGTGCAGGGCAGAATAATGCAGCTCCCTGCGCCATGTGGTATTTTCAGGAGTGTGAGCGTGCCCTCCACCTACCTCCAATCTTCTCCTGGCTCGCTGCCTTCGCAACGCTCTCCCGGCTGCTTCGTGATTTCAGCTCCGGCTCAGCCATCTTCCTTCTTAGTCTGGGTCCCCTTGTCTTATTCCTCCTGCCGCCCCCCCTCCCTTTGCTTTCCTCGCTTTATGTCCCTGTCCTCCTCCTGCCTGGATTTCCTCTCCGTGTCCCTCACGGAAAAAATCCCCCCCCCCCCTCCCCAATCTCCCAACTATGTGTCTAGCCCTTCCCTGATTCGTCCTTTCTCATACACATGCACCCAAACTCTCCTCTTCATGTACACACGCTGCCTTCATCCCTCACACTGGAATTCATCTGACCCTGATCCAATCCCCGTGCCTCCCTCCCTCTGTCTCTCCAAAATACAGCAGGGGGGTGGGTGGGGGGAGCCCAACCTTTGTGATGATGCTGTCGAGCTGCTGCTGCCACCGCGTGAGCGCAGAGCAAATGATGGGATAGCTTGGAGAGGGAAGTATGTTACTGGCAGGCACCATTTGGAGGGTGCACCATGTGACACGGTAATCTGTGTAAAGCCTAATCCAGTAGTAAACAGTAAATCCACGCACGCCGGCGTGTGCGCTCACATCAGGGGGTATTAGATGGGAGCGGTACTTGCAGTGCTCCCTCTAGTGATGCTAACATGGGAGAACAAGTGTCTTTGTTCTCCCTCTGTCATGCAGAAAGGTGACACCGAAGAGACGCTCACTAACTAGGATATCGTATGAAGCACAATATGATGAGGCAGAGCGTCATCATATCAGTGTGTACTGAAACCATAACGGCAGGGGCAGTACAGCATGCCTTAGGCAGAGACACACACTGGTATGTTTCACAGAGCTCTGAGGAGAAACGGCAGCTATATGTTATAACGTTTTTAGATAATTTGGAAAAGAAATAGGTAGATATGGCATATTACTATGTCCATACAGAATGTTAACAATTTAATAACACGTGCAGCATCTGAGATGTTTGTAATTTTAAGGTATTCGATATTGCAGCTGTTTGTATTCTGAAACCGCATGCTTTTTTTGTACTTAATAAGAATCTTAGGCTTTAGTTTTAAATGATCCGGTTGACGTCTCTGGGCCTGGATATGAAAGGTAGCGTATGACATCTTTGGCCCACTAGGTGGTAAAATCTGCATAAATCTTGTATTTTTCTGGATTTAGCATCAATGTAATATAAGCTTATGAACAAGTGGGACAGGGTTTACTTAAAATGATTTGCTGCTGAAGTTGAATAAAATGAGTTCATGAATAGCAATATAGTCACCTGAATATGCAGAGATTAATCAAATGATAAAATACCCGTAGACTATAGATCCCTGAAATGCACCTATATCACAATCAAGTAACGCAAAGAAATGTGGGGGGGAAGCAGTGTGGAAAGGGCACTTTAGCCTGCAATACAAAAAGTGCATTAGGCTGCAGGCTTGGTCATTGTTGGCGATTGGCTGTGACGGGATTTGAGAATATGGACATGCATGCACAGTAAAACACGTCCTTCTTCATGCAGCGAGAGAATTACTCACCTTGAAAGAAACAAGTTCAAAGAACTGGAAACAGTTGAAGATGCAGTTTTTTACTCCACGCACTTCTGCACCACATTTAACAAACAGCAGAGGGCAGCAAAAGGTTATTGTGACTTTTGGACTGCAAATTTCAAAAGAAGAAGAAAAACTGCGTTTATTGTATACCTTTTACTCCCTCAAACGTCTTACAAGATTAGAGTATAATATTTATATTAGTGTTTTTTGGTAGAAACCGATTTATTTGAATTCAATGAAATAATTTAATAATACATTTTGTTTTGTTCCTCAATTATTTCCCTGGTTATCCCATTTACTTGCTTTACTTAGGAGTTGCAACTTAAGCAAAACGAGACGGCGTGACAAAAAGGCATTCCGAGAATGAGCCCCGTTCTGGTTAAGCGCCGAAACAGCGAACTTGCATTACTAGAGAAGCTGACAAAGCCGGCCTACGACCGTCGGGCTCCGTTCACACGAACATCTCAGCCGCCATTGGACGAGGCGCGGGCCGACACTGGATTCACCCAGGGCACTTTCTGCCGTCTGTCCGGGGACTTTCCCCTGGGCGGGAGGAGAGAAACCAGGTTCCCCGTATGTAGCCCAGAGAGCAAGTCTTCGGAATGCCCGGATGTAGTCTGGCTCCGTGCGGGCCTTATACGCGCGCACGGTGCACGTGTTCTTGATCGCGGTGTCACGGACTTGTGATCACTGGTTTGAGGCCGAGACGTGAACGAGACATTAACGTTATGGATGCAAGCGGCAGGTTGTTTGTTCAAAGGTCGTATCTTTTGTTCAAGAGTAGCTACTTCTTGACTCAATACGTAAAAAGAAAAACCGCAAGGGGTTGTGGGAACTTAAAGGTAAAGTAGCCCCGCACGAGAATGCTGTTATACATGTTAGTTATTTGTGCGACACCATCGCGAAAGGTTCTGCTGTCGCCTCTTAAAGTTACACATGGGTTCATCCAGCGATACTTAAATTCTTGAATTGCAACATGAATTTCCCTTGAAAAAGGGGACAAATAAATACATGTTCTGTTAAACTCCCAAATTCCTATCTATATACTAAAATACATATTGTGCGAAATGAAAACAACAAGGTTTTCAAAATTACCGTATTTAAATAATCCGACAAAGAACATGAATCTCCCGTGCAGCGTCATACACCGTTAAATGTTCCCTATGCAAGAGATGATTTATTCAAACGGTGTATTGAATTGGAAATATAACTAATATTTCCTCCTATTGATTGCGGGCGGATTCGTATGGATTTACATCATTATCTCACGGTTTGATCTGTGAGAAAAGGAATCACAGGTTCGTAGTTCTCCCTGAGGACACCAGGTGGCGCAATTTATCAGCGCCACTGAAACACAAAGACGTAATGAGATGAGAGAAATGACTTGGATAAGACTACTAACCTGGAGTTTGAATTCTTATCTTTGTATTTTAGCCAATGGTGGAATATGTATGTGTGTATTTACTCAATAGAAATAAACAAATAACTGCATTGCAAAAATAAAAATGACGAATAATCTAAAAAATTCACACGGGAATAAAAAGAATAAATAAAGGCTTCATTACGCAGAATATTATCATATATATTTGTATTATCATGTATATATTTTTTCATATATTATCACATATATAATAATGTTACTTACTATAAATTATTCTAAAAATGAATGTATCAATTTATAACCAACATTTTGAAAGCGAAGCCAATTTCTGGTAAACTGTTTTTATTTTTATAGTACATTGTGAAGAGGAAAGTGTCAAAAATGATAATTAAAACACAAGTATCTTGACATTTTACATTATTAAATATCGAGGAAACTTAAACGTCTATTAACATTTTGCCTGCATGCCAATTAACATTTATCCTGCATTTTAACAATTGCAATAAAATGTCTTCTTGGGTGGTGCTTCAAAGCCCCCAAATAGTCTTGTCTTAATTGCGCACTTGTACGAGGTGACATCATAATACATGTAAGTACATCAAGTTCATCACAATATAACAGTTATGGTGTACTGAGGTTGCTGATAACCAAATACAGAACATATGAGAGATAATGATGATGGAACTGATCAATACAGCAACTTTGCATCGGGGGTTTTAATGAGAGTTTTGCCTGCATTGCAGAGGTTATCAGGCAATAAATGCTCACTTTATGGCTCATGAAATTGGCTTAATATAATCAATAGTTGCACTAGTAGGATGTCACATATCTATTGCCTCTTGTGCCAACAACACCGACAGATATTGATGGAATCGAGGCTAACACAGAAGGTCACGCTGTGCACAGTGTTGTTTTCGAAGTGCAGTTTATAGATCTCTACAATGGTTTAGATATCTCATCATCTGCCTTTCACTCTACTCACAATCACCTACTTTGATTTCACCTCTCTGTATTGTCTATTCTCATTGTCTTTTTCATTTTTGTTTTCCCTTTCAAATATTTTTGGTCCTGGTAATTTTACCGCTCTTCATTGTTGCTGTCTTCCTCCAGTCTTTCTCATCACTTCCAGATGCGGATCTGTAATCTTATTTGCTGGAGTGGCTTTACCATCTGTGCAACATACAACAGTTGCTGAATTTAAGGCTGAGCAACAGAGAAGAGGCCCCTCTTCCGGGCAACAGGAAATAGCAGTGAACAAGACTAAATGAATCATTCGATCTATTTCGATGAGGAAAAGGCAAACTGTGTCTCTTGGAATCAGCATGTGGTTGTGCACACAATGCGCGCATGTACATTTGAGGGTGCACATCAAGGCAGTTTCCATCAGCCGACCACGTTCCTCTCAGTTTCCTCAGTCCTTCATCAGACCTCCCCCACCCTGACCCTCCTGCATCCCCCCCGCTGTGCCGGCACAGTGTGTTACAGAGAGTTTGGCATGTCCTTTCTCTCTTTCTGTGATCCCCGCGGCGCGCTTGGGTCCGCGTCCTCTTAAACGCTCTCCACCACTCTGTGGTTTATCAAATGCTCTTTTATTTCGAGCCAGACACCAGCTGGTGAGTCAGTAAATAATTAGCAAACGAGGACTGTTCTCCTTTTCACTCAATTAATGCAAATATGCACAGGTTGTTGTTATGTGGGCTGCAGCGTGTTATCCAGGGACACAGTTTTGTGTTTTAAATTCAGTCTCCTTTTGTGGCATCTCGATGGTTACCGTTCTATTGAGTGACGCAATAATGAAGAAAAAAAACTGAAACAGCAAGTAAAATGTAACTGAAGATGTCACAAAGCTCCACCGTTATTCTGCTCATGAGGCGAAGCATTCCTCCACACGCGTCTGTATCATCTGCCTCCGTCACCGGAGCGAATGTGTGTCTAATAAAAGCAGAGGCAATAGAGCCCATCTGATAGGAAGATCAAACGGCTTCTACTGCCACAAATATATTTTGTGCCTTCGGCCGTCCGTAATCCCTCCTTGATAAACTGTCACTTAACTGTCCGGAAAGCGCTAGAAGACTTTAAAGTGTACCCGTCGTTGCTATTCTCTGAATCCTCTACTCCCACCTCCTCCTCCATCCATCTTCCTGTTACCTTAAAGCGTATCACAAATTGTTGTGAGTGTGTTGAGATTTGACCCAATCACGCACCATTTCTTTCCCTCATAGATGTGTAATGACGGGTGCTTTAATATCTGGCTAGTGGGTGCCAAACACCAAAAGTGGTATTAATTTACAGGGAATGAATCCAGAACACATTGACATCCCTTATGTTCACTTGACTTTTGTTTGTATCGGCTCAGTCTGCAGTGGAATCGACTCATTTCTGAACAATAGCTTTAGAAAACTGCACAGAGAATAGTGAATATAGGAGCTTTAAAAAGACACCACTTTCATTCTGGGAGACTTATTGACTTATTGCTGCTTGGAACATGGAACATATACAAGAGGTTTTTATAGCCCAGAGTGTTGGCATTTGTTTTGGCCTTGACATCCTGGCAGAAGCCTCGCTGTCACCGAGGAGAAAACAGCAGCAGGGAAGGATTAGTGTGTGAGATCTGATGCAGCAGAAGCATTTCTCTCGGTAAAAATACCTCCGGCTTGCACCATCTTCTCCTCCCTCGGTTTACATTGTATACAGACCTTTCCATCCACCGTTACCTTTGTGGGAACATGAAAGGCTGCATACCTCCACCACATCACATGATCAGCTTCTTAAGCAAAAGGACAGTCATTTAATGTCATCAACAAGTCATGAACTTTATTTCATGCCGGAAAACAAACATAGCATTCACATATCTGTATATTTTTCATAAAATAAATGATAAAATACTTCAAAAAAGAGCAAAAACATTCTTTCCTCACGTCATCAGAGCAACCACTGCTCACTGTACCGTCATACTGTACATTTACCAATGTTCTACAACAACAACTTACACCGTACAGCCTTCATTAACTACAATTCACAAATCTAAATATACTTTCTTTCCAATGTTATAACACCAAACTGTTTAATTTCTGTACTTAAAATATAAACCTTTATGTGCGTGTGCACTGTATACTAACTACACAATGCATATTTTATTTCTAGAGTTACAGTACAGGTAAACTGCAGACAACTTATTCAATTTGTAAGGTCTGCTAACGTCTCACTGCACTAAAGTGCAGCTCTTAACAACAGATATTTATACCTTTTCAACTGACAATCAGCAACAAAAGTCTATTCTTCACAATTAGGTCCACGTTTGATCTTTTTCTGAAGTGCTGGAGTGAAACACGGATGATACAGGTTTAGATGTGGACCATAGTCGTTTTTGCTGTCTAACACATACGCAAAAGGACCCTTGGATGCAAAGTTTTGAAGGAGACGACAAAGCACAATACCACGTAGAGAACAAGGGGAAATGCAGGTTATTTGTACCGCTATTTGTGTTTCTGTGAGAACTCAAGAATGTGTGATGCATAGGGATGAATGGACTGATCCGTTTTTATTCATGTATTTCTATTTTTGCGGAATCAGTGACATTAATCTATTTTTAGATATAAAATAAACAAGCACTGAGAAATAACAAATCATGCAAATATTTGTTAAAGTAAGTCATTATGTTTCGAATAATCAGACGCAAGAGATGTGCCCGTAAATGGACGTTGGCACAAATCCTCATCACATGATAAGATATTGCCTCAATTCCTTCTCTTTAATTGTATTTCACTCTTGACTGACGTATCTGAGCAGTCTTCTTTTTTTATAACCTCAGAGAATAGCTTTGCAAAAACAATCCCGGTCATGCCATGATGTAAAATTGGATATTAAAGAAAACAATATATAAAAGCAATTGCACAATCCACTTTTCCTCGTGCTTTTATTGTGTTAAGTAGCTGCGCCTTTGCCCTGTCAGTTGTTGTTCATTATCCACCAAGAGGCTGTCAAATGAAACAATAACAAGCATCAATTTTTTGTGTTATGACCAAACAAATGACAATGACAATAAACTGAAACTGAATAAACTGAAATCTTATTTCTATTTTCCATAGAAAAATCAATGGCCTTCTAACATTACGATGCAATATCCAATACATTATTTCTCACACATTTCTTTTTGCCACTTGTTATTTTGTGAGACACACGCAACAATATTTTCTAAACAGCCACACTATTTCTGACCATTTTCACAGTTTCAGTGACAATAGTTATCATTATTTCTAAAATGATCAACCAAACAAATCTGTTTTTGTTCGTGAGATTGAGTGCATGAAATAGCAGCCTTCAGTGAAATGGATTTAATCGGTTCCTACCTGGCAGGAGCATGGTGGAGACCATCTCCGGCTCCTCCAGCGAGTCGATGACGCAGCGCTGGAAGGTCTTACTGATGGACGACTGCAGGTAGCTGAGAGGAAAGAGGGATGCTACAGATCAGATGCTTCTCAGTAATAGAATAAATCTCCAAAGAGAGCCTGGGAGCAGCAGTGGTTCCTGTAATCCTACCTCATCCAGGAGAGACGGTCCTGCCAAAATTCGTACATGATGAAGCATGATCTGTCTGGCAGGTTCTGGATGGAAACGCTAAAAATAAAAAATAAAAGAGTTGAGAGAGAAAAAGAGGGAAGCAGGGCTTATCATACGCTGTAAGCGTTGAAGCAATTTGATGCGGCTGCATCAAATCCCAGCGGGATCTCCGGGCAGACAGGAGGACGTACTGCAGGTTGTCGAGCTGGCTGCTGGTGGTATCTGTGTATACTTTAAGAGCTTGTTGAAACTGCTCCACATCCTTCTCCTTCACAGACATTTGCCTTTGGACCAGAAGTATGTTCTGATGAGGGAAAACAAAACCGAGTCCTGATCACTTCTTCAAATAAAATGAACACATTTGGGGATTTTTTTTTGCATTTGAGGAATTACAGCTATTCGAAAACATGAGATAGAAATCAAATATTATTGTATACAAATAAATATCCAGTGTAATCTTAATTTACGTGCTGGTGTACATATATTCACACACACGCGGGACTCACCGATTTATACGTCCCTGCCAACGTGTCCTCTTTGAGAGGCTCAAGGTGTGGACTCTGAAAATACGTGCATAAGTATTTTAAACAGCAATGGGCAGAACATGAAATGCAGCAGATAACGCTAAACGAAATTTGCAAAATTAATAATAACCCCACAGCCTGACTGCAGCCCTGAGAGCTTTTGCTACACTCTATTATCGTCTGCATGGTCAAGATAAGAAACAATAATTATTATTAGTATCTTGGAAAAACCTCATCTATTCTTTCACATGTGGTAAATACCACATTCAGACCTGTTAGTGGCTTTTTCAGAATTTCACAAAATTCCACATAAATCTTTTATTCCGGAGCATCAGTTACAGGGTGCAGCGATGCAACAATATTCCCAACTACATGCCCTTTGTACAAATCGTCTCCTCTGACAACAGGGCGAGCGGCTGGAATCTGCAGACACACAGTTGGGCTCACACGGTCTGTCTGACATTTCTGTCTGCGGCAGCTGAGCCTCTGCAGTCAAACCGATTGTCCCCCATGAGACAAACCCTTTGGCTTCACATTTGAGTCTTTCTAAAAGTCAAACTGAGAACCGGTATTGAGCTGATGTAATCCTGTGGCTCATATAAAGAGATTACATTTATTAAAAAAAGAAGATTTTCAAAACGCTTCAATATTTAGAAATCAGTGTCCGGCAACTGTTATATAATGCTACCAAAGGAATACATTTTTTCAAACACACTCATTTGTTTTCTTGGATGAAATGATTGCCACTGTTCTCGTGTTTGTCTAGATATGAAGAGCAATAAAGTTAGCATAAAGACAAAAAAAAGAGGTTTTGTTCAAACCTCGTACTCCAGTTTGTCCATGAGCTGCTCCAGTTGGTTGATCTGAGAGCCCCAGTGGTTGTCTGGCTCCACGCTGACCCCTGACCCCAGAAAACATAAGAACGCACATGAATTCTGAGCAATGGCAGTATGGCAAAGTGACGCATGTTTTTATGGGCTCAGACTATGCAATGTGCTCTTTTATGTTACAACTATTTCACCAAAGCTTTTTCCCTCATGACATTTAACCTCCAGTATCTCAATGGCAATGTTACCAAAAAAAAAAGTGTACCTGTGGTCAGCATGCCGGAGTAAGGGTCAGTAGGGGAGAGACACATGTTCTTTTGGATGCGTCGACCGGGCCGTTTGGTCATCCTCTGCACGGGCAGGTCCTCTGGTTTTTTCAGTATCCTCCTTTCTGTGCAGCCCGGCTCGTGAACCGCCTCCATGGCGCAGTCCATCGACGACTGAAGGGATTGCAGCTGGGTGGAGGTCTCCCTCAGCAAGAAGCGAGTCACAAATTGACCCAGTACCGATGAACCCTGATACTCCTGAAAGGATGGGTGCGGGTGGAAATGAAGAAGAAGAGTCGGCCGTGACGCGGGGGAAAGAAAGACAGTTTGCCTGTTAATATTTAGCTTGGGTTGTTATATAAACTGTGATTCTGTGGACAATTTCTGCTTTGAGCATCACAATTGCTCATCAGACGACCTTCCAAGTCACTGAAAACCTCGTATTCTGAGTCTGTTTGTTGGGATTATGTCGTCATTCCCCCTTTAAAAAGGTAATCTTCATTTAACAGGTATCTTGTAGCAGTTGACTCGTAAGAGGAATCAACTAAAGAAAGCATTATTCAAACTGCCGGACACAAAATAGGAAACCAGGAGTGAACATGTTAGCATGTAGATTACCCTGAATTCATGAATACAAAACGTAAAGTGGCTTATTCCATAGTGCCAGCTGGACTTTCTATACGTTTCAGTGGGTCCTGTCTCTTTTCAAATTTTGTGGATAATGTAACCCGTCACCATCAAACGTGTGCCGCGCTGCAAGAAAAATGAGTTCAGGGAAAAGAAAGGACACATTCGGGAAAAATGACCACCAAGCTCGTCACGATCCTTGTTTTTGCACGCTCCGTTTTCTTGGAGCAGAGACGCTGCACCACATGAGTAATGAATCCATTTATTCACGAGACAGAAGAGCCGGCGCGTCACAGCGGATGTTTGCCTGTTGTCTCCGGGGATCCACCACAACACAGACGACATATTTCAGTCTCACGAGTTAATCATTTTACAAACTGTAGTGGCTGTATAAGTGTCGTATGCCTAAAGCCGCATGTGTCTTGGTTCATTAATAACCATCTCAGTCTGCTTAAACGGGAATCTGCTCTTCAAGGCAAAGGAAGCTTAATAGCAACATTGAAAATGCACATTATCTGGAAACAAGCAACGATGGAGAAGAATTGATCTTCATTTCAGCTACTCAAAGTCAAAGTACTATTCAATAATTTAGTTCTACGACATCAATAACTCTACAATACCTTCAAAAAATATCAATAAATGTCTTTGCATGGCTCCTGCTGTGAGGTTATCAGTGCTTGTGTACTGTTACTGTTACTGAGAAGAGGTGGAGCAGATAGCAGGTAGATTCAATCATGCCGGGCAGTTCTCTTCTCTTCTTAATAGTCGGCTGCCACAGCAGAGTGACTCAATGACCCCTGAGAGGGTTTCACAGTGACAGCTGAGGCACAAACAGAAAAACACCTGAAAGGCTGATGCCCGGCGGCATAACGGATCCTAACAAAGTGTTCTGAAAGGTAACTGGAAGGTGTAGATATGTGGAGGCCATCATCACCCACCTCTTTAGTCTTATCCATGGCCTTCAAGATGGCAACGTTCAGCTTATCCAGAGCAGACAGGACATTGACGTATTCCCCCAGATGTGGACTGAAGTACTCTGGAGGAGAAGCAGATTTGCTGAGCACACTTTGTGGCTGGTGAACCAATGAAGGAGTTAGTTATGGGCATCATCAGACAGCTTTGCAAGTAGCAAACGCTGAATCAATCTAGATTTTGCCTTTTGTGATACAAATATGTGATCGGAATTAGTGTCTGTAAACGTTTTAAACATGATTTTAAAAGCAAAATAAATAAAATTAAGCAAGAATGCCATTTAATTACCTGAGAGTTTGTCTATGTCCAGGTTACTTTTTGAAGCAATGGGAGGAAAACAAAAAGAGACATTTATTAAACGTTAACGTCAATGAAATAGATATTTCAGTCATTGGGAAACCTTAATTACGACTTTTGGTAGACTTTGGTAACCATCTGACTTTGTATTCATGTATTTATAGCATTGCACTGTAATGTTATTACAGTTAGCATTGTAAAGCCTTGTAGCTCACATTAATGATGTTTCAGTCAGTATCATACTCTTTTGGTTTTCAACAATCTAGAAAGATGATGGGTTTATTTATTTTTCATTCAATAATCAATCAATTGATGCAAAGTTAAAGGGTTACTCTGTTTGGTTCTTACTGAAAATAGTTAACAGTACACAAGAAAGGGCTTAGATAACACAAGTTCCTTTACTTTGATTGGTTGGTACTTCAGCGATGCCAGAGAAGCGACGTCTCCTTTCTATTTCAGCAGTGATGTGCCCTCAAACGCCGCACAAAACCATCTCTTGGGTTTTTTCTTTTGCTAAAACACCAGATGTTATTTATTCCACTATTCTGTTTTCAAGAGTCGTTGGCAGAGGCAACGTTTTGACTCTTTTGCACTCATATTTGTTCGCTGAGGCTTTCACGCCAGAGTTTAGGCTCTCTACGGCATATTGACACGATCTTCACTGAAGTCGGGTGTTGACATCTCACTGTCAGGCAGCAGGAGAGCAGGACGGGCGAGGGGACGTCTAAAAGGAAGATGTGCTTACTCTGTCTGCTGCCTGTCGATGGAGCAGTACAGCTCCTGCATCTGGCTGTCAGTGAGGATACCATCAGTGAAGTAAGACTGGAACTCCTCCACGGACAGCTTCCCGTCATCTGTAAGGAGAAAGCTTTCATCACCTGAATGAAGAATATATCCTGCATTCCATTTAATGTCAGAAGGCTACTTTGGCCTCACAACTCTATATTAATTCCAGTGAGAGCCTCAGAGGCGCTGCCGCAAATGAAGTTATTTCACCTCAATTGACATTGACTTAATGTTGCTGTGTCATGAATCTTAACATGAATTATTTTACTCAACTCCGTTAATGCAGTCAATTAATAAATGGGAAATACAAAGGGAAATACAAATACAAAGCTTGCTCTCAGGATTAATAATTACCTAACAGAGCGGCACATTTGCTTTGAAAACAACAGCACATTGCTGCTTTTATTCCATCACTGCTGTAACCAAATACTGCATAACACCCACTGTTGTCATTTCCGCTACAATCAATTTCTCCTTTTTCAATTGTGGAACAATGGCATAAGCATAACCATTAACCAACTTATTCCAGAAGAGGATAAACACAAAGACAGAGAAGTGAGTCCTGAAGATGAGCGCAGTCGGGCCCTGATAAGCAGCATCTGGAGTCGTGTAATGCAGGGGCCTGCAGGGGCCTGAGAAAACAGGAGCTGAGGGCTGAAGGGCAGATTCAGGGCAGATTCAGGGCCATTCAACGTCAGACGGTAATGACATCTCGCCTCCATCCCAACGTCTCAGCTCTGGCAGCATGGAAACCTTTTGAGACCCGGCTCCGCCAGGCACTGGCGCTGAGACTGATGGGCGGGCGCCAAGAGCAAATCATTTCATCTGTTACGTCTCCGGGAACAGTTTTGACTTATTGCCAGCTCACAGAGTGGATGGTTCTGCTCACGATGCAGCAAAGGCCCGTAAGCAGAAGTGTCCAACTGCCAGAAGAGATCTGCTTTTGATTTGGGCAAGTTGTATTCTGTCCTGCTGAAAGGGTTTTCACATGTTTTTTGTTTATCATTACTTATTAATTATACTCTTGAGATGGAAATCTGTTGGTTTACATATAATGTATTGTGGTAAACCTAACATGGAAAATAAAGCTATAAAAGCCATGAGTTCCTTTTCTTCACTGCAAAAATTTACTTTCCACATGTTGTAGGAGCAATGGCGGCTGGCCAGTAGAGGGCGATGGGGCGTCGCCCCACCCGGAGCTCAGCTCCTTGAGCCCCCCCACCAAAAGAGAAAAGAAGAGACAATATTGAATTTTAAAGAATTTCAATATTTGTGTTTTTGTAAATATGGAATGCACCCAGTAATATTTATAAAGTATGATATCTGCACTAAATATATGCTTTTCCTGCACGACCTGCATGTCAGCACGTCCTTCATAGTAGCTGCGCTGCGGGCAAGCTCACTTTTGCCCGTAGAAGGCGGGTGTAAGAAGCACTTTAGCCAATTGCTGATTAAATAGAAAAATGTGTGACATACAATTTAACCAATCAGCATCCTTAAATAGACTCGGCCATGGAAGCTGACAAGACGACTGACATGTATACTGTATATGTTATCTTATTTGAATCTTATTTGATATATACATTATACTATACTGAATTGCCTGTGAGGGGGACAAAAATAATATTGTCAAAGTGGTATTTACTGCTTTTGTTTCGTGTTGAAATAAATATTAAATATTTAACTGCAAAAAAGTAATGTGTTTTTAATACCTTAATTGTTGTTGTTTTTTCTGAAATTCATCCTAGAACATTTCCCACTAGCCGCCACTGTGTAGGAGTAAACACAATCTGTTGCCCCTCTGACTCATTCTTCAGCCTTCTTGTTCGTCAGAACTGCTTCGGTGTAGATTCACACCCAATTAGACACCCAAATACAAGTTACAGTGCAGCTCAGATGGTCCGTTATGCAAGTGTTTCTCTGAGAGCAGAGCAGCGGTGGAAGAATGTACGAGCTTCTAGCTGCATAGACAGTGTTTGTCTCACAACCTAAAGGACAATAATCAATAATAACAATATGAGAGATAATAACAGACTGAAGAGTAGACATGAACAATAGATAAACTCTTCTTACAGAGAGTTATACATTTCATATTATTCTGCTGTATATCAAGTTTAAACAAGGAAAGCACTTACGGATGTACCTGTTTTATCTCTCAACACTGATTCATTATCTTCTTCTCACAAACTACTTACTCCTTACTAGTTCCTCTATTCCATCCAAATCTGCAGCACTTCTGCACATCGCTACATCCTGCAGTCACATACAATCAGCTCTGCTCCTGCACTCCATAAAGCATTGATAAATAAGACTTCAACAATGTGGGGCAGAAACTTTATTACTTGTGTTAAAAGAGAAAAGGTCCCCTGAGGGAAACTGCGACTTATCACAGAAAAACTTTTTTTTTAACTTACTTATCAGTCTTTTTAACGCCGGTTATGGCTATCACCAGATGAAAAATAAGAGCTGCTGCGAAAAAATTGGATTCTTATGTCACTGTTCTCTCAGCTCATTGAGCAGCAGCATAAAAAGGTGTTTGAAACTAATCTCAGCACAACGGCAAGCGGAGGTTTCAATATCTATTTCAAGTTCTTGTGTTCATTGCTTTTAATAAATGTAATTCCTCATTGCAGTAGCGGGGAGGAATAAGAGTGTGGTTGGTTAGCCAGCACTCATTACGTGGTAAATGCGCAGTGCTCGAGGCGTATCACGGCAGCCCACTCAGTGCTGATTGGTAGGAGGCGCTTTTCTCTCGGGTGCACGACTCAGTGAGTTCGTGGAGACGAGGAACCAAACAGAGCTGAGGCTGCAAATTGAAGACAGCTACCGCAAACATACGGCAGGGTTCTTTCTCTTTGCTCGCTTCATCTGCCTTCTTACTCAATAGAGAAATAATAATAAAAAGATGTGTGAGAGCTGGAGGGCAGCGGCTGGACAGAAAGAGCACTATTCTATTTAAATGTCACACCCGTGTAGTCATCCTTGAGAAATAGAAATCCTCCTTCCCTTTCAGTGTATCTGCTACTGCTTCTTTACAACGCTGCCAAGAAAATGCATCTTTTAAGGGCTCTTTTATAATTTATATTTTCTTTTCCCTTTTTGTATGTGAATATCTCCACAGGAGTTTTAACGCCCGACTCTCGTGTAACAAATTCATCCTCGTCCTGGAGTTTGTCAATACTTTACATACATGAATCTCTTGCTCCTTTCGCCTTTTACATTCCATTAAACGGAGATGCAGTGCATGAATAAAAAATGAAGGATGTTTTTTCATACGGAGAATGAATGTTCTGTGATTTCGCAAGATATATTTGGGGGGGAGGGAGGGGTTTCCTTTGAAGTAAAGAGATGATTTTAATGTTACACAGTAACACATTAATCATACGCAACAGTAACATGAATTGCACCAAAGCTGAAATGGCTTCAGATAATTGGTCTCCAGTTAATTGGTACCATTTTGAGCTGAAATATATATTGTAGTCGAGCCATATTTAATGAATACCATATGGTTTTCATATGCGTGGCTTTCCGTCTCATTGAGGATACATTGTTGGAAATCACCGCCACTACATGGCGAGCGACAGCGTGGAAGAAATTCATCCTGTCGAATCCAGTTACACTCAAACCAAAACAATGCAGCCTTACCTGAACGTGGCTATTTATACCCCCCCTACTCGGATCTCTTCAGGATGGCATTGAAACAGAAAGATGCACCACCAGACCCACATGAATTCCCTCTGAGTCTGAACACCGACATTAACGTTGCTGTTAGGTTCTAATTTGCCTGGTCATCTAATTAGCTGTATAATTTGCTTACTCACCATTTTTGTCTGCCCGGCGGAAAATCTGTGGTGAGAAGAGAAGATCATGTTAGAGCTACTTTAGAAACGGCTACAGGCATAAATAAAAACAAAACAGTTCTAAAAATATGGACAGGAACGATCTTTGAGCAATTAGGAGGAAGAACAGTTTGTTCAGGCGTCCCGTCTGCATAAGAGCAGGTTTTTTAGGCATCTTTACGTTTTTTAATGCCGTGCAAAATCTGATGGAGCTGTAATTTCCACATTTTAATGATAAAATAAACATGGGACATTTTTAGGGAAAAAAGCAGACATTGATGAGCAACCAAGAGGAGCTCTGGAGTAATAGCTTTTATCGGTGGAATGTTTTGTCTGAGATTAGAAGGTTTTCTTCCTGTTTAATCACGCTGTGGACCAACGGAGACCAGTGGCTAATTAACTAACTGGATCCCATGCTGATGTCCCACTTTGAGCACATGAGAGAGTGAAGACCTGAAGAAGCTCTGCTCTCATCTATTTATATTTTTTATTAAGACAAATATACTGAGCCTCAAAGAAATCCAAACAAGAAAGAATTCTAACAGAATAAAATCTATAAATATGTCAGGAACCTGTAAAGCCTTTATGGTTATGCCATGTTTGCTGAGCATTTTCTAACACATGCTATAGTTTTAGGCATTTATTAAAATTACAGGCAGCCATTGGTTTTCATTGTGGCATAAATCAACGGCAGACTCTTGTAACTTGATTATTTTTACGTCAGGGAACGATCCTGTCTACTGTTATTTATTTCAAAGCTTCACCCTCATTGCATGATGATGCAGCTGATGGGAATATTTTGTATTTCGAAAATAATTCAGATGTGATGTTTGCTATTACAGATTACAGAAACAAGAAAAAGACTGACTATTGGGACTAGTTCCAATATTGATCAAGTGTTTCAAATTATACAATTATTTGTTTTCAACTATTTAGAGCATCACTACAAACAACTTGATATTGACATAGCAGAGCCAGGCACAGTGCCTTTTAGTGCATGTTAGTGCACGTGAACAAACCCTGCCACAATAAACGGTTGCAATTTCCATTTCTCTGACTCCCATTGAACACAATAAAACAACAGCAGGAGGAGTAGTTGTCTGTCACAACAACAATGAATCCTTCAGCCTGTCTAATTATATAAATAGACAGAGAGAGATACTCAAAGAGGAAAAGAAAAAACTGTAATGAGTCTGCTTATAGTGAGAAAAGAGCAAATTAAAAACCTGCAGATGAGTGTTTTAGGAAGACAGAGGAATAAAAGCAAAAAGAACGGACAGGTAAGTTGGACAAGTTGCACTCCAGTGATCGTGCTTTTGCTTCCCGCAGATGTTAAAGAAGATGTTAAAGTTCAGAGGAGAACGGTGTCGGGCCGGAGAAAATAGATGCTAACTGGCTTAAAAACTCAATTAGTACTTGCTGGGGTCTCATGTTCACCTCGCTGGCCAGAAATCTGCCTCAAGGAGATCAGAGAATTTTATTTAGCTAATCCATTGTACTGTATTTTAGTCCGTGAATCGGAAAAGGGCCATAAAATCTGCAAACATATAGCAGTATTTAAAATATAATGTAATACTGTATGCGCTGCTTCAGTATTGCCATCTTTTATATGAAAGTATCACTGTGATATTGTTCTTACAGTACGAAAAAATAGCTGTTAGAGAGCATTTCTGTGCATGTTTGATGATGTTTGCATGATTGAATAATTCAAAAATGGACATCTATTTATATGTTTCTGTTTGGAGCTGTGTGGAGCTTGGTCCTATAAAATGGATACCATATCATATTTGATGTACACACGATGTTGTGTTGTTGTTTTATTTAGGGTACAACCAATGTCGTGAGGGTCGTTATCATATTGGAAAAAATAACTCAAACCATTTGTCACGTCATTCACGCACTGGTGGGCATGCAGTCACCTTTCTTATGCAACGGGGCTGCTGCACATGCACGATGTGAATGGGAGGCTCATTAACACCCATTCACAAAGATCAGAACGGAGGACAGCGTGTTACTCATATTGCGCCTTTCCATGACGACCAGCGAGCCAAACGCTCGCTGAAAACAGTGCAATCATGCATCTTGTCCAACCTGAAGGAAAACGCCAAGCAGAAATGACATTAGGGTGAATGATAATAGCGCAAAAGACCCAGCGTGTAACACTTACATCATGAAAGAGGGAGATGCCTTGATTGTGGTTGTGGCAGAGCTCCTGCTGCTTCCTCAGGTGATCGTGCTTTGCGGACTGGAGGCACATGGTGATCATCTCTGCGCAGGCCAGCATCTTTGCCGCTGTCGATGCAAAACGATGTTTTCTGTATCGAAATCGTCCCTGTCCGTGTGTTCCGTGGGAGCGGAAGCGGGTTGTCGCGGTGGACGGAGGAGGAGGAGGAGGATGATGTCGTGATGAGATGGAGCCGGCCTGCTTCCCTGCGCGCGGTGACAGCAGCAGAATGGAGACTCCGCCTCTCCGCGACCAGCGGCGGCGATTCATGAGATGCGCCACCTGCTGGTGAGAACGCGCACGCGCACGCGTTCAGGTTAGTTGTCAGTGAGTTTAAAAGTGAACAGATAATCATAGAAGCTCGAGCTGAAAGGCAGTTTTAGTTATTTTTTTACTTGATAATTTGCACTGCTCCGATTTTAAAGTTTAGTAATTTGGGGTATTTATAAAAATGATTAAAACCAACCAGCAACTGCTTGGTCTTCATTTATTGGCACATAAGAGTCAATCAAATTCAAACCCGCAATCCTCTTAGTTCACAGGATATTACTGTATTCAAATGGTGTTTAATATTCATATAATACATTACATACAATAGATCTGCATGGTTGTCAGTGTTTGGGTTTTATTTTCTAAAAATAAAATAAGATCAATGTAAAGTAAAAAAAGCAAACTGAAACACTAGTGTGTGTTGACATTTTTTACTACCATATTAACTTTCAAAATAAATGTCATTCATGGTGGTGTTAAAATCATTCAAATAAATACTGTTATATTAGTTTTAGTACCTATAGCTTCACTTCATTAGTGGAATTTGAGTTTAAAGTGAATCCATTATTTTTATAATCAATGTTTCTGAGAATACGGCATCACCTTTTTAACCACCAAGACTTCAGAGTAAAAATGACCACAATCATTTAACATCAACCATAGTGATGCAACCTTAATGTATCCCTATCAGCATCTATGCCCCTCCCATACGACACACACACCCACACAGACACACATCTCTGGGTGGTCCCCAAAGTTAAGACCTGGGACCAGAAGAGCTGTTTGACATCTGACTAATAACAGTTGACATTTCGTGACCTTCTGCCTTCTCGCTGTTCTGAAGTTCGTCCTCAGTGCAGGTCAACAGGTGAGCTTCTGACTTCTCATCTGCTTCGTTGTTGTTATTGCTGTTGTTATATTCATTGTTGTTGTTTTCTGCATTACTTTTATTATATACACGTTTAGCATTACTAGTTGTATTACCATCATGAGTATTATCAGAATCAAACACGCTGCCATACAACAACGCTGGTTGTCACATGACCCAAACAGCAAGTAATATGTCACGCATGTCACTATTTATTCATCGTTGTACAACAACGTTCTTGATTGGATGAATTGTCGACACACATCGAACACATAAATTACTTTTTTAGGCGGTCAATGAGAATAAACCTGAGAGGTGGATACTACAGTTTATACCTAGCTAAAGGACATGTCTGTTTTGTTATTAACAGTTAACAGTATCAAACAACAACAAAGACGTCACTAAGATAAACTTGTGACCTGCAATTGGTGTTTGAAAAGGCTCCACTCTTTGACGGACCAGTGCAAAGATAACTTCTAACCACAAGAGAAAAACAGATTCCAAGAATTGTCTTATCTGCTCACCGCAGGAGATTGTAAAGTGATGCAGCTTCCTTTGTTTCCAAACTAAAACTAGAGATCCCCAACTGCAAAGTGCAGAGTGGAAATGTGTGTGCGATGTGGAAATATCGCTCTCATCATCTGGTTCTCATCAACATCCAACGTTTAATTTGTTCTCTGAGCTTGAGAAGCTTTTAACAGCAGGGAAATTAAGAGAGAGGTATCCCTGCTGTGTGTAATGGAGGATTATTTTATATCAGCCTCAACTGGTGACGTCGGTGGATGAGGGCCTGCAGGGTTAAGATAAGCAGCAGCAACCTGCCGCGCCCAGCACGAAGCACCGACTGCTTTCTGCAGCTAAACTGAGCCAAGCTGAGTTCCCAACATGTTTGACTTCAAAACTAATGGGATTTTGCTCAGCTGACCATAAAACAGGATGAAATTTCCTTAGGGCATCTTCACAGACGTAATACGCGTGCCTTAACTTCCCGTCTCCCGTCCTACCCCAAGTGTAAGAACAGCCGCAGTACAATGGCCGCCTTCCTTCACCACTGCCCCTTCCTGAAGTCTGCGCCGAAGCCGGCTTTGAGGAGAACCGGAGCCGCCTTGCTGTCTATGGCCGACCAATGCCCCATCATCGTCCGCCAGATCAGTGTGAGCGCCACGGCCTCTCTGGAGGCCGAGGCCAACGTCTCGCACAGACTGAAGAGCCCCCGACTGCCGACGGAGGTCCAAAGGAGGCAGCTTGCTCAGACGGCTACGCAGGTGGCTGTGTCCGTGTCCAAGGGCTGCCCCTTTGTCACCTCTCAGATCGGGTTGGTGCGAGCCAGCCCCGAAGTACAGGAGGACGTCCGAGAAGGTACAATTGTGCTACGTCACGGTGCGGATGAACCGAACGTGCGAGCCAAAATGGCAACATCTCACACTGACAGACCTGCACTCCTCTTGCACAGGTTTGAAGACTCTGAAGGGTTCAATGGATTCAATCGTCCCCGCATCCGCTCAGGCAAGCGCTGTCACCCAGCTCCTCCAAGACAACATGGGTATGTTTAACATTCCAAATGAGTTCAAGCTGCTTATTAACACATGTATCTTTAGATCAGATTGGATATTAATGCTGTCACTGATTCAAAACCACAACTATCCCCTCGACAGTTGGTCCGAGCTACGACTATGACCGCTTCTTCACCGAGAAGATTTCTGAGAAAAAGAAGGATCACACATACAGAGTCTTCAAGACCGTGAACAGGAGCGCTAAGGTCTTCCCCTTCGCTCAGGATTACTCCGTCCCCGGGCGGGAAAACTCGCAGGTGTCTGTCTGGTGCAGCAATGATTACCTGGGAATGAGTCGGCACCCTCGGGTCCTCGGCGCTATCAGGTACAAGAAGACAGACACAAGCTGGTTGGTTCGTACTTTTTTTTGGAGAAGTAGGATAACCATTGCACCATTCGCGTTTGGATGAAGGGGTTGATCTATTTTCACTGTTTCTCTAAATACAAGACAATTGTAATTCTTGTAAAGACGCAACAACACGGGTTGAATTAGATTATGTGAGCTGTTTTGTAATTTGGTTCTGGATGTTCTCAGAAATGCCGTGGACAACCACGGTGCAGGAGCTGGTGGCACCAGGAACATCTCAGGCACAAGTAACTTCCATGTGACTCTGGAGAGGGAGCTCGCACAGCTGCACCAGAAAGACGCCGCTCTGGCCTTCTCCTCCTGCTTCGTGGCGAATGACTCCACCCTCTTCACTTTGGCCAAGATGCTGCCAGGTGAATACTGACCTCTGAGCTGCGTTTCTTGTTTCATACGCTGCAGAACGAGTCGTGCTATCTGAGGTTCGATACTGCTCTGACTGTGTCTTCATTGTGCCGCACAGGGTGCGAGATATACTCTGATGCAGGGAACCATGCATCGATGATTCAGGGCATCAGGAACAGCCAAGCCAAGCGTTTCATCTTCCGCCACAATGACAGCCAGCACCTGGAGGAGCTGCTCCAACGATCAGACCCCAACACGCCTAAAATAGTGGCATTTGAGACTGTGCACTCAATGGACGGTGGGTACTTTGAAATGTTCATGGGGATTTAATTTATTCAGTCCAGATACATACATTTTGGTTAGGGTTACCCTAACCAAATAAGGGCAAATCTAAAAAAGGGCATGCCCTAAGATGAAAAAAGATTAATCTCAATCATTTTGTTGTCAGTACCAACAAATGAGCTGATTCTGTATTATAAATTAAGAACAATAGCCGTCCACAACATTTAGATTTCATAGCCAACGGAGAGAAAGCCAGGTTTGACGTATATATCTCTCCACAACCTCCAATTATTCAGCCTGCCTTTTTTATCATTCATCACTGTCTCTCCTAGAGAGGAAAGAGTTTCCCCCCTCAGCTCTATTTCTCTGTGTGATATTACACCGTTGGCTGCATGAAGCACAACATGTCAGCTGCTGAATGGATGACTTGGATCACATTCAACAGACAAAAAGAGTGTTAATACAAACACTGTTTGATTTGCAGGAGGGGTTTAGATATTTGCAAACACTTCAAATATCTCCCTGCATATATTTGAAGCACACAGTGTCTAGATCTCACACAGTTCTTACATTTGCAATCATTTGCTGCTAACTATAACACCTTATTGGTCTTTCAGGTGCAATATGTCCTCTGGAAGAGCTGTGCGATGTCGCTCATCGCCACGGAGCTCTGACGTTTGTTGATGAAGTTCACGCTGTGGGCCTGTACGGAGCTCACGGAGCTGGAGTGGGAGAGAGGGACAACGTCATGCACAAGATGGACATTGTTTCAGGGACCTTGGGTAGGTATCTTTTATTGAAGAACTTATTCTCCCTGAGACACTTTTATGAAAGTAAGCCGACTGTTTTTATCTCTGTTCATTTTCAAAGGGTATAATGGAATATACCAGACACCAAAAGGGCAAGGCAAGGCGGCTTTAACCGTCTTAGATTACTTTCCTCTTTTCTTGGACAAAATCCCATTTTGCTTTAACTGACGCTGTCATAATGCCAACGCGGCGAGAAAGGGCTCTCCACAGGAACGATACTGCTCTCGAGTTGGTAAATGAGGGCAGGAAAGGAGTGAGCTCGCGTCAGAAGAGAGAGAGGTTTTATCAGCTGGGTGCCGGCTCCACTCCCTCTCTGGTGGTATTGATAAAACCGTCATCGGGGAGTTGGAGCAGCTTCATGACAAGTCTGGTGTTTTAGTTCCAAATCCCTGTCAAACACATAGCAAGTGGCAGCTAATCCTGGATTACAACTCGTGGCAACAAAGGAAAAAAAATTGGTAGTGGTGTATTGATACACAAAACTCACAGCACTTCTTGCTGCAATGTTGTGATCTCATTATTTGACACCGAAACCACAATCAATCATTTGTCAATTTATCAAATGATTTATCTCTATAGGACTGGAATATTTGAGATTTATAGGTATACCAAATAAAAGGTTTCATCTCATTATCAATAGAATATGTTGATAAAACACACAACAATATGTGTAATAGTGTATAATATTGCATTTTATGGATATATAAAATATTTCATGTGTAATAATGTATGACATATTTTGAAGTTAAGAAAGCATCCATTGAATTATTTATTTGTAAAATAATTAAGATGAAAGTATTTATTATGTGGTCATTTTCCAACTGTTTCCAACAACGTTTTTTTATTTTGGAAAATGTATTTTTCAAGTTTGTTCACTATTGGTTCATAGTTTATCTGCAACAATGCATATTTTAGTGAAATTAATCCATGGGCTACAATTTGATCACGCTGAAATGTAACAGTGTTTAAAAGTAAAGTAAAAGAGGAAACTCTCGGGTTAAGTTCTATTTTTCATCAAATAACTGCGCCTCCTCTTACTGATTACTTCCTCCCCTCACAAACGCTTTTGCCCGATGCTGCTCTAGGCAAAGCCTTCGGCTGTTTCGGAGGCTACATCGCCAGCAGCTCCGCCCTGGTTGACACGGTGCGCTCCTTCGCAGCGGGCTTCATCTTCACCACCGCCCTGCCCCCGATGATCCTGGCCGGGGCCCTGGAGTCAATCCGGTTCCTGAGGAGCCGGAAGGGGCAGGTGCTCCGCAGGTCTCACCAGCGGAACGTCAAACACATGAGGCAGCTGTTGATGGATAAGGGCCTACCTGTGGTCAACTGTCCGAGCCACATCATCCCCATACAGGTAGGACAGTTCAGCGGTGCGGCTTTCTCCTCTGCCATTTGTCACCTTTAGCTGTTGGAGTATCTTTAAATCCAGAAAGAATGATCACAGATAATTAGTTATTCTAGGAACTGGATGACAACGTATTCGTATGCTACATCATTAGGGAACAGCTCTTGCGCTTATCAGAGCATTCCTCTGTATCCACATTTAAAATGAGGATGGATAAGAAATAAATGCCAACAGGTCATTTTGTACATACACATTGTCTTACTGTCCTGACTCACGAACTTAAATAAAACAGATCTGTCCTCAATGATATTGAAACCTCCTTAGTCTTTGCCACCGTGACAAGTAAAAACATCCGCAGCAAAAAATGAACACTCCTCTTTAACTCTGCAAGTACAACGAAGAATATTCGGAAACCAAAGTGAGTCATCGAAATAATTAGAATTCTAAAGTGTGTAATTACAGTCCAATGTTTAATATTTAAAAAGCTATTAGAAGCCATTCAAATAGTTTGATTTCTTTTAAATTATGCAAACTTAATGTATTTTCTAACTCATTTTTTATAATAATTTAATGTATAATTTGATTGTGAATTTAATTGATACATTTGCAATATCTCTTTGCATTATATAACTTGACAAAACCTGAAAACTCCCCTATTCTAGAATCGATCATCCCAGTTATCACAGTACTGTAATGGCTTTACCATTTTGGTAATGTATGACCCGAATGTTTTCATCAAAAAGCATCCACTAAGCCTCACATCAACTCATGAACCATTTTCTAGGTAGGAAATGCTGAGCTGAACACCAAGGTGTGCGACACCCTGCTGGAGAAGCACAACATCTATGTTCAGGCCATCAACTTCCCCACAGTGCCTCGCGGTCAGGAGCTGCTGAGGCTGGCTCCGTCTCCTCACCACAACCCGGCCATGATGGAGTACTTTGTGGGTGAGTGTGGCCGTCCATTCCAAAAGTAGGTCAAGGTTGTTCTAGTAAATGAGGACAATGGCCGACGCAAGTGGTTTATATTTGTCCATAGTCCACCTGTCGCAATATACGTCAATGCAGTAAAGCTGGTAATACTCGGAGTGGAACCCTAGTTTTTCCTTTAAAGCTAAACTAAACACTTTGACCGTGGTGTCTAAATAATGACCGGAGACAGAATTCTAAGACAGAGAAGTGAAAGAGGAATAAATATTGGCATTTAATTGTTCATTCTAATGAGTGTCTATTCTTCATTTACAGAGAAACTGGTGGAGGTGTGGCACGATGTGGGGCTACTGGTCAACGGCTCGGCGACAGCTTCCTGCAACTTCTGCGACCGCCCGCTTCATTTCGACCTCATGACTGAGTGGGAGAAATCCTACTTCGGCAACATGGAACCACAATACATCACTGTGCAGGCATAATACCAAAGTACACAAGGTAGACATGCAGAAATGCCCTATGCAGCTTAGTTTAAAGTGTGCTTTAATGGAAGTGGAATAGCCCGAATTCCAGAGTTTATTATCTGTTTTCCTGTATTTAAGTTCTAAATTGTGTTTTCTGTCATGGATTTGATTAAAGAAAAGTGTGCCTTTTCCCTTTCAAAAGCATAAAACCTGCACATGAGGCACTTTGTCATATATCTTTTCTTAGTGTGTTTGTTTGAATTAAACTATATTTACCCCAATGTTTGCGTGATTTTCTTCATACCATTGACATAATATCACATTGTTTGCATTACGTCAATAATTCAATCACCGATGTACAGTTGTGAAATGCTGACATGGCCCCACAGACTGTGCTCAGCCTGGAGCTACCTGGCGGTTCATCAACACTAGTTGACATTGCAGGGACCGGCCACTTCTCGTTTGAGCCTTGCCCTCAGTCTGCGGAGCTCCGTGTTCTCGTTGTCCACAGCGAGGCCGAGCTCAATCATCGTCCAGGCTTTGTTCCGCTGCTGCTCCTCGTAGAGCTGCAGCGCCCCTCGCAGGAAGCACTCAGCCACGCGCGCCCTGCCCAGGCCAGCCTCCACACACCGGATGGCCTGGGTCCTGTGGAGCTCCAAGGCCCGGCTGAAGTCCTCCAGCGCCGCTCTCTCTCTGGAACAGAGCACCATGCTGCGGCCTCGCCGACACAGGTCCTCTGCCCACACCTGACAATCACCCGGGCAGCCGCGGTCAGGTGCGTCGTGTTTCTGGACGACCCGGTCCAGGTCGGCTACGGCCCGCTCGTGTAAGCCCAGCTGAGCGAGGCAGGCGGCCCGCTGGCGAAGGTACTGGAGTCTGTGACTGCCAGCGGCTTGTACTGCCACGTTCAGGAACGTGAGGGCGAGATCCCACTGGCCACCCGATGACACGCTGCTGGCCTCTTGCGCTGCAGCCTGGTACAATTTAGAAGCCAAGCAATTAATATGCAATTCACTAATACAAAATACTCTCAATTACAATACTTGAGCCACATTTGGGAAATGTCTTTGAAATGATCTACTGATGCTTTCCATCACCATACATTATTCATCTTAGAGTCCATTTTAAACATTTAGAATATTCATTAGGAGATGTTCAGCGGAAACCTCCTTAATTGATGGACGTGGCACTGTAGGCATTTTTCACATTTTATTAAAAAGTGAAGAAAAAAAAATGATACCAGGTAAAAGCATCAAACAGAACATATTATAAAGGTTCTGCAAAGCAAAGGTACATGTATGAGAAATAAGAACTCTTCTTGAGAATAGAGCATTCACACGCAAAAAGCTTCACACGTTTAGTGCAATGAGATTAAGAAAAAGATGAATAAAAGAGAGACAATTACACGGCAAAAATGTTGCGATACCATTCTCATTCTGCTCGTTCTAAACTGAGATTCCTGCGTGTCAGCTTACTTGTGCGATGCGTTTTCGCTGATTGATTGGGATCAGGGCCAGCAAGAAGAGCAGACTGGATGAATCTTTTTCCGTCACTTTGCTAAGCCTGCGAGCTGCGCTGCCGTAGTTCTGCTGCCAGGCCTCCACCACACCCACCCTGGCCTGGGCCACCGCATCTCTTGGCTCTTCGCCAAACACCTGGGACAGATGAGCGCCTGCCGCCTTGACTTCACCTGAAGCGGATTGGCCATAAAATCGGGAGTATAGATTACTGTAGACATATTTCCAGTGGCTGCAAATGCAGATATAAGCATTACGTTTGGCAAAAATCCCATCTCACCTTTGGCTATAAGTGTGTCCACATGGAGGAGATGCCATCTGGGGTCTCTGGAGTCAGTCCTCATCAGAGCTCCGGCAATTATAAAAGCATCGCTTAGCTGCTCTTCGTGGCAGGGGACAGTGTTAGCAAGCAGGATGTCTGAAAGTTTGGTCCGACAGAACTGATGCAGCCAGTCACAGACCAGCTTCCGTGCCTTGTCCTTGAGCGACAAGATGTCTTTGGTCACCATGTCAATGTCTATCTGAAGTGCAGCCAGGACATCACGGGTGCATTCCTGAAGGGAAGAAGCTATTTGAATTTCATATTTACACTGCCCATAAATATTGTCTGCAGCGGCTTGAGCCAATTCTATAGAAAAATATCAGACAATATTTAAATACAATTTTCAAAAGGTTGAAAAATCCCATTTGCCCAAATGTTTCCTATTGTTAAGTTTGCTGACTTGTTTGCCAACATGATATTGTCCTTTTTCCTGCTCACGTTGATCAACAAGCTTACAGCTTACATGTGACTATATATTGACATTTAACTGCTCGTTGCAGCCACTAATCCATAAAGTCGAGAGAAGGCCAAAAAAAAGGAATGACGTGTTTAAAATACTCTGAGCTACAGTATGCTTCGGTAGAGTGTACCTTTTCTTGGTTCAGCATGAGATGAGTGAAGCCTCTACCGCAGAGAGCCTGGACGTGTTTTGGGTGCTCCTTCAGAATGGCACTGAAATCAAAGATGGCCGTCTTTCGTTGGCCCAGACGGGCGTAGCACCTCGCTCTCTCCAGCAAAGACTCTACCGCCTCGCCACCTTGAAAGACAACATTCCCGTCATTAGCATTTTCAATTTCTACTTTCAAATCTCCAATAACGAAGCGCTGCTCTAAACTCACAACTGGATTGTGTACCTCCGCTGATCTGAAGCCAAACACAGAAACGAGGCCTCTGCTTGGCCCTTCTCTTTATCCCACTAAATCAAAGTATTACCCACTACTTAATGAGTCAACAAGTAGATCAACTTTAATATCTCATGAATCAAATTGTAATCACCAGAGGCGATGATAGCGATGGAGAGGTATGCTACAGCTTCCCTGACGTCCCCCTCCTCCAGCGACCCCTCCAGGCTGCGTTTTGCAGCGGCGTGGCAGTGTCTCTGCAGCAAAGCCCGGTCCTTCTGCTGAGCCACCGCCAACAGGGGGCGCAAGCAGCTCGTATTACCGCACTGAATGAGCTTTTTCAGCTGCTGCGGGGAAAGAAAAGGAAATCTTTATCTTTTTCACTGTAGAAGATGTAAACCTGCGGCACACCAGTGTGTCGTAATATCACTTCAGAATGATGGAAACATCATAGTACTCAGTTTACAGTTACTCAGTAGTAGTTCAGTTTACAGTTGATCGTTTGCGGCTGAGACCACCGTCATAGACTCATTATGTATGACACCACCATTCTCTTTCTCTTTCTAATGAGCAGTTATAATAAGTAAAAATATTAATAAAGTCTTTATGGCCTAAAGCAAACCATGTGCATCCCAAAAAAGAAAAGTCACAGTCACAGCTCTGAACACAATATCTGTCTGAAACTATCTGAGAATAACATACACTTTGATTTGGAGGTAATAAACTATTTTTTCCACATTTTTCAATACCATATAATGACTCAAAATGTGCTCTACCGAGCGGTATTGTGTCCGCTGATCAGCACTGTAGTTCTTCATCATGCAGTTCTAGTATGAATGTGTCCTGAGGTTAGTGTGGTGAGATATTTGCTGTGGCTCCGGGTTTGACAAACGCTACATCAACTCAAAAATAAAGTACAAAATCGAATTAGAGTGGGAGTAGATGAGTGAATGTAAGAGTAGAATGAAAAAAAATGACATGTGCCTCTTGAGTTTCAATCAAATAAGTTCTCTGTAAGAAATAAATACAGTGGAACTAACATAAAATAGTGGGTAGTAGTAGTAAATATAAAGATTAAGATTGTGAAAATCCTTAATTGCCAAGATCTTCACATTACATCAAACACAAATCCGTTGATACTCACAAAGAATAATAGTGAAAGTATAACTCATTTTTGAAAAAAACTTTAGGTCTCCCAAAGCTACTTACCTGATTGGTGTCATAAAGAAAGCCTCTGTTAAGCTGCAGCAGGGCGAGTCGGGCCAGGATGGGTGCCCGAGGACCGGTAGGCCCGATTGAAAGAAGTAGCCGGTAGGCCTCCTCCACCCGGCCGAGCTGGTACAAGGCATCTGCTGCCAGGATCTGAGACCCATCAGCATCTGGTTGGAGCTCCATCAGCAGCGCAGCCAGAGACTGAACACCAGCAGGAGTCCTAATGCACAGAGCGGGGAAATGCTATTTAGTGTCAGAATGTAAAGTAAGATTTGATCACTCACAACAGTGATCAAATGCGCAATGTGAATAATACCGCAATGTGCAATACCGCAGCCCTGAATTCAAAGCAGGTAAATGGAATTCAGCCGTCATTCATTTGACTATTTACAGCTGTATCTTTTCCTACTGCCACATGTCAAACTTTCAAAAATGTCCTATTTGGTAAACTGGTGGGAGACCAACATCATACCCAGATCCGTCCTTGGCCCTTTTCTGGGCCTGACCAGAGTCTTCACTGGAACTGGACTTGGGTTCATGTCCTCCCGTCCCCTCAAGCATGACTCGTCCCTGCTCCAGTAAGACAGTAAACAGCAGCCCCCGGTAGTTCCATGGCACCAAGCAGCGAACGGCCAGTGCTGTTTCCTGGCCTTGCAGCATGCTGGCTGTCACAAAGTCTAGAGCTGTAAGGTAATTTAACCCGGCCATCATGCGCAAGAGCCCCCTGCCACATAGTGCCCGCACACAGCTGGACGGGTGAGGGGTGTTGTGTTCAATCACCGCCTGGAAGTCCTCCAACGCCCCCTTGGCGTCGTCGCAGAGAAGTCGTGCATATCCACGGAGGACCTGCACCGTGTTTTGATAGCTCTGCTGACCTTGGGCCGCAGCCAGCTGGCTACAGATAGAGAGGGCCTCCTTATGCTCCCCTCTGAGGAGGAGACATTCGGCCAGTCGCACCCGCAGCTCTCTGCCTCCTCCGTCAGGCTCTAGATAGCAGAGGGTTTGTAACTGAGTGATCACGGGATCCAGGAGCTCGACTCCTTCGGTGGATCGCAGGTCCGGACGAGTGAGTACCCTTTCTCTGAAAGCAGACAGGCCCCGCTCCGCCTGCTGACGGAGTTGTTTGCGAGCAGCCAGCCCTGTACCGTGATCTGTGAATAGCTTTTGGAAATAAATTCGGGCAGTAGCAGCATGAATCCCAAAGGCCTCCCCCAGATCTCCGCAAGCCTCGGCGGTCCGGCCACCTGCCGACAAGCAGGCAGCCGCTCGGCAGGTTAAAAGGCGAGCTGTCCTTTCCGGGGTGTCTTCAAAGGACGTGTCTGTAAGACTCGCCGATGTTTTCTGACCGTAACCACCATGCAGAATAGCAGAGTACGCCTGTGCGCTTTCCCAAAACCTACCTGACAAAAACAAATACGCTGCGTGAAGTTCCTGCACTTCTGCACTGCCAGGTGAGATGGCCAATAAAAACCTGATAATTGTCGCAGACGTCTGGACATCTAGCTTCTCCGCCTCCTTAGTTGTCAGTGCACACTCGCTGTCCAATATTAAAGAGGGATGCATGAGCAATAGTTGGTCTTTAAAGGCCTTGACTATTTTGGGTAGGTGCTGAGCTTGTCTGCTGTTCACCAGAGTGGCGGTTTCGGATTTGTTAGTCCGGTAAGCTTTGAGGTACAGCTTCAGCCCCTTAATACTGTGAGGCTCTGAGAACAAGCAGGCCAGGGCCCGAGTAACCTCCAACGCCATGTGAGTCACATCTTGTGGATGAGGGTGTCGCTTCCCCTCTAGCAGAGCGGTGCACCGAGCGGAAATCTCCTCACAGCCGTGCCCACCGCTCTGGAGGAGGGACTCCATCTTGAAAATGGTGGCTGACAGATTGTTGGGGCAGAGCGTGGAGAGAAACACAGCAGCGAGGCCTTTATTAAGACCCTCAGCCGGCTGGTTCCCCGCACAACCGTCAAGCCAACCTTCTAAAGTAGAGATCACCCCACTCAGACCTGACGTCAATTTTCGCAGGTGGGCAACGGTGGAGGCTGCGTGAGTTTGGAAAGCAGACATGTAGAGAGAGGTGGCTCTGCCCAGCTCGCCAACCGCGAGGAGCTTGTCTCCATCCTTACACAGCTGCGACACATCGACTCCAGGTCGAACCAGAGCAGTCATTATCAGGCAGCAGGGCCTCTAGCCGCGGGCCTCTCTTCACCTGTTCACACAGACGACGACATCGACGTCATCTGATGGTTAGAAAACAGCAAATGAGGACAAAAGTCAAATAACAATTAAGTTAAGAGTTATCGAAACAACTCACAATACACAAGTTTCACCAACGAAATGTAGACTTATTTTAGCAGAAAAGGCACAGGTGTTACTAATAGCATGTACTATAGGGCTCTGTTCTGTTCAAGTGTCCCAGCAGGGACATTTGAGAGTGAACCTAAAACCCAAGCAATTAAATGCAATTCAGCAATTTACAGATGTATAAGCTGGTTCAATAGTGTTTTGCTGGAACTGTCGTTTTGCAAAAGTGTTTGTGAGTGGTACTGATGAAACTTCAAATTTAGCAACAGTAATAATTACTTTCAGTCAAGCAATCAATGCTCAGTCAATGCTTACAAAATGATGAAGTTCGTTTTTTCTTAAAAATGTGGAATTGTATTAAACAAAAGTAGGGCTATATTGGGATTCATTGCATTTCAAGCTGTATTGGATTCATTTGAAAAACAATGGGGATTCTCATTGGCCACCAAGTCCCACTCATAGAGACAACAACACAATCCACAGTGCACAACAGACAAAAACACATCACAACGAATAAATAACGCCAGAAAAATCTAAAGGGATTCATTTAAAAAAGCTAGTTTTCTCTTACGGAATGTCTGAAGAATAGAAAACCTGTGCCCCATTTGTTGTAATTCAATAGCTCCGGGGCAGAGTTGCCGGGGCAACGCGGTGTGTCCACGCAACAAAAGCTGCGGCTAAAGTTTTTTGGAGCGTAGCAGTTGGAAAGACACAGAGACGGTGAGAAGACAATACCGAAGGTGCATTCCCATCGCGGTGGACTCCTGCTGTCTCCCTTCTTGTGTCGCCGGATGTCTCCGTATGAGCCGTTGTCCCTGTGTTGCCAACGGCAACAACTAACGCTCGCGCTGACCGGAAGAGCGCAGAGACGAGGCGCCGCTCGCCTCAATGTCGGCGATACAGACGAGTTCCTTTACCCAAAGAGTTCCGTAGTTCTATGAATGCTATGGGCGCCAAACTAGCTATGAAAGTCAGAACAGAAGTATTTGGGGGGAAATACTTTCGTAAAGGCTTTAACTAGTTTTCTTTTCAACATGTTTACAAAGTGGAATAAACATGTCCAGCCTGCTACTTCTCCTGTGATCAATAAAACGCTTTTAAAACAAGCACAGTTTGTAAAAATGACTTCCTCGTCAGAAGTTAAAGCTTCTTGGCAGCATATCGGCATGTTTTGTGGGCTAGTTTGCATCTAAGTCAATGTTTATCCATCCCAAAATGCAGGCGCTGTGGTTGTAGGTCTAATAATGTGTAAAGCGTGTTTCTGTATGGCACCCATGCCTTTTCTATCCAGAGAATAAGGACAATTGTTGGGCAGCTGTTCTTTGTCCCGATGCCCGAATTTGCAATTCATGAGATCCTCCCCAAGAATAAAAGCTCCTCAAGCACTCTGCCTTCATTTTCTTTGTAAGGGGCTCAAATGCACACCAGCTGCTGTCGTTCAGACACACAGCCAACAATCCCACCTTGTGGCCAAGAATTGTATTCCTTATACGTACTGTGTTACCACACATGTATTTACAAAAATGATTCCAGTGAGGATAATGTTCTGGACGCTGATAGTTTCAGTATAACTCATTGAGTTTTGTTTTAAAATACGCAAAATGTGACAACAATACTAATTTAAATTTAAAAAAAACATACACACACTGTAACAAATTGCTGTAAATTTACGGTGCATTTCTAATGGTGTCTTACAGTATGTCATAATAACTAACATACAGTTAAATTTCCATCCCTTGCTTGTAAATTAACGGCCAATGTCATGAATAAACAGTTGAAGCTGTCAATTTACAATAATAGCAGACTACCGTAATTCAACTGCATGTTACATATATTTTGGTGGAAATACACATACAAGTGCAGTGAATTACAATCCATCTACATCTGTTGTAGGTGAATGTATGGAAGCCCATGTCAGCCACTGAAAAACAGGTCCTGTAAGTCATCATAATGAGATAGTATCTCATGAGATACGATGATGACTTTGACTTACAGGACATTACTATACATGCAGCTTTCACTTTTATTCAAAATGCCCATGGTTTGACATCATTTTATGTGGAGTAATTGGGGGTTAGGTGTCTTGCTCACGGACACTTTGACTTGGCACAGGGAGCAGCCAGGATTCAAACCACCGACCTCACGCAGCACAGCACACCCTCCCGATCCCATGCGCCACCTTCACTGTCATTTCAGTGGCTGGAATGTAAAGATTATAAATATTTGTATTATTCAAAGTGTTCATTGCCTAAAAGTCATTTGAGTGTTAATCGTGACCGACTGCTCCTGAACGTGGCGTCAGACGCGTAATCTCAGTTCATCCAGAACACCTGTGCAGTTCAACATCGGAGGAGTTTCTCATTGTCTCGTCTCTCCAAGTAACGTTGGTAAGTGTTATTTGCCTAGCATGGTTAACATTCTCTTACATGTTGTTGTCTTCCTCATCTTTGTAATTTTAATATTTGACCAATGACAGTGTCTCTAAATATTTTATTTTGGTTTGTTTTACAGAGGCTCTGGATTAAGGACGTCAGCCGTTTGCTGCGATCAATTGAAAGCGTTCCATAGCGTATTGTTGCAGTTAGTTTACCTTGTTCCTAATGATTTTATGATTCATTTTTTTATTATTGTATACATGCGGCATATTTTATGTTTTGTTCTTGGTTACAAATGCCAAACATTTTTGTTTTAAAGGCATCTAATAAACTCCAACCACTATGACCGAAATGAGTTTGGTTGTCTTTCTTTATTTTGTGGAGAATTAAATGCAAAAGTATACGGTTATAAGTAAACGGTAACATTCTGGTATTTATAACACAAAAACAGTAATCGTATGGTAACAAACTGTAATCCAATATACGACAACATACCGTATATTACGGTAGGGCACTGTAAATAAAACATTATGTTACTAGCGTTGACTGACAGTAAATGGCAGTTAATTCACAGTAAAATTGGTTCAAGTTTACGGTAACATACAGGAATCCGTTTCACGGTAACAGTATAAAAAACATTTACGGTATTATACCGTAAAAAACGGTAAATTCCTGGCGTCCTTGCTGCCAGTAAAATACCGTTAATTTACCGTGACATTTTTTACAGTGCACACACACACATGTCTCAAGGCTCAAAGTCACAGACCACTGACCCGAAATTCATATTCAAACATTCATTAATAAACTTCCTTTAGCGGAAAGTCTTTTACTGTCAAGAAGTGAATTGACACACAGAAACTCTCAAAGTGAGATACCCCGGCCTCACGACCGGAAACCATCAGTTTGGATGGATTAAATGTGGTGAGGAAAAACCCAGCCTACTGCACCTTGACACCGTTTGTTTGCGGGAAACTGAAAATCTGACGTACCTGTGGGGATTTCAGTAGTCATGCCTTATAAGGGTGCTTAACAAGAATGACTAGCTGAGTTGCTGCACTGTACTTTCACTCTCAAAGGAGAAAAAGATCCTCAAACACCCAATGTACAATAAACTATTCACTCAGTTTAAATACCCAAAGTCAAGAGGAGTCTTAAATGTGACTTGCTAAGAATAGGCATAAATCTCCGGAGGTATAAAAAAAAACTTGCTACTCAAAGTAGCAATTTCACCACTCCCTTCTTGCACACCTACACAATCAGAGTAACACCACTTTCCTTCTCGGCATTCTGCTTTAAAACCACAGCCCTGAACTGTTGACACGGCACACGAGAAGCTGAGGTTAAGTAGTGTGCTAGAGGATGTCTTGATAGTTCAAAATAATAAAACAGGATTCCCCTCTTTTTTAATTCTAGATTCAGCCATTTCTACCTGTGAAGTAACACGGCATGATATCCTTTATAATAATGCTACTGGTGTTGTTGTTACATGCCTCAGAGGAAGACACTTCTCCACTCCTGCAACTCTGCATGGTAACAAATCTAATAATACATTCTGCATTTTAGGCGTCATTCAGTTGGTAAAAAATAAATTGCAACCAGATAAGCACTCAAGAAGGAAACAATATACACTCATCTGGAGTCCATTTGATGATACAAATATCAAAATATGTAGGACAACAGGAAATACCACAATTGGGCCATTCAGCATCTCCAGATTGATCAGTGCTGTCGTTCAACTCTTGAACTCTTGATTCTAACGTACATCTCTAGTACTCAGTATGAGACATTTGTGACATAATGGCAGTTTTTTATGGTTACACTATGCAGAAACCCCAGGTAGAAACGTCCTTTACATGGACTACTTGTCCACGGTTTGAAGCACTGATGTCTCCAACTGTGGCCCCGGGTGTCTTGCAACGTCCCGTGGAAACTGCTGTCTCTGTAACTCCTGCAGGCCCAAGAACCTCGCTTCAGTTCAGGCCTGCAAACTGCTGCTTCTCCAGGTTTTCCTTCAGCTGCTGGGCGCAGCCCGATAAATCCATGTAGCGCAAGGCGGAGAAGACATCGTTCAGGGTAGCGGAGGAACACTGACTCCACAGCCTCAGCATCTGGTACTGCCTCTCCATGGAGCCCAGACCCAAACCGGCCTCCAGCTCCACGCGCTCCAGCTGCTGATCAGTCAACGAGAGCAGGCGCAAGAACTCCTTCCACCGACGCAAGGGCACCTCCTTGATAATCGCGTAGAGGACGATGGCAGGCCAGCGATCTGATTGCTCGCGTTGTCTTGTGGCTGGAAGAAGAGAATCGCAGAGAATAAAAGGTCAGCTGTGTTGTTGGTCGTTTTTTGCCCAGCCGCAGACCAGGTTCACACTCATTGCAAAAAGGTCATCAAGATGGGAAGGGAAACTGTGTCGAGGCATTTAAGTAGACGTGGTTGTAGATGGGAAGAGGTGAGCCCCACACTCGCTGCATTTTGTCAAAGACAAAGACAAAGTGGGGCAGTCAGGAAGTAGTGCAAACAGACATTCTTTTTGGTTCGGAAAATAAACACAGAATCAAAAAAAAAAAAAGGAATGAAAAGGTATTGTAAAACATCCAGTATCAATACATTCGAGTCACTCAACCCTATGATACAACAGGTCATGGTACAACAGACAACCGTATTTGGCTGCAGGTTGTTTAGAATGTGTCACCCTGGTAGAGTTTCCGTGACAGCAAGCACAAAACCACCATAACCATTTTATGAAAAGAAAGAGAGAAAACAAAATCCTACATAAATCCAACAGCAGTGAGAACACGAGGGGGTTTACAGCTCAACCACAAATGCCCGACGCAATTACCATGAATAACAGGAAATGCATGTGGTTGTAGATAAGGTCTTCCTACAACCATTTTCAGTTGTTTCGTGACATGTACCTAGATCTGTATCAGGACTGAATAATGAATGTACTGTAAATTGCCACAGATTAAGGGAACTAATCAAATCAAAGATGCTGAATGAAGTGATCGGTTAAAAGAAAGCAGGAGGATGTTGATGTGGTTTTATTAACCTTTCACGCTAAATAATATGAACATGTGTGGAAGGTGATGATTTCAATGGAGGTGTTCAAGGATGCGAATCCTTCTCAGTTAAGTGCCGTGCATCTCTGATCCCTCCTTTCCTCTAATGTTGACCGAATAGGAGCGAGGCCATTCTGTTTCCCAATTTCCACTTTCACACAGTGGGCCGATCAATAATGAAAACAAGAGGGACCCAAAGTAAGAACACTGCAGCTGACAATATACCCCATCTAATCAGTCTATCGAGACATTTTTATTTGCTATCCCAAATGCCGTTGAGGTGTGTTTGACCAAAACTGTACACCAAACACAAGATTAAAAAAATATCATAAACTCTTGTGTCATAACTTTTAACATCACCTCCTTCTAATCTATCTAAATAGTTTTCATGAGATCTTTTGTAAATAGCATGTCTTGAGGTAGTTTGCCCTTCGAATGAGCAGTTTCTCTTCTCGTTTCTGCAGCGACCCTCAAAAATATTGTTGCATAAACACTGAAGACGTCTTCACTTGACTCCAATGCAGAACAATTTCAAAAATCAGTGAGCCTTCACATCTTAGCGTGGTATGGAAAGAGATCTGCTCACCGTGATGGTGATTAGGTCACAGCTTGAATCAGTACATCATAACGCAGGTGAGCTGCCTTCAACGCGTGTCTCCTATGACGCTACTGACATTATTGTTGGTAGCAGAGATAAAATATTCAGATGACTTCTACCCGTATAATGGTCTGGAAAGAACATATAATATTGCAATGAAGTACATTTTCAAAGTTTTTATATTAGTTTTGATACATTACTTTTTCATTTTGAGTAGATAGCTGTAACAGCTCCAATCCATTATTAGCCCTTCAAGCCTATTTTAGCAAGTCATATTTCCTTTTGGAGCAAGGCAAGTGGATAAGCAACAAAGAATGTGTAAATCCTGCTCAGTCATTAGGCTCCTCACACTTTGGCATTATTTGTAGTCTTTAAATGACACATTTTGAATTGTTCTTCTTTGGGTCCCAAGAAAATTGTTGCAGTTTTATCGTGTTTAAATGACTGAATAGTTGAATATACTTATTGGGAGCCTCTATGGAACCAAAGGGATATAATTATATATAAAATATGATTATGGTAAGAGGCCTGAGTATGGAGCCCTGGGAACATCCACAATGTAGTCCCTGTCATGTGTTTCAGTGGATGTACTTCAAGACCTTAACAGGAGCGGTTTTGTTATTAAAATTTGATGTTGTGAAGTAAAAAAAATACCTTTGAGGCTTTTAGTAGATAATCAAAGTAAGACAATTACATTAAATATCAATAAATATTGAAACATTGTGTAACCAAGTCCTTTACAGTCTGTGCATTGTAACCTGGAATCAAGTACTGACTCTTACCTTTGTGTTCGTGGTCTAGTGGGCTGATGTGGACTGGATGTTCAAGCACGGATGGACTGTGGCTGAGAGTCATCATGGGAGTATTCTCAGATATGTATAATGTCTTGAAAGCAGAAAACAGAAAGAAGAAGTCAAAATGTTTGCTGCAACCATGTTTCTTAAATGTTAGAGAGTGACGGCTGGAGTTCACCAAAAAGAACATCACAGTTACATCAACATTTCATCTTTGAACTTGCTGACCTTTCTTCACAAAACCCTCTCTCGATCCACCTACAGTGCTAAAACGAGATTGTAATCTCAACAGAACTCAAAAATCACAAATGAATACCAACCAGAGTGTTGGGGTGGCTGTATGGAGGACTGCTTTGTTCTGTTGGAGGAAAGCAGATATTATCAGTATGCTTCCTGTTTGAATGCGCACAGTTGAGAAAGTACATTTATCAAGAACAAAACTCTTAGTCAAAGATATTTTTGTTTAACACTGACACCTTCTCTGGCAGTACATTTCTTTTTAAATTGTACATGTTATAACTGTGAAAGGAATTACACGTGAGAGTTTGAATAATGTGGGTGTGGATCTGCTGCATATAAACCAGTATTTGTTCAATGTGTGTAAATATCTCCAGTGGATGTTTACCAGTGTGCACCAGAAAGTTTTCCCACTGTCAGCAGTTGGAAACGTTTCATAACTCACATATAAATACAGGCCCTGCATTCAACCACAGTAAGTATTTAGAGCAAAAGGTACATTTTATTATAACTGTTCATTTAAAGGCATAGCGTTACCGTTGAAGTCGGGGTCCTCGAGAGGCGGCTCCGGGTTTTTGTTAACACCCCAACAGAGACAACTGTCTGGATATTTGACCGTGCTCCTGGCAAGGAGCAGCAGCAGCCAAAGGAACAACAGAAGAGTCACCGGAACCGACACGAGCAACACCCACGAGGTTTGATTCACTGCGGTGGACGCACAGAAAAAACGACATCATTCCTCTACCCATCCATTCGAATAGGTCACATTCTTTAAAACTAAAATTCCCACAGATAATGTGAGTATAAAGTATGCTTGGACACATGGGTCACACAACCACAAAAGACCTGCACCAGTGATTAATTGAGTCATGCTTCTTGAATTGCAGCACACAGTTGACACTAACGGTTTGCTGGAATCGGATGCATAGAAGGACCAGATTTGTTGTTAGAAGTTGTGGGTCCACTGGTCGTAGCTGTAGATGCAGATGCAGATGCGGTTGCAGCTTTCTGACACCTGGAAAAGAGAGAGACTATGAACGGAGGAGGATGAAACTTAAAAACGTTTACCTCCTTTCCTTTGCTGAAGCTTCAACATTCTGATTCGGTCAAATTAAGTAGATATCTTTAAATGTAGTGAGCCATTTTAATATAAAATGTCCTCTATTTTTTGCCTGGAGAGTGTCTCCCCGCTGAGAGCATAGAAACAAAAGAGGGACATTTGTGGACGTGGATTCTGTGCCGTTTTGCTTTGGTTAAAAGTGCGTTATCTTTCAAAGGCCAGTACGAACAGAAGGAACAGTGTTGTTTTTTTCGCCCCCAAAAATTATTTTTAAAAGACGCAATTATGACAGGCAATGGCAATGGTAAATGCGCTGAATTCTGCCTTCAGTTGAGGTTTTTGGTCTGTGTGCACTACGTAGCACCCTAAACATTTTGTCTTTAGGCAGCGATCGTATTGTAAGATATCCTACTTTTTGCAGAGCTGGCACATGCTTTTATCGTCAGAATCTGAGTATGAAAAAAGAGAAATTGTTAAAACAATGATATGTTTCATTTGAGGTTGTGTCACAACACAGCCGCTGTGATCGTCCTTCTAGCGCTTCAACTCCCCTTCACTCACCTTCACAGTACCTACAGTTGCATTCCTGACACCTCGTCTTGTCGTGAGGATCCATGTAGTATCCGTCTTTACAGCCACATTCCACATCACTGGAAGCGTTGCAGGGCTTTCTTTCCTCCGCAGTATCTGAAAACAATCCGAGCAACGCTTTTCTGTCTCAATCAGCAGCATTCAGCACCCGGTCCTGCCAAGGTGGCCCAAGAATGACATGCTGAACAACAAAATCAGAGACCTGTTAAGCTATTTGGGTTAAACCGGAGTATAAATGGGAATGCCCCTCACGTTGTCTTTACGCAACAAATTCTATGATCTCAGAAATAAAGCCTACACCTGTTTTAAATGAGCAAGGATAAAATGTTCCTTCAAAAAAGTCTGATTTTCATTTTTTTTTAAACAGGAATTATCAATCCAATTTATTATCGCCCTGAAATGCTGAAATTTTACACAATATCCCACAAGCTATCAGCATGCGTCTCTATGCCTTATGACGGTATTTGTAGAAGATACTCACAATGACAGGTGCTACACCTCAGGCACTTCTTTGCAGTGTTATTTATTGCTGTGAATGTGGAAGCGGTGCACATTTTACATTTGTACGTTCCGACTGGATAATCACAAGCTCCATCTGCATGCGACCCTTGGACACAGTGGAAAAGAAAGATAGGGAATGAGTCTATATTAATACACTAACACTCATACTGCCCCTTTTAGACTTACCAGGTGGGCATTCTGCAGAACATGAATCCCATTTCAGTGTTGTAAACTTACTCTTACTCTGTCCAGTGAAAATGTAAGCAAGCATCATTACCTGTAACAAAAGACAAGGTTTCATATGTGTGTGGATAGGAAGATGCTAACAAGTGATGCGTTGCCACTTGCAGCTGTCTTACAAAAGAGCAGCTGTAGTTCAAACATGACTCAATGTGCTTCATCGAGTCCTTCATTGCATGGGAAAAGAGACAAATCAAACCTTTACAATAATGTGCATTGGTTCAATTTTGAAAATAGAGAGAATAGTTTTGGCAGATGTTATCAAATGTTCAGGTTGAGTCTTGCTTGTCTATCTAAGATTTGGCTTCTTTCTCAACCATCTTGGAGACAATTTTGAATATGGATTAATAACAGTTTGAAAGGTCAGCAATCAAAAACCTTGGTTTAAACAATATTGTGTCCGGCGCCCCGGTCACATCTTCATCTACCTATTGTCAACACTCTTCAAAAAAGGTTTTGACAATTTTATGTTGGATGAGGCCCGAGAAATGTGACGCAACCCATCTCTTATGCATATTGATGAGGATTAAACTGGACTAATTGTCAACCCCCGAGACATTTCTGATATTCATGAGCCCAGCTCGTCTTTCCATTGAAGCTTCATGTGGTTTAGGAAAGGAGATTGAGGAATTGTCTTGCATGAAATAGAAACTCAGCTGTGAGACTCAGCTAAATGTTACTTTTTCCAACCGGTAGTCATTGGAAGAAGTTTATCCAAATGGATGCCTAAAGCAATTATAATGAATCCTGAACTGGAGTCACCTCTCTAAAGTTCCAGCTAAATATCAGCTGGGATCCGCTGACAGCTCGATGTAACTGGGTGGCCAGTGGTTGTTGTTGTTTAGTGGTCACTGGGAAACAAGCCCTTATTTGTTTTAGGCATGGATAATATATTTAAATCATAAATTTGAAGCGATTATTCAATTAGTTTATTGGTCAACCGATCAGAATTCAACAATAAGTGCAACAAGGCTGTGGCGTGAGTTGCTCATATGCAAAGGTTTTCTGTTGGTCTTTTCTGACAGTGAAAAAAATTGATTAAAAAATCAAGAAATCAGTAGATTTGCTCATTTTCTAGAGACCAAACAAATAATCGCACAATCTGTACATTAAACTGTATTCTAGATGATCTCAATAATCAAGCAAATGTATTAGACTTTGCTTCTCCGGGGTTTGAATGCCATTAAAAGGCCTATTTAATCCCTTTACTCATCCACATATAACTTGACTCCTCTTATCAACACCAGCACCTCTGTGTTTTGCAGAAGCACGGACAGCGTGCTTTGCCTTAATGTTAACTCTCAAAGTCGGAAACCATCAGAGGAACTGCACGTATATTCTGTGTGTGTCTCTCTCACAGGAGTCACCGATGCTCTACAACGATTTAGGTCACCCAAGAATATACACATCAGAAGTTCTCAAAATTAATATAAGCATTTCAATTTCAAACAATGCCTCTAACCGACCGTTTTCAGCAAATAATGTACTTCTTTTGGTCACAGAAGTACAGAGACAGCCGCCGAGTTAAACAACAAGCGACGATGACGTAAAACCTCCTCACAGAAGCAAAATCATCTCTGAAGCAACCGGGAAAAGGATTCAAATAAAACACCCGATCTCTTTTACTTACCAAGACAAAATCCATGGTGAAAGTGTAGACTGTGAAGAATTTGACTATCAACTTTGTGTTCGTTGATAGTATTCATAAAAAAAAAAAAAATTTTAAAGATAGATGATCGCCAAAATACTCCTCAGCCGGCGAGGACACCCCAATAAAAGCCTGAAGGATGATGTCTTCTGGCTTCAAGCCTTATGTAGATTTCCTCTTAAGTTGAGTCAAATGAAGTGTTGCCGGAAGCTTGTGTGTCAGAGTTGTCAGTTCTTTGAAAAATTCAGAGAAGCGGTGCGAGAAACAGGAAACGGTGAGATCACAAAACGCCTCCGGTAGCAACGTAGATGAGAGATCCTCCATCTGATTGTTTCCCATAATTCCACAGCACCTCTGACAATGCCTACGTACATGATAGTTCATGAGAAGGGTGGTGGTGGTGGAGTGTGTGAGAAGAGGAAAGGCACGCTACTCGTGACATGTGCATTAGTGGCTTTCATGTAACTCCTTTTTCCTTGACTTCAAAAGCGAAAACCAAAAAGATAAATTTAGGGGAGATTGTAGACGGGCATTTATGTGAGGAACAATTAAGTAGTTACGTATTCAAATATTAGTTATTAGAATACATAACACTGTCTCACTGTTGCTATATTAAACTGTCAGTGGGTGAGTATTAAAAGAAAACATCTCAGTCTTGGCCCATAAGTGTCCATACAGCTTTAATTGATATGAACAATAATGTATATATAACAACATGCTAAATTCATTATCTGCTTTCCTAGAAATGTTACAGAACTGAGTATTTTCATTATGGATTGAAGTGACTTTTTTGTGCGTTTGCAGTTGTTTAGACACGGAAATGACAGTTGCGTTTTAACTGAGGGAAATAATGATTTAGATTGAAATCAATAAACACAACACAATATTGACGTGGCATGTGGTACTTACAAGAAATTATTGAAAGAGAGGTGCATGGCAGAAAGGGAGAGCACACAAATGACCCCAACAAGATGAAACAAGCACGTTTTATTTGGTTATTTAGAGGTCGGAGTTACAATTGAGATAAATGTGGAGAGAAAATAAATGTTTTAGATTTCTATGATAAATGTGTTTATTATCCATTGTAATATTGTTATTGAAATGCTGTTAAAACAATGTCTTTGAATGTGATGCTACACTGCAGTGGCTATAATGTACAGCTCATAATGCTCTATTCTATATGCTGGAAGTACACTATGGTATATAAGACATGGTATCATAAAAACATTTCTACGACAACTGCTTCATTATAATATATATTTATAAAATATTATTTCGAAGCAAGGACATTAGCAAAAAGTAAAAGAATTTGAAAACCTGAACCAGTGTAGTTTATAACAGGTATGTTAAAAAGTGAGGGTTTTAAAGTAAACGTGTAAAATAATGGACAAGATATAACGTGCAAATTCAGAGGGGTTTAGGTGGGATTTTTGGGCTTTAGATTCAAAAACGTTGAAGTTTTAATTATTATTACATTTTTTAACTTAATTTTGTAGTAGGCTACTTGTTGTCTCCTGCCTAACGGTACATTATAGAAATATTATAGATTTACCTGTCGTGGTAATCTTGCTTCACATAAGAAGATTTCACATAATAAAATACTATGATGGATGGACTTAAAATAAAATGCATGTTTCAAACAAAAAAATCTCTTTGACTTTTAGTAATTGATCCACTGACGGTTGCGGTTAAACCTCCGTATTGGATATTTTAGGTATGTTTGGAAAGCTCTTGGAAGCAGCAGGCTATTTGAAATGCTATTTTCCTTTGAGATGGGAGTATTTTTACACTGTGCTGCTGCTATTTTAGGACTACTACCCCCCCCCCAGCCCCCCAACCCGGACACGCAGCGCAATAACGTTATTAAATCCACCATGCATGCGCATTAAACGTTAATAGACCACGACATCTTGCACACACAGACAAAAAAATAAATAAAAAATATGACAACAACCCCCCAAAAATCGTCAGTAGCGTTCCACTTCCCCCCGAGTGCGTAGTGCGCGCAGCGGCACCCAGAAGTGAACAAAGCGACCCGGAAGCGCTGCTGCGGCTGGAAGCAGGCAGACAAGAACATCAAGCTTTTATATTATAGCTGGTTGCCTTTTCTCGCAAGACAATATCTGCCGTCGGGACACCAAGGTATTTGTGCACGTCGCTTCGTGTCTCTTCGCTGTCTTTTTTTGTGAAGGTTACATCACCCCAGACGCGTGCAATGTGCACAAAACGCGATCGCCGTCCTTTGATTCGTCCAAAAGTTGCAGAATGTGAAAAAAAAGCGAGAGAGAGAGAGAGAGGGGGGGGGGGGCTTCCCTAAAAGTGAGACGTGCTTTACGGTGCCACGGCGTTGGCTTGCGTGTGTGTGTGTGTATGTTTTGTTGTTGTGTAGCTGCTCGCGGTGCACGTTGACCTTAAAACCGCCGCGGCTGCGGCGGTATTTTGTTAATTCGGTCCGGTGCTTTGGGTCGAGCTGCATCTGCTCCGTGTGTGTGTCCGTGTGTGTGTGCGTGCGTGTGTGTGTGTTTGCACGGCATGTTTGCTGTAGGAAGTGTCTCTGTTTCTGGTCAGAGGCGGGGAGGCCGGGCCATTCAAACCCGCCGCAAACAATCACTGGTGCCTTTGACGTGATAAACACACCTTTGTGTCCGCGTCGGCTCGCTCCTCTTCTCCTCCTCCTCCTCCCTCCTCCTCGCACGACTATTCATGCTCCTACATTTTTTGAAGGGGTGGGAGGAGGGGGGGTCTGCAGAATATGGCGTCCCGCCTTATAAAAAAATAAGGCTGCCATTTTTGTTTCTCTTTTGTCTGGAAATGTTTAAAGAGAACTGTGTGAGGACGTCGCGGGTCGGTGGAGCCTCCGGTAAAAGCCCCCCGGAGACCGCCGACACGCCGGAGGCTCCACCGCCCCAAAGTTTAGCCCTGTTTTTTTAGGGTGTGTGTGGGGTGGGGGGGTGGCGGGTTTCGTAGCGTTTTATCCGAACACGTAAAGCGACGTGCACTACTTCCCCGCATGTGTCCGCGAGACAAAAGGGGAGCGAGCTGGATTGCACGGTGCAGCCTTCCTGCGAGGGGTCTTTACTGTGAGGGGTCTTTACTGTGAGGGGTCTTCCTGCAAGGGGTCTTTACTGCGAGGGTCGAGGGGTCTTACTGTGAGGGGTCTTCCTGCAAGGGGTCTTTACTGCGAGGGTCGAGGGGTCTTACTGCGAGGGGTCTTCCTGTCAGGAGTCTTTGCTGCAAGGGTCGAGGGGTCTTCCTGCGAGGGGTCTTTACTGCGAGGGGTCTTTACTGTAAGGGTCGAGGGGTCTTACTGCAAGGGGTCTTACTGCGAGGGGTCTTTACTGCGAGGGGTCTTCCTGCGAGGGGTCTTCCTGCGAGGGGTCTTCCTGCGAGGAGTCTTTCTGCGAGGAGTCTTTCTGGGAGGGGCCTTAACTGTGAGGGGTCCTTACTGTGAGCAGTCTTTACTGCGAGGGGTCTGCAAGCTGTTCACGTTTGACCTGCGTTCACCTTAAAAGTTTGAGGCTGGTGGGGCCTGGTTTACACACTGGGGGATGGGGGGGATTATTATACATGTATTGCAATGGCTCACGTTGGAATAGTCGTGACAAATGAATTCTTATTTTCAAGCTTAATGTTTCTCGAGCTCGAGTTTCAATACAATCTCCAGGTGTTCCTCAGTAGATGTAGTTTGTTTGTGAGAACTGAGGAAAGGCCGCGTGATGCTGATGAAAGCCAGAACCACCTAATAAGTCGTGTTTTTGTGCATTTCCTGGAACTCTTTGAATTCCAGCCTTTTGTGTCAAAAGTATTTGATTGGTTTAATTCACACAACCTTTTTTAGTCGGCCTTCAGGAAATAATCTGAAATATGTAACTGTACAAGCCCTTTTGAAATATGAATTTTCTCCATGAATGCTCTTCGCTGTGCAACCGCTATAGTGACACTTTAAAAATAAAAAGGTTTAAGAAGTCCTTCAACAAAACCTGTCCTGTGGATAAACGGAGCAGTTAGCGATCCATCCATTGTAAACGATATGATTGACGACCTGGTCGAGGGTGGAAGTGCAAAGCTACATCAGAGGGATGGAAGCAAATGACTGAGCTCAACGAGCACACACAACTAAAATACCTGTGATTGGTTTCAGGATGGCCGAGCCTCGATTTAACAACCCGTACTTCTGGCCGCCCCCTCCATCCATGCCGGGCCAGGTAAGTCTCCTCGCCACGTGTGATTACTGACGCTTCTGCCTTTCCTCGCCATTTGTTTCCATGTGTGAACGTCTTTTCAGCCATTCGGCACCAGTCTTGTCAGTGCAAAGGTCTTTTCTGTTGGATAAAACTAAACAAAAAAAGAATTCAACTCGTGCTTTTGTGCTGGTCCTTGATTTCTCCGGTGGGAAGTGTTTCTGGGGCGTGAATGACATTCACACACGGTGGCAGTTTTCTGTTGAGCACGACCCGTTAACCCTTTCAGCTGGATAACCTGGTGCTCATTAACAAGATCAAGGAGCAGCTGATGGCCGAGAAGATCCGACCCCTGCACCTGCCGCCTACCTCCACCCCGTCCCAGCAGTCTCTGCTGGTGTCCACCTCGTCCCCGGACGGCGGCGCCCAACACGTCATGTCTAAGACCCTGTCGCAGCAGGTGCAGCAGGGCCTCCAGCACCACCAGCAGCAGCAGCAGCAGCAGCAGCAGCAGCAGGGCTCCGGACAGCCGGACATTGCTCTACACGCTCGCCCCGCCTCCAGCTCTGGGCCAGGTACAGTCCGAACTTAGCTGTCTGTTGACTTTGCATGTGTGTGTGTGTGTGTGTGTGTGTTTGGTGTTCTCACCCACGACGCATCACACGGTGTAAAAAGACTGTTCACGGATTAAAATGCCCCCCGTGACAACTTCCAGATGGAAACATGGATGACAAATCAGCAGTGAAGGCCAAAGGATTGTGGGAAGACTGGCACATGAGACAGCTCAGCGAGCAGCAGGGCCGGATCAACCATCGCTCAGGTACTGCAGCCGGGGGGGAACAACAGGAAATAATACACGCTTTTGATTTTCAGGCAATTTTTTGTTCTGCAAACCAAATCTGTGAAACTTGTAGCAAATCATGTTTTCTTTGAGCCGTAACCATTTTGAAATCTGTCAACACATTCAGACTGATTGGATCACTTTGGTGCGTTCCACATGTCAAACAAGTATTCGGAGTCTGCGCACAGATCATACGTACAGAACTTATTTAAAACCATTTCAATAGTAGGAATATTACTGTTAAAACCGTATCGCATGGTCATCAAACAGGTAAATCTGTCAAACTAATCTCAAGTTCAGTGTGTGTTGGTGCTTTTGTTTTTCTTAAGCGCAGTCTCCTCCTCATCTCCACAGGTCTGGCTCCTTCATCCCGACCCGACAGTCACAACACCTCGGAGGCCCTGACCCCCACGACTCCGACCTCCAGCGGCCAGAACCGCCTGGGCGGCGCCCCCTCCGTGAACATCCTCTCCGGGTTGGCCAGCGGCCCCGGCATGGACCACATGAAAGTCGGAGGCCTGGCGGGTCTGCTGGGCCCCCCGCCGAAGGCGCCGCGAGGACGGAAGAAGATCAAAGCGGAGAACCAGACGGGTCCCCTGCTGGTGGTGCCCTACCCGATCCTGGCGGACCAAGGCTGCACTGTGGCACCCAAAGAGGGCAAAACCTACAGGTAGGGCGCCGGAGGCTGCTGCGTTTGTCTTTGTTAAGTCGTTTCCTTTAAAAAAAAAAAACAGGATTCAATACTTAAACCCATCAATGCGTGGCACTGAATAGTCTCTGTTTGTTTCCACGCCACCCTGAACACATTCACGCGCTCCGTCTCTCGTCACGCAGGTGTAAAGTCTGCCCGCTCACCTTCATAACAAAGTCCGAGATGCAGATTCACTCCAAGTCCCACACGGAGGCCAAACCACACAAGTGTCCCCACTGCTCCAAGACGTTCGCCAACGCCTCCTACCTGTCCCAGCACCTGCGCATTCACCTGGGGATCAAGCCCTACCACTGCTCCTACTGCGAAAACTCCTTCCGTCAGCTGTCGCACCTGCAGCAGCACACCAGGTGGGTGGGGCTGCTGGGGGCGCCGGGCTAGCGCTAACCCGCTAACGTGCTCTGCCAGACCCGGGGGGGGGGGGGAGGTGGGACACTAACCAATGTGTACAGAAATGTTTTTGTTTTTTTTCTTGCTCCTTCAGTCATTTGGGGAGTAACTATTTATTTAGGTGTGTCTCTTATTGTGCATTAGACGCACCGACGTCCTCCGGCAAGAAGTTGGAGTAATTCCGTCGTTGGTTTGATTGCCACACATCTCATCTCAACAAAAAGCAAAACTTTTTTTTTTTTTTTTGATCTGCTTCTCTCCACACAGAATCCATACCGGCGACAGGCCGTATAAATGTGCTCACCCTGGATGTGAAAAGGCTTTTACCCAGCTGTCTAACCTCCAGGTCAGTACATGGCCGCTGAACTCCACTGAAGTAGACGCGACAGCGACCGCTGTTACGTTATCAATAAAAGAGTAGAAACAGTTTCACTGCCTTTTTTTTTGTTTTTACGGCCGAGGTCTGAACGAAGCGTCTCTGTTGTGTTTCCTCCCTCGACAGTCTCACCAGAGGCAGCACAACAAAGACAAGCCGTACAAATGTCCCAACTGCTACCGTGCCTACTCGGACTCGGCGTCGTTGCAGATCCACTTGTCAGCCCACGCCATCAAAAACGCCAAGGCCTACTGCTGTAGCATGTGTGGCCGGGCGTACACCTCAGTGAGTAAACCACAGGCCATCTGTGTGTGTCCTGTTCTGCCTGTCAGGTTTTTCCGGCGTGCCTTCAGACGGCCTTTTACGGTATCCTTCCTGCACTCTGCTGGAAACTTCAGTTTCCTCTGTGATGATCAGAAACTAATTTTTAAAACATGCTGAAAAGAGGTGAATTGTTGTTGTTTTTTTGAAAATCAAAAGGATCCACTCCTGACCTTCAAAGTACCAGCTCACGTTTTTTGCTCATAAAACTTTTGCAGGTTACACATTTGCTTTCATCCTGTCAATCAAAAGGTTGATGAACCACATTATTTGTAAATCAACATTATGTTAATTTTCTTTAAATCACCTTTTTGATCATAGTACAATTAAGGGCGGATGTCCCCAAACGTTACTTGTTCCGTAATCTAAAATGGGAATATTTGCTGTTTTTGTTTTTTAAAACATCTTTTGAGATTTGAATTTAACAAAATAAATTTGCTTAAACAGATCAAATGAGTGCCTCATCCGAGCCCAATTGATTTGTTAGTTTACAGGTTTCATTTTAAATTCAACAACCCGTCTTTAAAACGAGGCTACTCATCTGAGAAAGATCTTCTGAAGTTTTATTTTGGCTTTATTGGAAACAACCATTTCTTCTTGGGTGAATGGAGCTTGGAGGTTCTTGCGGGGTTCTTCTTGCTGGATCCACCGTCCTTACATCTGTTTATCTAGAATAGGTCTCATCTTTCAAGGCACTCCAGGTATATTTTTCATTTAGAAGGGTCATATATCCTTGAACTATAATTCAAGTGAGCACTAATGTAGGACGTTGATGGCGACAATCTAACCCGTGGGCTGTTTGTGTCTTGTTTTCCCGTCCTTCTCCGCAGGAGACCTACCTAATGAAGCACATGTCCAAACACACGGTGGTGGAGCACCTAGTGAGCCACCAGTCGCCTCAGAGGACCGACTCCCCGAGCATCCCCATACGCATCTCCCTCATCTGAGGTCGGCCGGCCCGCTCAGCAGCAGGTCCCATTCAAAGTCTACGTTAGGCTGGAGCTTACGAGGTCCCGCACCCACCGCCATCCACATCAGGCTTACATTAGCATTATGACAGCTGACATGAGCATTCAGTGCTACATTCAGTTAAACAGGCCGCCTCCATTCATCACGACACGGGCCGTCTGTCAAAAATGAGCACAGCGTTATTTTGTGAATGTAAAAATACTGCGAGACGTCGCCCGGGAGGATCGAGTGGCAAAGAATGTCTTGCGTCAGATTTAATAAGCACTTTCGTAAGCGTCGTGTAAACTGCCGGATGCTTTGGCCATCAGAAATGTTTCAGTGAGATTCTTTCTTTTTTTCTTTCTTTTTTTTATCCTCTTCCATGAAATGGGTTTTCAAAAAAAATGTGCCAGATGATATTTGCCCTTATAAAGAATTATGAAATATGAAAACTGTTTGCTGGGTGTGTTCTGGAGACATCCAAAGATAATCGTAAAGCACTTTTAGGCCTTTTGGTTTTGGGCTCAAATTGTTTCAATCTTGTTGGATGGGAAATGCCAAAGGGCATCATTGTGGCAGCTAAGAGTTCTGTCTGTGTATAAATAAGTATTTTCTATTCCTCCTTTTGTTCTTACTCCCCGTTTGTGAGAGTAGACACTTACATGGTCATCTAAATTTGAAGAAAGGCAATCGCTGGATGACAATTCAAGCATTTATTGATTGTATTAATTGAGGTGCGTTATCGAGGTGGGAAGACAAAAAGTAGAGCAACCTGGGAGGGAAGAAGGAAGAATGTTTGTTTTTTTTTTCTTTCATTTCCAGAACCTTTCAATCCATATTTGACATTCACCTGTTTAAGGCACCTTTTTACGATCCTAATTTGTGATCAAAGAAACACTGTTTTGGACATATTTTCCGGATTCCCATTGACTCGTGCCATATGTGAACCGTGTCTGGTTTCAAGAGAAAGCAAATCTCGCCGTAGCTTGTCGGTTTTCTCTAGTCAGTTAAGCTTTGACTATTAGAAGTTGAAAGCGTTGCACATCTTCCCGTGCCAGCTCTAATGTGCTCCTCCCTTCTTTAACACACACTTCAGCTAAAATGAATTATCTTACCCCGCTGGTGCATTTTAAACCCAAACATTGGACCAAAATGTGAAGTTATGTACAGCTCCTCTGACCCAGTTAAGTATTTTTAAAACTTTCAATAAGCTTTAGCCATTCAAAATAAACTGCAGTACAAGTCATATTCCATAGGCCTATGTTAAGATTTCGTGTGGCAGTGAAGCTTCTCCTTTTGAATTGTTTGTCCTTTGTATTCTTTTCATTGTACACAGTATTGTTTGTTGTATTTTTACTGTAACTTTAACCTCTGGATGGTACTAATAGAGTACCCTGTATTCTTCAGGGCCCTTCAGAACAGGTGCTACGGCAAGACAGTTCATTTGAGACGGAACTGAGAATGATGTAAAATACGTATACAGTATAAAGTATGTTTTCAAAAGAAGAAAAACCTTATTACTCAAGCCACTGGCCTGAAACCAGACGTTTTAGCCAACAACAGACCCTGCCTCTTCAACTAAATCTCTTTTGAGATGATGGGAAATTGTACATGTTGCTGTACTGTAAAACATGTTACTCATTTATAGTACCCGTTTGAGTTTTCATTAACATGCTCTGTTTGGGTTTTGTAAAGGTTTCTGTACTGTAATTGTTTTAGTCTACCCATACGTTATTAATATTCATGTTTTATATCAGTTATTTACATGTACGCCTTAACTGTTTTATCATCCCATTTCCATTAATCTGTATTGTTCTGCAGTATTCAGTTGTGTAAACATTTTAATTTTCTTTCCTTCCGCATGGAGTTCCTGAGCTGTAATCTGTATGATAACTGTTTAACCCATGTGCTCTATGAAAAGATGTTGCGTAGATTTATTACACTTTTTCCCGTCTTGCATTGTGGTTTCATATATAGTTTAGATAACTAAATATGCACAGCTAAGACTGGGAAGTTAAACTAAGGTTATCAGTGTTTAAAAAAGGATGACAAGCTTTGTATCTTTACCTTGTTTAATAAAACAGACTGTTATAAATTCATCATTGGTTACGGTTTTTCTACTAAAAACTGTACCTGATGACAGATTTGTGTCGTAAGAGGAAATAAACATCACGTGTATCATTTATGAAAATACTTTTATTTAAAAGTGTGTTTACAGGGATGCAACCAGACAAAGATGATTGTCGTTTAGGCTTTTTGACGTGTTCAGGCAGCAGTAGATAAAGTTGAACACTTCGTCACTTCAGGCACATCGTAGACAAAATAGATAACGCTTTCAACACTGTACAATACTATTTTTATGCCACATAGATCCCTTTGTAAAACGGTACAAGTGCTTTCTAAATGAAATGGTTGACCTTTTTTTCCTTTTCCTGACATTAAGGCTATTTTAAAAATGTAAACAAATATTAAATACTGGAGTGGCTACACATCACGTCCAATCGGCAAGTGGGTCCCCAATATCAATGTCATGTACCGTATTGGAAGAGTTAAAAAGGCGCTAAGATCTTTGACACATTAAAACCACACAAAGGCATTTTTTCCCTACTGAAAATACTGCAGGATTCAATTCAGAGGAAAATACGTACAATGGATTTTCCCCAAAACTTCTTACAAAGTGCTCGGTTTAAGCTAGTCTCACTCTAACCTTCATGAAATTTCTTTTTGAAATTCACTGTGCTAGTGTGAAGTACATTGCCTTATCTTGTACCATTACATTGAAAAAAAGCTTTCTCGTAAGCCAAAACAAGGCTTTCAAGCATTCGGATTGTCTTTTAACGATGCAAACAACGTGCACACAAACAAGGATGTGCCACGTATTTAGCTTTCATTTCAAATCTCACCTTCCTTTTCATAATAATTGACAGTCCAAGAAATCCTGGAATCTGGACGGAAAAAGTCAAAAAGATGATCTTCCCTGAGCAGAACTCCATTGGAAGCTTCGGTTTCATTATTACGGCCTTAAAACAAGGATTATTTACCATTCGAGATACTTTCACCCCTTTATTCTGACTTTCGCCTCAGTGGCGGATGCCTTGGTACAACCCAAGACATTGACGCATCCTCGCAGGCAGCTTGCTGTTGAAAACTCCCGATACAGACCGCCGCCTCTCATACCTGGTCACTGTTAAAGGAGCTCCCTTTTGAGCCCTTGGCGCCCGGGAGAAGTGACGGCGAGGTGAGATTCAGGTAGCCCTGCTCCGACGGCTGGTGTGCGGAGACGGACGCTTGGTTGCCGTCCGCCACCGCACGCTCCGACATCTTCTCGCGGCAGATTGCGTCAAGGATGTTGAGTGGATCACACGAACCGGACGCCAGACTAGCAACACAGACGCGGTTCAAATCGGAAGAAAATACACAGACGCATCCACCTAAAATCCTATCAATGTGTGACATGACGAGGGGAAAATAAAGAAATAAAGAGCATAACAAAGCGTCTAGTACAGAATCCCCTTACCTCAGCGTGGATGAATGCAGGAAGCCATCACAGAGACTTTCAGACAGGAGCACTTTATTGGCATTCTGTTGGGTTTTTGCACCATTAATGAATAAAATATACATATTTTGTATTTAAAAAACAACTACTGTGCTACTCTGCATGTACCAACCTGCAGGCTGTGGAATGATTGCACGTTCCTCAGGGCACGTTCCAAGGAACTGACTTGGTTGGAGAGCTTCAGGATTTGATCCTGAAGTTGCCGGTTTTCCACTTCCAAGACGTTGACCCTTGAACACAGAAGTGTTCACACTCACTCGCAAAAAATATCCACCCAATGGGGCCTTTATGTCCTGACCAATACATATATGGTATGTTGTTGACAGTTTTGGTTGACAATGAAGAGCATCTTTATTGTGGTGCAGTTCATAAGGAATGTAGAACAACTTGAGGAGAAAGACTTGGAATAAAACTTTGAAGTTTTCTTTGACGTGAATATTGAGTCTTGGTGGAGAAAGTTCCCAATTAATAATTTCAACAATGAATAAACTCAGTTCAAATATATTGAGCCCTCTGATGTCCAATAACAACCCTTCATTTGTCACTTGAAAAGAAACAGGATTAGTTATGAGTGCACAAACTAGTGTGATTCATTAAGTTACCTGTGTTGGACAGTGGAGGCGGTCCTCATGCCTTTGCTGCCCATTTCCTCTGCCTCGCTTATTTTTTGCAACAGTTCCCTTTTCTCCTCCAAAAGCTTCTCATTTTCCTCCGTCACTGTATGGATCGTTTCCTTCTCCTGGACCCACCGGGGAGAAATAAACAAAAAACAGGGATATTCTAGGAAAGCTTTCTCCGGCATCCATTGTGAGATATTTATAAGAAGAGGAAAAGTGTGTGTGTGTGTGTGTGTGTGTGTGTGTGTGTGTGTGAGTGAGTGTGAGTGTGTGAGTGAGAGACCTTTTGTGAGAGGTTGGAGGCCATCACCAGGTCGTTTTCCAGACGCTGGATTATGTGATCCCTCTGGGCAGTCTCCCTGAGGTAGACCTGCTTGGCCCGACGCAGCCTGATCTTATGCTGACTCTGCTTTTCGTTGTACTTTCTGGTCGGTGGAGCAAAAGGAAATAGACCTCAGAAAAGCAGCTACTTCTCCAAGTTAATTGCAGATGTTGCTATAAACTTGTTCAGCCGATCAGAAAGTACAAATAAACTATGTTCATGCACGTGTCTCACCCGACGTGTGCGTCCAGCTGGAAGAGGACGAGCTGGAGTTCCCCCTGAAATCGGTCACATTCCAGCTGACTGGCCACCAAGTCCTCCTGCAGTCTGTGGCTCAACTTCTGGCTCTCTCTTGCCTGAGAGAAACAAATGAATATTCAAACCCTAAATATGGACAGGGGTTTGATGGAAGGACTGTAACTACTGGCGTGGTAAAGATGAAAGAAAAAGACAGTGAGACTGGTGTCCACTGATAACCAGGGATTATCACCTCCTCTCTGGCCTTGCTGAGCTCAGCCTCCAGGATGGGCAGGCGGGTGTCCAGCTGCTGGGCACGGTGACTGAGCTCTGCATTAGTCCTCGTCATGGAGGCCTCTTTGAGCCTCATGGTGCGCACCTGCTTCTGCAGCTCCTCCTCACGCTGCTCCAGCAGCTTCCTGTGATAGAGATGGAAGAAAAGATGGCTAGATAGATCCCATTGCCATCTTGCAAATGGGGCCGAGCCAAACCGGGCCGGTGCGATTGGTGCAACCTTGTGATGTGCTGCTCCTGCTGCTGGGCTCTCAGAGCCGACAAGGAGTCAGACAGATCCCTGCTGTCCCTCTCCAGACGGCTGCTCTCCCCGGCCCGGGCTTCCTCCATGCGCAGCTGGTGCTGGGCACTCTTAAGCTGCAGCTGCAGATCCAACACCTGTCATTCCGGCACAGCCGCGGGCTTCAGTCAGCAACAGATAATATCAACTACTAACCTTTCATTACATCACAGGATGTCCTCAAATTAGGACACAAATAGCCTGTAAACGGTGGCGAATGTAACCCTAAAAAAAATTAAAAAAACTCGACGCCAAGTCGAGCCAAACACATTTGAGCAAAAATGTTTCTACACAAGCGGCAACCTGCTTAATTTTAATTAAGCAGATTTTGCAAATCTTTTTAATTACAATTCAAGGGCAAATTAGGTGGAGAAAAGAATATATATTTGTTTGTGTTTTCTAGTAAGCGTTGAGAATACAGCTCTCAATGGGGCTGTCACTGATAAGCAGAATCCCAAGAGGAAAAACTAAAGCATAAAATCCTCTACAGTCTCTGTCACTAAGCCTGAAATATTAACACGAGATGCCCCGCGTTGCACCGCTGGTTACCAAATTCCCCCCAATCTGACTGAAAAAAGAAAAAAGCCCCAGATTGGACTCGGATGAGATGATCGCGCTGACCTTCTTGTCAGCCGCGATGAGCTGCGCCCTCTCGGCCTGCAGGTCCTCCTGCAGGGTGTTAGTGGTGGTGCGGTGTGTAGAGGTGCGCGCCAGTTCCAACTCCAGTTCCCTGATCTTCTGCTGCCGACGTTCACACTCTGCAGCCTCAGTGTGGAGGCTCTGCTCCACCTGCGCCAGCTTGGTCTGGACCTGCTTCAGGTCTGCACAGAGCTAAAGGAGGCACGATTCAACAACAGAGCACTGCAAGAAAACAGACGCTTAACACCAACGTAACAGCTATAGCCACAATTATAGCCGTTTGTACGACACCTCGCAGTAATTATCGTTCGCAGTGGGTAACGAGGAGAGTGATTAAGCAGAGGATTATGTAATGAATGTCAGAGGCATTTAGGAAATTCCAACTGTGCTGTAATTAAATACCAACTTTGAGTTTTTCCTGGTCCAGCAGGGCGTTGTGTCTCTTCTGGTCCATGTTTTTCTCCTTCTCGTAGCGCAGCTCTCTCTCTGCGGAGGTGAACAGGCTCTGGGCCCTCTGCAGGTCCTGCTTCATCTGCTTAGCCTCCTCTGCCTTCTGGCTCAGCACCGAGTCCTGGGACTGAGGAGGGAAAATGTCGGGAGGCGTTGGACTGAAGGAGAGTACAGATAAATACAGAAGCCAAGCTTGGCTTTTGTGTGACTGCTGTCATGAAGCAAACGATTCATGATTTAAATGGAAAGAAACGGGACAGAGGACTGGAATCGAGAGACCTGGTGTTTTTGTTGTTAATTATGAGCATTTATTATTAATGAGTTAAAGAATGCCAGCAACGCTTAAATTGCTGCTTCCTCGACCAAATCAAAGCAATACAAAAAGACAATCATGACATAAAATGAAAATTCATGAAAATTTAGAAACCCATGCAGAAATAGCACGTCTATCTCTGCATGTTAGGGGTGAGTTATGGCCATGCATACCTTGATGTGGGCCTGGGCTTCAGTGACCTGAGCCTGCAGTGCCATTTGGTGCTGAAAGGCCAGCTGCCGCTCCTCCCCCAGCTTGGTCTGCAGATGATTACGCTCCTGCTTCACACAGGAAAGCTACAAACAGAAAACATACCACACACACACACACAGATATACGGTTTGGATGATCCACGATTAATCCAGTTACATCCAGCTGTTACCAAGCGCAGCCGCTCGCCTTTTAACAAACACTAGAAGACATGAACATGTCAACCCGGATTTGGCCTCTCTTCACTGGTTAGCAGTCAGTTTGAGATTTTAATGATCACATTTAAAGCACTTAATGGGTAAAACCGCAGCTGTATTGCTGCGCCTCTATGAGATCCTGCGTTCCTAAACCCCAGCTCAAGACTAAAGGTGACCGGGGGTTTGAGGTCAAGGACCCTCAGCTCTGGAACTACCTGCATGACTCTTGTAGATTCATTGGCATATTTGATATCACTTCCCTAAACTGTGAAGCCTTTTTATTTTAGCCTTGAAGGTCCTGAAAGGTTTTCATCCTGATTTAAACACGTCAAGCACTTTATTGGGTTTGGAAAAGACAATAAAGCATGCTTTATTCCTATTACCTTATCCAGCAACTCCTCCTTGGTCCTTTCCATTAAACTAAGCCTAGATTCCATATGAGCCGCGGGCTGTTCAGGCTTCTGGCTGCTGGTAAGTGCCCCCTTTGTTGAGGAGAGTTGCTCTTGATGCCACTTGAGCTGCTCTTTGAGGTGCTGTATCTCAAGCTCCAGTCTCTCTCTTTGCCCCTCCGCCGTCAGCTTCTCCTGCACACTAGAGCTCAGCTCGGCCTGCAGCTCGGCGGCCCGCAGCCGCTCGGATACCATCTCATCCCTGGAACATATGCAAAAGTCATGCAAAACAATTAAGACACAGGATAGGACTGCCTATTATACATGGGAGAAGGATCAAGTGGTTTTGTAGAATGAACTCTGGGCTGACACCAACCTCAAGGCATCGTGTGTCGTCCGGAGGCCGCCGAGCTCAGCGGTTAGCCGGGCAGCCTGCTCCTGCAGCTGGTCAACCTGCAGCCACTTTTCCCGCTGCTCCTCCCACGTTCGGTCGCTCTCTTTGTAGCGTTTCAACTCGTTCTCGAGTCGGGTATGGGAACGCTCCATCTGGGCCACCTTTCAGGCAGAGAGGCAGGGGACAGGAAAGGAGTCATGAACTCGGTTCAGTGGTGGAAAGGGGAAAGCGACACATGCGGTGTTTTCATGTTGATATATTAAAAAGATGTGAAGCTCATGTTCATTTCCTGTATTTAAATAACCATTTCTCTAAGTCGCAGGAATGTTTTGAAAAACCATCAAACCTTTTCCTCCAGAATTGCTTTTTCCCCTTTGACTTGGGTTAGGCTCTTGATGAGTGTTTTCCCTTGTTGGCATTCTGTCTGAATGCTGTTGACCTCAAGTCTCAGCTTCTTCAGCTCCCGCTCGCCTATCTGCAAAGCCTGCAAAGAGAGGGATTTGGACAAATTGTAACTCAAATAGGACTAAATCTCCATAGCTGAACATTAAATATCACTGTTTTGTATTATAGCACTGAGGCGTTCATTGCTTTCTGTCAGACAAAGTATGCATGTTTTTTACCTCCTTGTCCTTTTTGAGGGCGGCCTGGGCAGCGCCGAGGTCCACCTCCAGCTGTTTCCTCCAGTCTTTCTCCTCAGTCAGACGAGCCTCTAGCAGGGCCAATCTCTCCTGCCGGCTGTCTCGAAGGTGCTTTATACACGGACACAGTGGGAACATAAGGCCGGTCAAAGTTTCAGGCTATTCTGCCTTTTTACAAAATGTCAATCCGAAAGAATTTGACTGTAAAACCAGTTTCCATCGTATTTGAGTCAAAATGGCAGAAGAAAAAATAAAAATAACTTTCATTCACATTATAAGCAATGTGATTACACTTCTCCGTGCTCTATTGAAATTAGTTGAGCTCATTGCAATTCCTGCTAGCTTAAGGGGAAACGTATAAGATATATACTGTATATGATACTTAGAAGGGAGCAATGTCTTACCAGCTGTAGCTGCGACTCTGTGGGTTTGAGCTCCTCGCCGTTCTTTAACATTCTTGGATGGACCTCCTGCTGCTTCAACTCAGCCTCCAGAACATTGATCTGCATTGACCAGTTACGATTATTACTCGGCTGTTGACTGGAGGTGACTGTTTACGGGACTCGATTACACTGTCCAAGTTTACAGTCATCTCAGGTGACATGTTTTTAAACTCACATTCAGTATATTGATATAAAATATTCCATCAATCCTTTGTTTGCGCTGCTCATTACCCTCCTACGTAGTCCCTCTAGTTCTCCCTCGTGGCGATGTCTCTCCGCCTTGCTGGCATTCTGGGCCTCCCCCAGCAGAGCCTCCAGCTCCTCATTCCTCTCCTCCAGATCATCCAGTTCCTTGCGTAGCCTGCCGAGTTGCCGCTGCAGCTCCCTCATCTGTACGAGTCCGTCTTCTGCCGCCTCACGACACCTGCCGGGCAACGAGGACGCGTTTTAGTCACAAACAGCAGGCGGGACGGGGCATTAATCACACTATCAACCACTGTTAGGCGGCTGTGACAACGGACTTTACCTGGTGTGGGATGAATAAAGTTCTTATCCTGGTGAGTTAATTATGTTTACCGTTTATGAATGTGATCCGTGTCTTCCATGGAAGGGCCAGACAAATTGTTTTGTTGTCCACTGCTAAAGCATTTGTCCTTTTCATCCTCTTTGGTCAGCACATCGTGGTCTGCGTCATTTATCTCCAACTGCACAAACACAACGCCAAGCCGCTGAAACAACGGTTCACATTTTCAAATCAATATCGAGGGATTAGTAAAATACCAACCGGGTCCAGGAGTTTTGACTTTTCGGACTCCAGAGTGTGGATTCGCTCCCTCAGGGCTCTGTTCTCACCGTCTAGAGAGTTATTTTGCTCTTTGGCTTGCTGCAGCTTCATCTTGTCTGAAGAGATAAGACCATGAATGTGAAGTGGGGGGGCAACAGGATACCAATCAAATTTCACCAGCCTAATAGGAATTTAAGCCAATGGAGGGGGATCTACAGAATAAAAGTAATGTCAAGTTCATCAACTTCCTTATCAGCTAGTGTTTCTACTAGTGGCGCTGCGAAGCACAAACAGAACAATAATATCCAACACTAACTCTGCAACCATTTTAGAATAGTAAAATAAAATCCCAGAACAATGTGTCAGGAATTAACGTCTCAGACTGAATGACAGTTTATGTTTCACACCCGAGTGTCTCACCACAGTGTTTCAGTTTGTCCACTTCCTTCCTCAAGTTCTCTACCTCGCGGACTGTTCCTTGAAGCTCAGATCCTGAGATTATAAGCATATTTTTCATTCTAAAGCCAAAAACCGCTCTTCTCACACATGATTTTTGGAACATTTGTTTTGTTAGTGAATACCTGCTAGAAAGAACACACCCGTTCCACGTTAAATATCTACAGCTTTAAAAAAAAAAAAGGTACACCGCCAAATCTGTAGCTTGACTACAAATATTATTGACATATGATTACGGCAAGACGTTGAAAATACTTTCTGTGGATATATAAAAAAATTTAAGGTCGGATGTGGTCAGCAGGTAGGTTTATTTCAACCCCTTAATTCAGCAGCAATGTTCACACTAAAATAAATAAATATATATATATATATATATATACACACACACACATACATACATACATACATACACACACACAAAAAACTCTATTCTTTAAAAAGATGACATGAAATGTAACCCAGACTCACAACTCTGTGAAGGATGCATACTGTAAATCTTGCAACATACCACTTTGGTCGAGATGGTTGAATTTGGCAGCGTCCAGCTCGTTGGTGAGTCTGCGAATATCCTGATGAGCCATCGCCAGCCTCCTCGACGCCTCGTCAAGGTCCCGCTCCAGCCTCTGGCGCTCCCTCCGCTCCTGGGATATTTGCTCACCTTGGGCCTGATGTAAAAAGATGACGCAAAAGGATTTTAAGAGGGGCAGAGGGAATGCAACGGGAAAGAAGATTGCTAGCGAGACTGCCGATGCAAGTTTCCCAACATGCCGTTGTGAGATACATGCATTATGAGGCTGAGATTCGTCATCACAAGAGGCCTGGAAAGGAGTTGGGGCGATGAGTTATCTCCCTAATTTCAACATTCTCCTGCACAGAGACACGACACAGAGTACGACAAAAAAGTAGACATGCCCGTTACCTGCAACATGCAATTACTGTTGTACTGATGTGTTACAGAGACAAGCGATGTCCTCTGCATCATATTGGTCATGCAGATATCTTTAGGACAAGCCTGCGATGCCCCTTATCAGTGTTAGTGACTTAGTTAGTATATGAGGGGAGGTGGAAACCTACAGGGGTAATATTGTGTTTGCTCTGACCAGACCTGCGTAACCCAAAGAGCTTCTTCCACGGACTCTGGGATGAACACTGCTGAGAGGAGAGACCCATGTGTGCAGAATCACAACAGACACTACATAACGTTCACGCGACATATGCCTGTCCCTCAACTGGAAAAAGATATTGCTCTTTTGTACACAAATGGAATTCTGCTCAGTTCTACAGACCTGTAACACAGCCAGGGCGCAATGGCAGTCACCTCACCTTCGTCAGGGTGTCTAAGGTTTTCTGCATATCCTCCCTCTGCTGACTTGGCTCTTCCCCCATCGTGTGGCCAATGTGCTCCTGTCCAAGAGCCAGCTTAAAAAAAAAAAAAAAAAGATTAAAAAATAGACTCATTAAACCCAAGTTTGGTTCCCAAACTGGGAGTTTACTTGAAAAAAAGTGATATGTAGTTGTTTTATGAATAAAAAATGAAAAATTGAAATGGTTGCTCCCTCTGATAATATGCAGCTCAGTCCTTCACCTGGTTGTGGACTTCCCCAAAGTTGAGGGTGAGACTCGGAGTTTCCAGTATCCTCTCAGCAGCATCGAGCCTCTCCAGAAGTGTGGCCCTCTCCACCAGCAAGTACGCCACCTGCTCACTAGGGCTGTACGAAGCGATCTCCCCGAGGTCCTCCTGAGCCAACATCTCCGCCAGCTCCTTGCTCTGATTCTCTGGAAGAAAGGGCGTTTTCTCCGGTCATAGGTTTGTCCAGCAAGACTGCGAAATAGCATTGAAGCCCAGACAGAACAACAACAGAATGGTGCACAAGTTGGCCTAATGGCAGAAGATATAAAATGAAAATAAAAATACAACTCGGATGGCAGGTGCTTTAATAAATTTATGTGAACAACTTCAGAAACAATAAACAACGGTGTGTTTGAAATATTATGCTCCGGTGATCTGGAGAGCCAGGCCAGGCTACGACATTAAAAGATCACAGACGTTGTGCTACATTTACATGGAATTCACCTTGATGTTGTCTGATCTGGAGAAGCTCTTGTCGCAAGGTTTCACGGTCTCTCTCGTAGTCTGAAGTCGCACAGTCTCGCTGGTCCAGCAGCCCTCGAATATGCGCAACATAGCTTTCCACCTAAGAAAGAAAAAGGGCACAAATTAATAAATAAATAAATCAAACTGCTGTTGAGAGCTGGCAATGTGCATCACCAATATTAGAAATGTACGTTTCCATCGCACACAAATCAGTTCAAGAGGACTACGGTCGTATCGACGTTGGTAAACCCCAAACAGACGATATTCACCTCCTTCATTTCGCTGGCCTGCTGGGTGCGCAGGGTCTGCACCTCTTGGGTGGCAGACTGAAGCTTTGCCTCCCTGGCAAGCAGCTGCTGCCACAGGTGGCGCTGCTGCTCTTCCACACTGGCATCTGGAGGCAAGCCATCCTCCTGGAGCCGCGTGGAAATCTGGTCCAGCACTGTTCTCACCTGAGAAGCCATCCCAAAGCGTTATCACAAAGCTGTTGTGTCACGGTGTGGTAAAGAAGAAGAAGAAAAAACACAACAACATCCTATGACAGCTGCAGCACAATGAGCTAAATGGCCAAACTTTTGCCAAACAATTATCCAGCAAACTAAACCGTGAGCAACGGCATTAACAAAAGTGTTAACAACATTAAGGGGGTCAGTCTCACTGAAAGCTGATCCGGTGTGTGCAGCACACATCACAACATCAGCCTGGCATGTCAGCACCAAACACCTGTTCCTGAATCCAATACTGTGCTCGGTAGGGTCGGTAACCCGAGCAGGGCCCCGATGCAGCATTCAAGCTACTCCTGGAGCGGCCCCTGCTCCAACAACATGCTGCTGGGTATCAGGTCTCATGCGCCCGTTGTGCTTACATCTCACAAACTGCTCTGTGATCTTGCTTTTGTGGAACAGGTGGCTTGAAGATCATACATTAATTACAAGGGCCGTCCACATGGACTGAATGTTTGCTATGCGTGGAAGATAAAAGACACTTTTTGCATTTTGAAAGTAACTTTTTCTCGTTTAATTGACACCCGCGTAAAAATTGACAAAAAAAACATTTTGTGTAGCTACATTAAAGTGCAATGATAGTTTTCTGATGACGAACACTGGAACAAAGCAGTGACAGTGGCTGTCACCGTGTTATCTGTAAGCAAATGAAGTGAAGTGAACCTCACCTCATCACGATCCATGGTCTGACATCAACTATGACGAAGCAGCATCTGTGGATGATGAACTTTTTCCTCCAAAGTGAACCCTCTCATACCAAATAGCACTTTTAGCCTACATCGTATCCCATGGAAGTCCTTTAGAAACGATGCAGCAAAAAACAGCAAGTCTTCAAACTTCATCACGTCGATTGTTGTCGCACTTCAGCCATCACACGGTCTTTTGTCTTCGGTTTCCCTGCAACGAAATGCGGGATACTTTTGAATAATGCTTTCAAGGCACGTTGAGACAAGTTCAAATGCGAGATATGGAACCTCGAGCACACTGCAGCCGGGTTCCAATGCATCACCTGAGGCTATGCAAAGCTTCGACCTCGATTAGCAATCTTTGATCTAACATGTAGTGAAGCACGAGGAGCTGAACATGCCAGCAGTGATGTGGGTGACTTAAAGTCACTAGCAAGCTAAGCAACAAAATAGGTCCCTGCGATGTGCACGGTGTCACTGCAATAACGACCACCCCAATCATCATCATCATCATCATCATGTGGAGTTAAACATCTTTGCCTTCTGGCTGACCATTCTTCCCAAAATGTCTGACAAGGAGGAGCGAACGAGGGTTTACGTAGAGCGAGTGCCACTTGCATTCCTCTCACTCTGAGGAGAAGACACGGGACAGAGAATAGTCGCGCTTTGACGGGCTGGTCGGTGACCGGCGGCAACGCACGTGACTACCAGCAGCTCCCGCACAGTTGACGTTAGTTCGGTCACTTTCAGAGTTCGCGTCGGTGTGCTTTTGCGCGCAGCTAACGCTAGCTGGCTAACGCTAGCTTTTCGCTCGGCAGCTGCGGGTTGACGCCGCGAGGGTTCCGGCGAGGTGATTGCGGGCTCCCGCTTGAAGGTTAACTCGTCGGCGTGTGAGAACCTGCGGGTGAGACGCGCGTTGTACTCACCTTTCACAGGTGAAGTGGACCAGAAAGAAAAGAGCCAAAGGCAGGCGTGGCGACGTGAATTGGCTTCTACTATCACCTAGGCAACGGACCGTACCATTTAAATGATGCAGGGGATCAACTGGCAAAGTTGTGGGTTGGTGTTTTTTTTGGTTTAAAAATATTATTCTTGGAAAGATTGTTGCTGTATATGACTGTTCTAAGACAAAAGATTCCTAACTAAGCCAAGGTTGAGCCGGACACTAAATTGGCGTCGTGGCAATTGAACAATCTTTGAATTGGTTTCTTCCTTACAAATCAGACAGTACTATAAAAGGGATCCATCTTTAGCAATCTCATATTTTATTCACTGTTATAAGTGACAATTAATATACATCTCTCTTGATGAAGCATACCCATATTCCGTATGAATCAATTGATGTAAACAGCAGGGGTGAATAATACACAATTAGTCCTTTTCTACGGGGAGGGGAAATATGAAAAATGCATGTTAGTGTCATAAATTTGGTTGTGATTTTAGCATTAATCCCCCAATAATATTTACAAATGATTTATTTATAGACTCCTTGGCGGATCACGGCATTCACATAACCCGTTCCAAGTACCTGATTCCTAACACATTATGTTCTAATGTACAGATTATGTTGCAGCTGTTTGTTTGTTTTCCACATCTGCCCAAACAAGACTCATGGAATCATGAGTGGATGTGACATGAGTGAAATGATCTCTGTGCCCAAAAGCATTCCAAGCAGGCTGTTTACAGAGGAGGCTTTTTCCTGTGGTTCTATGTGCCTCCACTGGCCATGGGTGGGTCTCCTTTGGGGTTTTTTGGGGGGGGTTGAGGTTGTACTCAGTGATTAAAAACGCACAGAAAAAGAGAGCTCTGTTCTGCACAGAGGAAATGGGCGTTCTCTTGGAAAGTTTTGATGGAGTGACTGAAAAAAGAAGGGGTGTGGTATGGTTGGAAAGGAGAAGACCACCAAGTGGGAGTAAACGTTGACGTAGAAGTAGAGCGGCGAAGCTGCTTTTTTGCAGCTCCTGAGACCTGATTTAGAAAGACAAGAAATAAACCGGGTAAGTGTGTGTTTTCTAAATTATTTCAGTTAATAGCCTGTTAAATTGTGGTAGTTTTAAAACAAGATGTTGTTATTTTGATTCTTCACAACTCCAAAGAACACAGGTTCTACAATTAACAGAAAGCAAGAAAATCATGTCCAAATGTTTTTATTATTTTAATAATTATGCCACAGATGTTTCTCATTATATCTGTATTGTTTGATTATCACACTTAATACATTCTAAACCTTCTTAACCGTTGGCTTTGTTGTTAACCTGTTTTCATGGATAAAATCTCATGTAATTACTTCATTTTACAGTATTGTGACTTCCCCGCCCACCCAAATGGACCTCTCTTACAGATAATGATCCACACTGACAATTTCTGTTTTTTATTTCCCTGTAGTGGCTCTCTCGGTCCATGTTTCTTTATTGTAAACTGGAATTATTTTCATCACAGCTTTGGTAGCCTCTTACGGTCACCTTATAACTGTATCGGTGCCATACCAAGTGGCTTTGTAAAATGAAAGGCTTTCCTCGCTATAATTCCCCACTGTAATGAAATCCAAATGTAGGTTGAATCACAGACTGTATACCCTACATGCACTTTAAAAAACAGCCATTCAGAAGGGTAGGGAGATTCATTGAGTAAATGTTTTGGTACCGTTTAGGTTTCAATGGGCCCTCACAGGTTCTCTGTGGTTTGCTTTACGATGGCGACACACAGCCCAGTCAAAGAGGAGTTTAGGGAATAACTCATTACACTCTGTTTTGAAGCATGGTCTTACATAACACTAGCGTACTCTGTTTGGCTACTCAGATTTTCCATTTAATGTTTCAAGGCAAAACAAGAAAGTTCACACTCACTGATTCTCACTCTGGAACCTGCAAACAAGTTAAATTGGTTTCCCGCTGTTTGCTTGCTGACATTTATGTTGGATGGAGTTGCTCAGGAAGCCTACGTTTGAACAGCTTGGTTTGTTTTTGCAGGGAGTTGAAAATGGCCTACCTGCTTATGTTTGTGACCCTGCTGCATCTCATCACACTGGCAATTTTGTTCATCGCAACTATGGAAAAGGTAATAGTCATAATAAGGAAAACGCGCCTATTCCTCTATTTGTGCAATATATCCAGCTGTACGTATCATGCCTAATTTCTCTTTAAAGTCCTGGTGGGTGTGGGAAGGCATGGAGAACTCCGACCTATGGTACAACTGTAGGTTTGACAACTTCACAGGAACCTGGTTGTGTGCATCCTCCAAAGAAACTGGTCAGCAACAATGTCCTTTTCATCACCTCTGCACATGAACAAGGCAAAACCTAAGACCTAAGATTGTTTTTAGACACTTTAGACGAGTGTTTTCCTTTTCTCAGAGTGGCTTCAGGCGGTGCAGGTCCTGATGGTTCTCTCGGTGGTCTTCTCCTCCGTCTCCTTCGTGGTGTTCCTGGGACAACTGTTCACCATGTCTAAGGGTGGACTCTTTTACTTCACTGGCTTGTGTCAAGTCTTTGCAGGTAACATTTGAGTGAAAAAATGTTCCGTATGATGATCTCATTGTGATGACACCAATTGAAAAGGGTAACGTTTGCCCTGACGTATAGACTAAGCCAAATGTTGGCCCTGTACATTTGAGGTTTTTATGTATATGTTGTGATGTGTTCATGTTGTTTTGCCCAACATGAGGTGGGCAGAAGGTGGTTGTTGCTATCTCTATTGTATTTGATGTTAATAAGTAGACACAATTAAGCAGGTTGACTTAAACTTAAATAAACATCTTCTTGACGTTTTTTATTCCTCTAGGGCTGGCCGCCTTTTCTGCAGCTCTCATTTACACATTACACAAAGAGGAAATCCTTCAGGACTCCAGAGAACTGACATCCGGACGCTTTGGCTACTGCTTCATTCTGGCCTGGGTGTGTGTCCCCTTGTTGCTGTGTAGCGGGGTCATCTACATCCACTTACGTAAGAAAGAGTGATCAGAAAAGGGAAGTTCACGATGATTTTGTTTTGTTTTAAAAGAGGAAAATTTAATAGACGGATTTACTTTTTTATCAGAAATGCTTGTTTTTCAGAACTCACAATAGTCTTGATCATTAGTCGTGCTTTAGTTGATTTCATGATGTTCTAATAGCCTAAATGTGCATTGCTTTTGTCTTTTGCATACATTGAATTGAATACAATGCTCTTTTTAAAGAAGTGTATACTAAAAGAGATTTGTTGTCCTGTCTTGAAAGGTAAATAAATACCAAAGCAGTATTATTTCTTTTAATAGAATTGGGGATCTTATTAAACATTGAATTACTTTTAATTTCAAAATGGAGCAAGTTGAAAATGTATATATTTTTATACCTAAAGCTGATCTTATGAATATATTCAGTACCTGTTTTAAATGATCACACAAAGATACATAACGCGTGCAATGTTTGTTATCTACAGCACCCGCAGTTGTTTTCATTTTGATAATATTATATCAAATGCAAATAAAGCTGTAAATTAGTCATCAGTATCGTTGTTTTGAACATATGTGCTGCATTATATACCATGTAGACTACAGCGTTATGTGCGTGTTATCGTTTGTGCGTGCGTGCGTCTACGTGTGCGCGCACCGTAGAAGGACAGTAGTTGCCATAGCAACCGTAAACATTCCGTTAGAGTTTCTCAACGACAGCCATTAGTTTCTTATACGTTGAGAAACATCATACAAACGAGTGTTTGCCATTTTCAAGCGGGCTTTTGTCGCCATAATGGAAGGTAAACCTCGTCTTTCGGGGACCTCGGAGGTGGTCCCTCTTGCTTTACCCAAAGGAGAAGCAAAGTTGTGTGAACTTTGTCAAGGAGTCGCGCGCCTGCAATGCACCAAGTGTCGGGTGACATTTTACTGGTAAGCTCTAGTTATCCTAGCTAGCGCTTCTGGCATGACACGTGTATTATTTTATTATTAAAGTATTATTTCAAAATACCACAACACAACTCGACTTGTTATTTTTGTGTCTGCTGTTTGGACGCTAGGTGGCGCTGTCGGCCATATGTTTAACAGCGCAGACCGCAGTACGCTGCCATGTCGGCATGAAGGACGGCCACGTCACTGTGACGTCAGGGGGGGGGAGAAACAGCTGGCAAAGCAATTGCCCAAAAAACGGGTATTTCTTCGTTTAATTTGACTGGAAGCCGCTGCTGTTCGATCGTTTGAATTTGTCCACGTGACCTTTTTATCACACGGTAGCCGACAACAGCCTTCGGCAGATGTGGTCATCTCTTTGGAACCGATGTACAGATCGTAAGATGGTGCTCGCGTGAAACTAGTTGGCACAGTACGGGGAGTGAGGAGGGCCACGTGGTGACGCGCCTCGCTGCGGGGATTTATGTGAAGGGATGATACACTAAAGCCTCTCTGCCAAAAGGAGCTTACAGGCACTTATTGTGATGGCCTCCCCCTCAGTAGGTCCATGACCTACACATGGAGGGTGTGACGGCACATACCAGCTTCTGTGAAGACAGCCGTCTCCCATGATGCACCGGGGATGTGTTACAACAATGACTAACCCTGGTTCACACCTTCGCTCACACAGCTACGGATGCTAAAGGATCAGATTTCTATGAGCCTGCCTGAGACAATGATGGTGCAGTTCTCAGTTTAACTTATTTATTTACTTACTTATTTTATTCTATTGTCTCTTTTTTTGCACCAATGACCGTGACTAACTCCTGTATTCTGACGTCTAACACTTTTCTGTAGTTCCATTGAGCATTAAAGCTCACATGTCCTTCAGCAGTACCGCAAAACAACATATAAAGGAGAGAGACGCAGTTTTCATTAGAACTGAATTGGTGAAGTAAGGACCCCTCCACCCGAGAAGAGGCCTCGCAAGCGAGCTACGTCAGCGCGACCGTTGATGCTTCTGTCTCAGGGCCAGAAACACAGTTCCACTGGTGCAAAAACACATGCTCTTCAGTAGAAAGAAATGTAAAGAAAACCAAGACAGTTTCCACAGCAGTGTGCAGGAGACGAGAGCCAGAGGAAACAAAATTACAGAGCAGTTACGTAATGGCCTGCAATTTAATGTGCCCTCTGTGCACTCACAATGGGATACACTAGAACTTCATATTCAACCAGCTGGTATAAACTTTATACACTTACCTTATATGCACTTTACACATACATAAATACATATGTATTTCACTCAGTACTGGTTTCAGCTGAAGTTGTTCAGATCGTAACATTGAGCAACGGGTTGTTTTTCCACAGCAGGAATCCTGAGCCAAAGAAATCCTGCACAATGCGCCTCTTGAGGCAAATATGCTATTTATGACATTAGATTGTGAATTATTTTGACTTGACTTTAGGGTGGGAGTAAGTGTGGAATATGAACATTAAACCAAAGTTGCATTTATTCCTCAGTAATGCAGAGCACCAGCAGGCGGACTGGGTGGGGATCCACGAGATAATCTGTCAGTTGCTGGTTCCCATTCGCACCTCGACATTCGATAGTCTCCAGCAGGCTGGCCGCATTCTAACACATCTGAATAAGGTGAGGATCTACGTTTTGAGTTTCTGTCAAGTTACATTTCTAAAAGGATCAGGCTGAAAACAATCTTCAGCCCACTTTTTAATTTCCTGCTCAGACGTCTGTTCATACAATCTATCATACCTCATAACTTACTTCAGATGCCAAATTCAAACCTGGAGCATGCAACTAAATCAGTGGAATAAACTGTTTAACAACAACTACACAGCATAGATTCTCACAAACTCTAATGCAGGCAGTGTTATCTGTCAGGAAACAGTAGGACCCGGTCGGCGTCTTAAGCTAAATGAAAATGTTGTAAAACCGAATAAATGAAAGGCAAATGGATGACGAGGATGATGCTTCAGCTGACAAACAGGAGGAGGAAGAGAGAGTACGTTCCGTTCTGCACTCTGCACTCCTGTAGTCTCAGTTCTACCCTTAGAGACTTTCATTAAGGAGGAGTTTATCATTGCTGTGACTGACAGAAGTGCACAACTACAACAACACAAAAAGATGTTTTTTTTCTATTCCGTTGAACAAATAACAAAAGAATAGCTGACAACGGTATTTTCTCCTGAAAGTTCAATTGTTTTCCGAAATTCATGTCAAGGTCCCTTTGCATCCCAGTTTGGTTGTCCCCGTTACCAGAAGGAGTTCCTTCTCCAGTGATCAACGGCTGGTGGTATTGAATACTTGTGATTGCTGTCAGTAAGTGCGTATGGAGTGGTTTACTCCTCGGTAAGAATCTAGGGTGAACGCGACCTCCCAAAATGCAGGTGAAGCTGATTGAGACCTGCAGGTCGGTGGCTCAGAGCAAGCTGTCTGAAGGGAAGCACCAGGAGGCTCTGCCCGCCGCGCAGCTCTGCCTGCGCTCTTCCAAAGACGTCCACGGCCCCAGGGACGTCCAAGTGGTCCCGGCCTACCTGTTGCTGGCTGAGGCTAACCTGGGTTAGTAGAAAATGGTGCCTCGGCTGTATCTTTTTCTCCCCCCCCCCTCGTATGACTTTTTATTTGTGCATTTGTGCTTTCCAGGTTTGGGTAATCTAGCCCAGGTAACGGAGCTCCTGTCGCTGGCGCAGTGGGCGGTGCTGAGGAGCCCAGAGCCCTCGGCCCACCATCTGCTGCACAGGAACCTGGGCCGCCTCCACGCAGCGATGGGAGACCTGGAAGCAGCTCTGTTTAACTTTGCAAACGATGTCTGTGGCATAAGTAACTCAGTCAATAGAAATGGCTTCAGGGCATTCATTATTTTTCTACTGGTCAGTTGCTAATGAGAAGCACTTTGTTCCTGCACTTTGTTCACCACATGAAGTCACCTCACAGCTTGTGTATCATTTATTTGAAAGTAATCGAGAGCACAAACAGCATTACGGTGTGCAGTGAGGATTTTGAATATTTTATTCCTCTTTCTGTCATGTACGCACACTGTCACACATTAGAAATCCTGACTCCATATAAAAATACCTTGTGAAAAAAGCATTTTTTATCTGAATTTTCCTCAGATTTACCTTTCCAGTGAGGAATATGGTCTGGACAGCATAGTCCCCTCTGTTGGCTACTTTCTCATGGCCGATGTGTTTGCCAAAAAGGGGAAGATGCCCATCACTCGTTCTCTGTACTCTAAGGTAAAAAAAAAAAACAGGTGTGAAGAGGTGTGAGGCCGTTTGGCCAAATCGGTTTTGTATACCTGTCGCATGGTTCATTTTATTTTGCTCATTTTTGCAGGTGGCACAAACGTGGCACTGCCATTTGACCAAACTCCTCCAGAACGACGCTCCAAATGTCCAAAATCCCAACCGGTTGTTGGAGCCTTCCTATGGTGCGTCTCGTCATCAAATGTGCACACTTCAAATGTAAATTTAGAGCCACAAAAAAAATCATATATTAAAACAAAACTATTTTAAAATGACACCGCCAATTTGCTCCGAGTCTCCATGGGCGTATCACAAAAAAAAGAGGCTCTACAATTATCTTGCTGTGCAATCCGAAAGCTAAACCCCAGATTTACACCAGCACGCTTAGAGCTGACTGGAGACCAGTGCTGACACATCTCCGGCTGTGCAGTATCCGCACCACCACCCTCCATCGCAGCTGCTGCCCGACACGTGATGCTAAGCCTGTTAGCTGCCGTGCCATTTCCACGGCTTTCTCAGACGTTTACCAGAGGAAAGTAACCGTGGAAGCTTGAACAAACTACACAAAAAAAGATGCAAACGGGCCAGAATTAATTAGGTGTTTCAATATTAAAATACCCAATGCCGGGGTAGTATCCTGTTCAAGCTAACATACATGTGCGCCTTTGCTTCCGTCTCCGTCTTTCATGCAGACAAAGTGCAACGGGTTGAAGCGCATAATATCTTGGAAGCCATGTTGGAGTTTGAGCAAAACTCAGACCCAGCTCAGATGGCACTGGTGGCCCACTGCCTGGCCATGCTGTGGTTCCTCGAAGGAGACTCCCTGAAGGTGAGTCACCTGACGAGGAATACGCGTGACACAGTTCCCCGTCGCGCCTCCTCCAGCACACAGCGATAATCCCGCTCGGGGAAGGCCGTGCTCGAGATTGGATTATCCCTAATTGGTAAAGCCGTAAAGATGATGTGGGAATTAGCAGGAGTTGATTTGACTGTCTCGATTCTCTGACTTCCTCTTGTGTGTGTGTGTGTGTGTGTGTGTGTGTGTGTGTGTGTGTGTGTGAAAACAGCACTTCATCAGATGTGGGAGGAGGGGGCCCATCGCTGTTGTGACACGTCAGGTTAGAGAATGAGGCAACAGTGGCGTGTGTGTGTGTCCATACGGCGTGTACAGGACAGCATGTTCCAGTGGGGGGGCTGCCACGGACTTGGGGTCGGGGGGGCTCTGAAGTTCAGTGGGTCCCGGGTAGGTGGCGATTGGCCATTGGATGAGATTTTAAGGCAAAGTGCCAGCCGCCTCACAAGCTAACGCCTCTAGCAAACGTAAAAACGGACATGACAGCAGATAGGTGACTAAAGCCAGTTTGTGTTTTATTGTCCCGCATCTCGTCGGGTGGTACATTCGCCAAAATAGTGACTTTTTCTCCGAAAGGTCAGGAAGCAAAACACACAGTCCCTTACCCCCACGTAGGAATAGGAAGCCCTCGTCCTTATTCCACGTATGAATATATTCTTCCTTGTTAAGGACAAGGGCTTCCATGTAGGAATCAGGACAAAGGCTTCCTACTCAATAGGAGGTGCATAAGTTACCAAACTCATCCGAGGGTCCATTTTTGCTTCCCTCCTTAATATGGAGCGTTGTCAGCTGTATTTGTCCAGCCTCCCGTGCCGCCAAGCCTGAAGCCAACGGGTTAGGCTCATGGTCCATTTTCCCTTATACACAATTAGGACGGTTGTATTTTTGAGGATTGTTTCATTATTGAACAACTACAGTGCTCTCGGTCAATCCGAAATAACAAACCCCAAACCTGAATATTTAAGAAAGTAAACAGTGAGGTCTTAGCTTTCTTAGGAGAATATCTATGTGTGCAGAATTATTATGCAACTAAATTAAAAACAAATGTTTCCCATCTCACTTCCACCTGTTAAAGTGAGAATAATAAACTCAAAATTGACAAATCCAGGGTGTACCCAGTCTCTCCCCCGAAGTTGGCTGGGATTGACCCCCGCGACCTTGTGTGCAGGATAAGCGGTTGGATGGAAAATTTACAAATCAGCATTCCTGACATTAAAAAAGAAAAGAAAACAGTGACCAACATGGCCACCCTTCTTTTCAATAACAGCAATAACCCTGCCACTCATGGAGTCGGTCAGTTTCTTGATCTGTTGACGATCAACGTTTTGTGCAGCAGCAACCACAGCCTGCCAGACACTGTCCAGAGAGGTGTACCGGTTCCTTCTCTGTACATCTCCTGTTTAAGAAGCCCCCACACGTTCTCCATGGGGTTTAGGTCAGGTGAGGAAGGAGGCCATGTCATTATTTTTTCACCTTTAAGGCCTCTACTGGCTGGAGTATTATTTCATTCCATGTGATGGAACATTGTCCCGCATTAAAATCATGGTCTTCTTGAAAGATAGACCTTTTCCTGTACTACTGCTTAAAGAAAGAAAGTGTCTAAAAACGGGCTCCAAGTTCGAAAGGGTAGCTCATCTTTAATAGTACCAGCCTATAAAAGAACCCTACCTCCACCTTGCTGGCGTCTGAGTCGAAGTGGAGCTCTGTGCCAGTTACCACGGGCCCGTCCATCTGGTTCGTCAAGAGTCACCTCACTCACCTCAGCAGTCCAGAAAACCTTTGGACGTTTCAACGTATGCGTCTTGTTCAGTGGTGGTCGGGTTTCAGCCTTCCTCGCCCATGAGCACCTTGTATTTCTGAGCACTCAGGCAGGTTCGGGTTCTGGAATACGGCAGCACTGGAGGATAATGGGTTCCGGGTAGCTTGACGTTTGATTCTTCTCAAAGTCTTGGCAGTTAATTTGCATCTTTTTCTCCCCACGCGTTTGTCACGACACTTTTGACTATTTGCAACATTTGTTCTGTGATCACGCCCCAACATCTTTGCAATTTGAGTGCTGAACAAAGAGTGCTGCTTCCCTCTGAAAGACTTCTCACAATGTTTGACTTGTCAAGAGTCAGTTAGATCTCTCTTTATTTGTTTTTGCCCCCTTTTGCCTGAGGAAAAGAAGCTGCCTAATAATCATGCACACCTGGATATATACGGTGTTGACCTCTTTAGGCCACACCTTCCCTCATTACACAAATGCACATCCCCTGGTATGCTTGAATCCAATTTGCACTCAAGTTTATGGATACAAATGATGATATGGTCAAAATACTCCCTTGCCTAATAATTGTGCACACGGTGTATTTATTGGACTACGAAGTCAAAACACAAACACAAAACACTCAGACAGTCAGAGAGCAGCACACACACACACACACACACACACACATACACAATGCATGGCTGTTCACAAATTGCAGAAATTCCACAGATTCCGTCTGAACCCCGTTGAATTCCACATCGGTCCTGGCATGTTTCCATCTCGGCACGCATGGTTTTGTCAGTTTAAATCATTGTGATCATTTCCCCTTGGTTCTTAACTGTTAACAGTGTGCCATCAGGTAGTCGCAGGGGAAAGCGGGGCGAGTGAAGCCGACCGGGTTGCAGTCCAATGACCAGTGATATTATTATTATGGTTACATAAGTCAGCTTTGCCCTCTCCGGAGAGTCTAACAGCTGCGGCTGCTGTGTCTGTTTCCGTTTGTGTGCCAGGCCCTGAGCTTCGGCAGCACGGCCCTGCAGGCCAGCCACCTGACACCGGACCACGACCTGACACAACCCATCCAGGGCCTGATGCAGCTGGTGCAGAGTCTGCAGACAGAATCCCCCTCTGGTCCGGACTGGTCACACCGCCGCTTCACCGGGTCGCCTGTTTCGCCCCCCCCGCAAGGATTCACCCGTGACGAATGTTGAAACCGATTGAATGAAAATGAATGGAAAAAAAATGATGGCGGGAAAGAAAAGGACTGATTAACAAGTAAAAAACATTTTGATGTCGATATAAGGACACAACTCGTTTTCATTGGTTTTGAATCACTCGTCTTTATTTGATTCTAAAAAAAAAAGGATATAAATTTACATCATTAATGCACATTCGTAAATCACATGATTTTGGGAATCATTTTGGAACACTTGTCAGAATGACACAGAACAGAATGATGGACTCATCATCCATTCACCATGTTATGCAAATATGATCTAATGTCTAAAAATCATCAACAAACCGTAAACATTGCATTTGTCCTTCTGCAAGTGTCTTGTAAACCGAAGCAAACCTCAGGTTTATTTTTAAAACACATTGACAAAAAAATGAACCCAATGATCGCAGTGAAATTCTTCATTTTATGTACAATTCTGAAATATTTACTCATTATATCAAAACAAAGGATCAGTTTTTTTTAATCATCCCACTACTAGCATCACCAGCACTGAAATGTACAACAAAACGTTCAGATTCATTTCGATGTGTCGAGAGGCAGCAAAAACATGGAAACACTGTGATTTCCACATATTCCCTTTTTCATTTTGGAGCCAAATGTACATTAGCAGCAGTTAGTCGTGGGTTGTTGTACACATTGACAGGTCCCGACACATTTGTTCCAGGCTTCCCAGGCAGCACACAGGCCAATACGCGTTGCATCATCTCATGATTCACACACGTTTTTTCCTTCCTTCCTTCCCCGCGTCACCTCAGTGCGGGTTTCTTTCAGCAGCATCCATGTCTTGTATTGACTCAATCATGGCTATTAATGTATGAACACCAAGCAGAAAGAAACCCACCTCAACCGGGATCATGACTCGGCTTTGATCCTCACATCATTGTTCCCAGAGAAAACCCGACAGTGAAAAGGCATAGTGAATGTTGTTGGGGGCACAGTGCTAACCTCAAGTGGCCAGATGTGCTCTGTGTGCATATGGATATTGTATAAACGGTAGATTTAAATATCAGGACTGTCAGAATGATGTGAACATTTCACCCCTTCCTACGGCAGGATGGTGACAAGTCAGCGATATGGGATCTTTGATTTACGTACACGGTGAAGAATGACAAAAGGCATTAAAGCAAAGACAAAACAAACGGGAATATCCACATGTGGAGATATCGGGATGTGGGATGTTGATGGTCAAGGCCACCAGCCCTTACACGTCAGTGGACATCGCCAGATCTCACAGGTTGTTCTTCAGATACTTTTGTTGTGTGGACATCAAAGCGGTTTAAACAGCGTTATCTTCTCAGCGGAGTCACTGTGATCACGTGACAGCAGAGTTAAAATGAAAAAAAAAGCACATTTTCGTGTTGTTTCCTGTGGAGTTTGGCCCCCCCTCAGGCGGCCCTGCTGAATTCCAGAGGGTTAGTGAATTTGGCCCACAAAAAAGGAAAGTAAAAATCAAGCTTCACAGCGGTTTCACTTTATTGAGACAATGTTAGCGCACAAAAAACACTTTTTTTTCTTTAAAAATACTATAAATTAGGAGGAAAACAAGGAACAATATGAAACAAGCAAGGAAAAAAAAGTGAATGCTAACCATGGTACACACCACATTGTCTCATACTGTAGTTCACAACCTTTTCTTTCATTGTTTGTGAGTGTTTTTTTGTCTGCCTGTAGGTGTGTGTAATGTTTTGACGTGTCTCTAGCTGGAATGCTGCTTTTAGGGGTCGATGGGGGGTCGAGGGGGGCGGGGGGGGGGATCCAGGCTGCTTCCCTGAGAAGTGGTTAGGAGAAAGGTTAAGGAGTCCGAGAACTTGGACGTCACTTAATAGAACGCAATCATTTGTGCTTTTGATCAGAGCTGTAAATTATTATTATTATTCATTCCTGGATGACGTAAGCACCACCCAACCTCTATGTTGATCTACGGGCGGTAAACCTATTGCAACAAAAATAAGCTCTCGGCCACTGCCTGCTTTTGTATTTCCTTCTTTGTTGGGGAAAGAAAACGAAACATTCTAAATTGCAGAAATATAGCAGTTTTTTCATGCCAACAGATTTTGCTTGTTGGGTTATTCATTGTTATCAAAAAATGAGGTGAAAACAACAAAAGTCAAATCTACAAATGGCGTCTGACCAAATCCAGAAACGTTAGCACCAATTTCCAGTGTCAACCTTTTAACATTGCAGGTCTGTGAAAACGACTTTATCCACCTTAGATTTGTTTGTGAGTTGGCAGTTGAGTGAGCCGGTCCGGATACTAGTATGCACTTAAGCTTATTCCCTTACTAAATATTTACAAAAAAAAGTTAAAAAAGATTAAAACACTACTAAAATGCCAGCTCCTGGACAAATAAGGAAAACCTGGTATGTCAGGGGCCACTTGAAGACCACAAGGCTGATATGTGCTGTATGTTTGAATATCTGTCGTCATGGCAGTGACAAGTCACTGGTTTGAGGTATATTTTGTTCGACGCAGCTTTCATACTGTACTGTGATTCCTCAATGTGTCATCTGAGCAGCAAAAAAACAAAACGCTTCTGTTTATCATAAAGTGCTATTGAAGGAATTTAAAAAGGTTGCAGACTGCTGCTGCTGGCAAGACTAGAATTCGAGTCTTGGCTCTCAATTTGTTTTTTTTTATTTCACATGACTCCAAAACAGAACGCCTATCTGTTATTTCTCCTACCTGGCGCAGGTGCCGCTTTGCTGTCATTTATATATTAGCCCGCTTCGTTCCCAGTGAATTGGACACTGTGTGAGCACCCAGGAGGACCCTCTGGTGCTGTGGACTTCTAGTCTGGCTTAATAATTATCTTAACGGCACGTCAGCCTCTTACGAACTGTGAAAGTTGAAGCTCTGGCTACATTTCAATATTAGCGAGTTGAAACATTGTGTGTTCATTCTGTTGTAGTTGGGTTTAGAACATATGACGTAGTGAAATTAAACCACATTTCAGATATTATGAATAGCGATAAATGTGACGTGAAATCCCTTCCTCTCCGCTTGCTGCAGGAAGGTCCCCATCCTGTTCTGCGTCCTTTAAAAGAGTACTACTACATTGCTGCATTGGAACAGTCGGTTTAATGCTCCTCGCACGAGGAGGTTTTCCTCTCCCAAGAAGCTAATCACTTGAAAATAAAAAAAACACTTCATTTTTTTGCGTCCACTTCACCAAACCTTACTACAGCCTCCGCAAGAAAAGCCTTTTTTTATGACAACATATTGTAGGTGTCCCCACTAAATAATAAGATTAAAACATGGCAGGTGTGTGAATCTCACACTCACCCAGAAAACAAAGTACCCTTCACGCTCCCTATTTTGCAAAATTGAAACTAGGAGAAGCCAATTTGGCTTTTCTTGCGTAAGTTACTACATCCCTGAACCATGCAGCCACCCAAGGTCGATCCATTACAGTTTGGGAGCAGAGGTGCAAAGAGAGGAGAGTCAGGGGAGCAGCCTCAGATCTTTGTTACTAGTTAGTAGGAGAAGTTTCAGGAGTTGAATCTCCCTGGTTGGGTCTGCAGGTGTGTGTGTTGTTTTCTATTGACCATTTTATGTTTTCATCGTTTCTGTATTGATATGTGTTTTAAAAGGGGTGCATGTTGGCATGCGACAGCCGTGTGTCTGCGCACTTTCTTTTTTAATATGCATTTGTGGTGTGTGTGTGTGTGTGTGTGCATGAAGCCGCTTGAATCTTACTCAGTCAATAATTTCATTTCATTGGCGAGAAGAGTGTTGAAGTTGTAGGCCGGATCGGGGAGACCGGGGAGGGCGGGGGCGGTGGACTGGCGGGGCCGAGGACTGGGAAGGGCTCGGCCAGCTCCGGGTCGCTTTCGCTGGAGTCGAACCGACCCTCATGTTGCACACGGCCTCGGGCAGCGAGCCTGCCTCCGCCGCCGCCGCCGCCGCCGCCGGGCACGGGGCACACCTCCGGCTCGCTGCTGGTCTCGCTGGTGCTCGACACGACTGACAGCAGGGACATCTTACGGGTGAGGCGGCTGGGGAGCATCGACAGGGCGTAGTCGGCGACGATGCCCGCCACGTCCATGCCGCAGGCCTGGTCGAAGGCGATGAAGCCCACGTTGGCGTTGGCCTCGCACACCAAGAAGGAGCCGTCGTTGAGCTGCAGCAGGTCGATGCCGCACACGTCCATGCCGAGGATGTTGGACACCTCGATGGCCAGCTGCTTCCCCTGCTCGCTCAGCGGGCACATCATACCGACGCCACCTATTGATCCAGAGGGAGATCTGATTAATCGCGTCGTCCACTTCACCATTCAAATAGTTGTGCGCCGTATGTGGTTAGAAACACCACACCGGATTTACCTACGATCAGTCTCAACATGATATGAATCATGAATGCAGCATAACGCGATGGCTGGTGTCCTAAATATGCCAGAGCACATCACAGTATCAACTAAACCGAACCTCCCCGTGCTCTGACACTGAAAAATCTGTCTCAGCTGAATACCGTGTACCCCCGATGTCTCCGGGGCAGATTCAGGACAAGCTCGGTGGCTTGAGCGCCGTCACACAAAAAACTAGTGGATTTAACAGATGGAGAGCGAGATGATAGGACCATCAAGTACTTTCTTCATAGGAAGACGAGTAAGCTGGGGGGGGGGGGGGAAGTGATGAAATCTTAAATAATCATTATATTAAGTCAAAACCAAACATTGCAAAAGAGATTTGCATTAAGAACTGTTGACCGTGTTGGACAGCGCTGGCATTTGGTGGAAGCTGTGCTGGTAAAGGAGCGGAATGGGGGGAGCCATTTAAATAATGCAGTCTGTGTGTGTGTGTGTGTGTGTGTGTGCTCATAGTTTAGGTGTCTCTGTGTGTCACCGTTGACTCCCGGGCCGTCTGCTTACCCAAGGAGCAGTTGCTCTGCATGCGACCATCGGTGGAGCAGCGCAGCATCGAGCCGATGACACGGCCGCCCACCAGCACCACCCGGACATCGCGGCCGTGCGACTCCTTGACGTACTCTTGGAACAAGTAGGGGGTGTCGTGACGGATCAAGTGGCACAGGTCCGTCAGGTGGTGTTTGTCCCGGGCCAGGAAAACAGCCTTTCCTGGCAGAAAGGAGGGAGGGAGGGAAGATGAGCGAGTTTTCAGGTTGTGTAGATAAAGTTGGATTTATTTGAACGTGAAAGCGGGATGCTCGCCGGCGCTGACTTTAGCACAATATTAGTGGAGGGTTGGCTGAATTCCCTTAAAGTCCCGCTGACAAGAAGCTGCTTCTGCTGACCAAGTTTACTGCCGGTTCCCCTGTCTCCTATAATAGACAGGACGCTCCTCTAAGCAGCCACAGAATTGCTTCTCACAGGACACAGGGTAAAAAAACCCCGCCTGTTTTAATTAGTTTGACTCGGCTCGGTCATACAGCACCAGGGAAAACGTTGTGCGTGCGATGCGTGTGAACATTTCGAGTAGGTGACAATCCAAACAAGATGACAAGACAATCCCCATCATGAAGATGTGAGGCTGGACACCGGCAACCAACTTTACAAAAACAGGGCAAGCATGGAGTCATGGTCCTGTGACTCAGTGAGACACATGACTACTTTCTACGGGCGATACCAAGACATTCATTCGAATATTGGGCACACAGGGACAATTCACTTTTTTTAATGGTATTTCACATCCCAATAACTGGCCAGGAAAAGCACATGCGATACAAGTGATTTTGAAAGAGCACTTTGTAATAGTCTACAGGCCGTTACTTTGTAAAGAGGGAAGGCACGCTGAACTTATGCCAATGACAAAACGGAAAGGGGGGAAGAAAAAAAAAATCGACCCATGAGATGCTTCATAAAAAAGGGAGAGACAAAAAAAGTTAGCGGTTGACCAACGGCTGCTTTTCCCAACAATGCGTTAAGACGGCAGCCAAAGTGCATTGTTGTTCCTCGCTGGGTCGTTCATGTGTCAACTACTAAGAATGGGAAAATCCTAATGGGTCAGCAGACACTGGAGCTGATCTCCAACATTAATGGCAAGGCCCACATTCCCCACATAAACCCCCCCCCTCCCTCTGTCGGGGTAAATTTATTATGAAACAATTGGATGTTCAACCTAACGGCCGTCCTGCTAGGATCGCAGGCGTCTGTTCGAGCCGGGGTTCTAATCATCTAACACTGTGTCAATGAATTTCATGTACGGGTGGACTGGGCTCCCCCCCGTCCTCAGGGGGGCTGCGGCGGACAGATTTCTGAGGTGTGGTGAATAGGAAGAAACGGATGGTCTTACCCCTGTGGCCACGTGCATTCTTCACCACCACAGGGTAACCCAGTGGCTCTGCCTCGTCGATCATCTTTCGGAAGTTGTCATGCCCTCCTGGGATACGCCATGCAATACACACACACACACACACACACACACACACACACACACACACACACACACACACACACACACACACACACACACACAGTGGTGTCAAAATATAATTAGAAAAATTGTCCTTATTTTGATAACATGCTTCACACATTACGGCTAACTGAACAGGGTGGGGTGGGGGGGAGCGTAGCATGTCGTCATGGCAACAGAAGGGACTCAAAACAGCATGACTGTAGGAGTGTTGTCCTGAGCGCTTTATTATTTCGCTGCTTGCTCGAGGAACAGAGCAGCCACCGAGGGAGCTTTAATGCGAAGCAGCTGACCATCCCTGACTTTGACTGTGAAGTGACTGTAAATGCTGAAAGAACGGAGGTGCAACTCTCCTTTTCCTTCTCCTCATCTCCATCACCCTGCCCCCCTCCCCTCTTTGTTTGCCCGTCTGGTCTTATCTGGCATTCGCTCAAGTGAACAGATGTGAACGGCCGTGTCGCTTGTTTTTTTAGTTTCGTTTCCAGATTCACATAGTTTCAGTTAGAGGGAGAAAGAACAGAGGGCGCAGAGGAGCAGAGAGTGAGCAGACACATCATACGTGGCTGAGGTGGAGCGCAGGAGGGAGGCGATGACATCTTTTATTCTGAAAAACCATGAAACGGGGTGGGGCGCAGGGGGTGTTACATAAGCATCGCCTGGCCTACTGTGCAGGGGGACGGCTGGAATGTAGGCCAAACACCCCCCCCCCCATTCCCCCGCCCTCCCCTGGCCCCGCCTCCTCCTTCGCTTTCTTTCTTTCTCTTTCTGTCTGTATCCGTCTCTGTCTGCTCGCACAAACACCATTTTTGGGAAAACAAAGAAATGCGCGCTGGGGGTCTTCAGCCCCGGTTTTGTACAATGAAATCAGAAAAATACTGCCTTGTGATGGGAGGGCCGCATCAGCACATTTCTCACCTCTATCAACAGCGGTAACTAAAAATACATGTGCCCCAGTGGAGCGCTGTGAGGATTTGAATAGCTATGGAAATAGGGTTTCCCCTCTGTTGTTGGAGCAACTGCGGTGGAGTCGTGATTGACGGACAAACGGCCTGTCAAACTGTCCCAGACACGTGGACTGAAGCCTGTGATGCAGCTAATGGGATTGAAATGTCCACACACAACACACGACAGCTGTGCTGCTGTTTATGCTAATCGTCATTTCACTGTGGATGATGCCGTAATATTCCCCTTTAATGTGTGACACATACTTGGAGGCAATATTTACATCTATAATAATATAATATATAATTATCTATTGCTTGTTTTTAAATCCAATATCACTTACTTGGACTTAAACACAGCTTTGCCAGTGAGATTATTTCAAACACGACCACGGCGGACACCATTTCATAAAGACTGAATGAATGATCTATGACTATCCTGCACTGCATCTTTGGGACTCCTCTTAAGAAATGGTCCAGCAGCTGCTGTGAAGGAGGCCTCTGTCTGTGTGTTCATCCCTCTGTGCATCTGTGTGTACTTCTTTATGTGCTCCGCTGAGGAAATGACAGTCTGCATTCTGTACTCTGAGCGCTTTCACGCGGTACAATGCGGCGCGGACTGCTCGTTTGTCCCCCCCAGCGCTGGGAAGTAGTCAGTTGCTTCGCGCTTTTCATCAACTGACTGGCTGATGCCGGCCGGGTGAGAAGCCCACGGTGCTGCCGGCAGAATGCAGCAGCCCTGCGGAAGGGGATGAACCGGTCACGTATAGACTCACCGTATGAGAAGGTGTCGGGGAGAGGCACGCCGTGGCCGGCCAGCTCCTGGAAGGTCCAGAACTTGTTGACGCAGTTGAGTATGGCCTGTGGACGGTTGATCAGCCGGCAGCCCATCTTCTCCAGGTGCCGCAGCACGGTGATGTCACTGTCGGACTGCACCCAGGGCGTGGGCGCCCGTACGACCACCACCTGAGGATATGAGGTCACCAACTCTTGCTCCACTCGCAGACCTGGATGCGGTTTGAGGAGGTGTGGGGGGAGGGGGGGGGGGGCGAAGATATCATTAGGACAAGTGCCCAAACGGTGGAGCTCAACCTCGTGAGATAAAACGTTCCTCAACAGCATCCGCAACGTCCGATTTACGCGAGCTGGAAATACTGTGACAGCCGCAGGTGAGATTTGGAAACCAGCGTCTCCCGGAGGAGGGTGGGGGGGTCATGAACTCGTCTTGTGGAGAATGGGTGTGGGCGGTGCTGCAGGCGGAGAGTTGGCCGGCTCACAGGAGCAGGCAGCCGCCCGCCGCCGCTGTTAAGTCGTGGTTCTGGAAGCCGCGTTGCTGGCTGATGGGATTATCTACATGCTGCCCATATCCATGTACAGTGCCCCCCCCCCCCCCTGCAGCGCTGCCAGCTCCTCTGCCTTTTACTCCTTCTGACTGGGGAAGAGATTCACAAGGGTCTTCCAGTTTAACCACGCGTGAGCTCACGACATTTGCCGTAGCGTGGCTGGAAACGCCGTATTGTGTTTGGTCATGAATTCGAAAGAAACAAAGCCAGATGAGAAACACACGCTTAGCGACTACAGCAGAGCTCAAGGCGCGGTGCCGACTCTCCTGCTCACCGTCTCGGGTCTCAGCAGCCATCCGTACCGGCGGAACAGAATACGATATTGATGGAACAGCAACTCGGTATTTGCCAAACGCAGATGGCAAAAAATCGCCCGCCAAAGCCGGGGACTTGGCGGCATTTCAGCGGTGACTGGTGTTACTTTGTCACGCTGGCTGAGAAGAGGAAACAGAGACAGACTGTGCGATATCTGAGCAGGCGACGCGACCCGGTGGCTTATCGAGGGGGGGCGGGGGGACCAAACCTGTGTGTCCGTACACATAAATGTACGGGACGAGAGGCCGGAGACGCATTTGTCGCCAGCACAGCACTTCATCTCTACCGTGACCTGAATCTCAGCCGTCTTAGAATGCGCAGCCCCCCGCGCCCCCCCCACGGGGGCGCTGAGATCATCAGAGGTCACTGGAAGCGCCGTGGTTGCCGCATACGTAATGAGAACCGACAGCCGTCGGTGTGCCGGCGGATGCGCTGTGCGTTGACGGCCACGCCGAGTGTGCCGTGGGCACCGCAGGGCGGGGCCCCGACAAACACAGAGGGGGGGGGGGGGTCTGTGCAGAGACAAGTAGAAGGGAAACAAGAGACATGTAGCAGAAAAGGTCAAGGATGTCTTTTAGCCTTTCGCACAAGGGAAAGGAGGCAGGGAAAGGGGGAGACGCAAACAGAGGTGCGAAGAGAAAGCTGTATGAAGCCATGGAGGGTCGGCCAACCCCCCCTCCTCTATACAACGCCTACTTTACAATCTCAGAGTATGATTTACTGTCTCTCAGGCCACGCTGATTTGATCGTGCAGCTACTGAGCACCCTGAGAACGGCGTTACAGCGGGACGCGTCGGGAGATGCGGTCTCATGGTTTTTTGACGGACAGTATTCTCTGTTCGCCTCCATCTCCAAGGGAACCGAACGCAGACTAACGAGGCAGCCAGATGAATCAGTCCTATTCATTTGGGCGAGCGCTGGTGTGCACCGCACGTCATGTGACCGACGCCAAAGAAAAAAAAAAAAACATTCAGAAACCCTCCTAACCATTTTGGTGTGTAACAAAGGCGCCGTGGGTTTGTTTGTCTCTGTCCCCAGTGACGGACCGTGATGTGTTTTAATGGTTCAATGGACTGTATATTCACTGGCCCGTTTTCAATCTGCCGGACAAAGCCAACAAGCATCACAGGCATTCTATGCATACCGCTGCAACGTCACAAAGCAGCCGATGCCGACCAATGCCGGGCCCGGGGGGGAGAGGGGGGGGACGTGCCAACTCCGAGTCCAGTCTGTCTGGGAGGGTGTCCTGTCTGAATTAGCATGATGGGGCAGCAGGTTCATCCCCAGTGTCTTCTGGCTCAGTTTGGTCTGAGGACGACTAACAGGCAAGAGATGTACTGTAGGCCTCCTGTGGGGCCGCGGGTTGCCAAGTAGAACCGGACACTGAATGAGACATTTTTCAGACGACCAAAAGGTTACAATAGAAGTTCATGAACCGAAATCACACTGTGAAAAGACGTACAACTCCCCAAACGGCCCGTCGATCACAAGGTGGCCACGCCCTACAGCGGACGCTACTTTGTTGTACTTTCAATGGACATCACGCTGTATTAAGGAAGACTTTAAACTAGGATTCATAACTGTCTGTATTGGCCTCACCTTTCAGCTCTGGAGGTTTCCTCCTGATTTAAACTCAAAAAAACAAACATGTTGATGAAGATTATTTTTGCGATGTTTTGTACTAAGCATGCAGTACTAAAGCAATGATCAACGGCGCAAAACACTTATATATATATATATGTATATATATATATATGTATGTATATATGTATATATATATGTATGTATATATTCATATAGTGTATAGATACAAATAAATTGTTATTAATTAGTAATATAACGTGCCATTATGAAATTTGTGGGAAGGAATAGAGGAGAAAGTGACTGGGTTTCATGACACAATCTTGCCATAATGCAGAGTCGGAACCATGTTGTACCCACCGCATGGGGCGGGCACAAGCAACAACACCCAAAATGTGGCACTGATATTTGACATCTCCAAAGGACGTTTCATTACCTGCCAGAATGAGTGCTAATAGTGGGGGCTGCTGTCAGCTTGCAGCTGGGTGCCGTTTATGTTGTATGATAGAAAACTCAGGGAAGAGTGGAACAATATCATTTCAATAACATTTGTGGTTTTGTGTAATAACCTGCAGCTTAACCCAGAAGGTTTTATTATGGTAATGCAACATTACTCAGCGTCATGAAGCGGGAAGCGAGACGGTTTAAAGTCCAGTAATCATACTGCACACACTGTTCTCTCATACTATTTACATATATTTGCAAATTTATTCACTGAATGTTGCATTTGTCATCTTTGAAATGTTCGCATTGGCATGAGGTAGGTACGGCAAAAGGTCGTCACACACAAATTTCTTTTTATTATTGGAAAGTACCTCGCGACCTCCAGAGTTACTGCTGCCTGTGTGTAAATGTAGTGCAGGTTACTTCAAAGATGGAGAAGAACTGCGCGTGTTATTAGGTGTACGTGGTCGCTACTACGTGTCTGCAACTCCTCAGCGTGGCTAATCTGTCCACGGCCGTTAATCTGTGACGTCAGGCCCGGGCTACGTACACCTACGAGGATATGGGACCAGGATTTATTACAGCTCATTTGTTGGATAGTATTGGCTTGATACGATAGCGATTACTGCCTCACAATGGGATTTGTATGTGATGACGGAGCTGTATAGCGGACTTGAAGCAACAGTATCGGCTGTATGTAGTCGGTGAGGGACGTGCAGCTCAATCTCACCCCGATTCATCCCACATGGTCTCCCAAAACTATTCAGCATCTGCCGGTGCCAGCCTACGCCGTTTATGTGTTAACTGAGACCTGCACGCCTCTCATCTGGTGACACCGACCCCACTTCGCGCCGCCCTGATGAATTCCATGTGTATCTGTTGGTGGAGAGATCCTACTGTTCCCATCTCTGTCTCAAGGCCTCCCGGGTAACCGGTGACAAAGTGTTTTCATCTCGTAACAAGCGGAACGCAAACATTGCGTTCGGGAACACGCAGTGCAAAAATGACAAGAAGGAAGGAACAAAAGAGCCGTCTCTGTGACATAATGTGGGTTCCGTCGATACCTTAAAAAATGGAGGGATCTTAAAATATGAAGCTTTTGCTGTTCATAGGGCTGTCCTCGACCAAAGGAACGATCATCTGAATAACACACGCGTGCAGTTCCAGAAAGGAACCTCTTTAAATCTTGTGTTTACCAGAGTGAAGTCGTTCCTCTACATTTAAAACATGACTAGTTTTACTCGTCTGCTCAAGTCCAAGATGATAGTTTACTTGACAAAAAGTATAACATCAATAAACGAGCACTGTTAATGGCTCCATCCGTGCGAGATGGGTTCAATGTGTCCCTCTGTTTGACCTGCATTTGTTAAGATAGCATCTTAATCGTTGTTTGTTGGTCTGGTTTGAATTTTAAATCGCTGCTCTTATCATTTTCCAACGCAAATATTGAATTCATCACTGAAGCCACACTTGTCTCCAAACCCTCCTTTGTATGCGAGGCACAGCGTCCCCCCCCCCCCCCCTTAACAAACCAAAAAACATCACAACGTGGTTAACCACAGCTCCCCTGGCAAAGTAAAACTCCCCGTTGCCTTGGTGATTGAGTAAAAAAAGAAAAAAAATCATCGACGGCCATTACTGTAACGTGTTCAGCGAAATGAAATCAAGCTCCATTGCCCCCCCCCTCTCTCCCACCTCCCGTCTCTCCGGAGGAGGCACTCGCGCTGGAAAGTGGGTTAGGCGGTCACGTCTGCGGTTCCACTTGGCTTCTCTTTTGGCTAGCAGACCGGGGCTAGCCCTCCCCCCCCCCCCCCCCCCCGGCAGCGTGCCCTACGTAACAAAAACACCAAAACCAAACCGAAACGAGCAATAAGCGAACCCGATCCCAACTTTTGTTTTTAGGGCCAAACAGTGCGCTGCCCCCCCCCCCTCCCCCTCCCTCCCTCTCCCACTTCGCTGGAGCCGTGGCGTGCTACTTGCCTAGTTGTCCCTCGCTGATCGTTAGCACGATTTGATCCATGAGCAGCGAGCGGAACTCGACGTCCTCGTCGGCGCAGCGCTCCGTCAGCGCCCGGTGGATCTGCACCTGGGGGTACTCCTGGCTGATGCGCCGGTCCGTCACGAACCAAACCCGGGAACACATGGTTGTTCTGGAATGCGTGGATCTAGGGTTGAGAGAGAGATAGAGAATCCCTCCCACCCCGCCAAAAAAAGGGAAATCCGGGAGGAAAAAAAAACACAGAACAGCCGGTTGTAGCTGTGCGAGGCGGCAGGTGTGTGTGTGCGCGACGGCTCACACAATGGAGACCTCGGCGGGCTGCTAGCAGAGCAGAGCGGGAGGAGATGTGGCTCAAAAACGGGAGCGCGGCTCAAAGCGCAGTCCGGACCGAACCCGGCGTGGACGAACGAGCCTCGCTATCCCCTCTGCGGGCCTTCCCCCGCGGCCATTTAGCCCTCCTTCGCGGGTGCAGTTAGCTAAAGGTGGACCGCGCGAAAAGCGAGTGAGCCGGGGGGGAAAAAATAACGGCGTGTCTCTCTCTCTCTCTCCTCCACACCCACTCCCGACCTTTTCAACCGTTTTCCGGCTCGCGGCAAAACGCTCGCCCGCCGGGGCGAACAAAGCAAGGAAGCCGTGCCGCTGGATATTGTCCACTCGGCGACTCAAAACTAACAATGAAGTTTTCCCGCGATCGCGGCGTTGCAGACTGGTCTGTTGAGTACAATGAACTAGCCCTCTCTCCCTTCTCTCTCTCTCTTTCTCTCTCCCTCTCCCTTCTCTCTCTCTCTCTCTCCTCCGTGTCGCCGCTGTCCACGCGTTTTTGGTGCTGAACCGTGCACGAGCTTCGTTTACAACTCCATTTATCTGCGTGCCCGTGCACAGCATACGGGACCTGCCCCCGAAATAAAAGTTTTGGAGTGGCACGAGCCAATCCCAAATCGGAAACGTGCCCGTCGTCCATACGGTACGCGGAAGACGTGGGCGGGACTATCGCGTCTCAACCAATGGGAAGGCGATGCTCGACGAGGGCGCGGGGGTTGCCGCGTGAAATCAGTGCGCGGAGTCTGCAGTGCGCACAAGACTGCGCACCTCGCGAACCGGTTCAGACCAGATGCCGCGAGGAGGTCCGGCGAGTACGGCGAAGGCGCCGTCTCCGGGGCGAAAGTGGCAGGAAATTAAACAAGGTCATCGCAAACCGAAGCCCCCGCGCACGTGTTTCTTGTGTTTCTGTACGTTCTCCGTCAAATGCTAGAGGTCGAGAGGCGTTTACGTGTCCACCGCCTCCGGCTGCTGTCGGGCGGCGCCACCCAGCGGCCGCTGGCCCGACCCGTTGGAAGGAAAACACCCCCATGTGATAACGGTGCGAAATTATGCGCCTGACCCACTTCCTCTCGGTCCCTGTGCCAGAGACTACGCACCTCGTTGTAGGGGGGTAAATGTGAGCATGCGCACATGATTATATTATCTTCTGTATAATTTGACATGTTGCATATGCATATTATGTCTGTTTGTTCATATATTGATTCATATTTATTGAGATCGTTCACACAAACTCAAACAATTGTAACACATTGATGTATTACACAAACACACGAAAATCTAGTTCAAGACGCCTCATCGGCTCCAGGGTGGTCCTCAGTGCACTGCGGTCAAGCCAGACTCCACTTCGAAAAACACGTTATTTCGTGATAGGCGTATATACTAGAGATTACGGTAGTGGCGCGTAAGAACTAACTTCAAAATAAAAGCAATTCCACTGAACGTGATAGAACGTGTCAGACTCATTCAATAAGTATGTAGATCATATATAAATGTGATACTACATTTAAATAGTTAAATAGATACACTGTAAACTCAATATAATAATTACTACATGCAAACTATTGGAGGGAATAATTCAACTTTGGGTTTATAGTACGCCACCTCCAGGTGTCACTCGGGGATAACCAGGACATTCTGATGTTCCAAATTCCAAAGTTAAAGCCCGGCAAAATGTCATACATGAGCTAACTCATGCAAACTTCAGAAGCCTGACGGACGGGTCTCTGGAGATGCAGCTGTTACTGTACAAAGAGAAGAGCAGAGGGGAAAAAACGCAGCTTTTGGTGGAACCGGTGCTGATAGACTGAGAGGTTGAGACATGTTTCCGCAGCTTTACATGCTGCTTCAGTGATCCACTTGCAGGTGATGTCGGGCGCGTACAAACAGGTTCCTGGAACAGGTTCCTGGCAAGTCCAGACGCTGGAGGATGAAGTAAAGGGCCATTGTTACGTACCTTGTTTTGTTTGGCTGTGTTGTCTGCCTGTGTGTGTGTGTGATTCTCTTCAGGTGTGCTGGTGATGTCAGCTCATCAGTGTGGGGTTAAATGGCTGTGCCAAGCCAGAGTGAGGGGTGTTGCTTCAGTGGAAGCCAGAGAGTGAGCCAGTGACAGAGGAGCCATCATCGTCTTCCTTTTGGAGATTGTTTTCAGTTGCCTTGAGTTTTCCATCATTAAATTACCTTATTTGCCGTTCGTCCAGATCGTCGGGAATTTTTTTGTTTGCTTGTACGTTCATCATTGTCTGTTGCGGTAGGTTTATCTGTTTGAAAATTTGATATAGCCCTGTGTGCTGCTGCCTCCGTGCTTTGCTAGTGTGTAATTGTGAAACTGCTTCTCCTCAGTCTAGGTAGGGTAGTGTCCAGCTGGGCCTAATCGGCCTTTCCTCCAGGCAGTAATTTATTGTTTTGCCTTTATTGTTTTCAGGGTCAATCCTGGGCGGAGACGTTCTCCAAAGGGCGTTTCAGGTCGCTGATGTGTTGCCCCGAGCCCGGCAGGGCTCCAGAAGATAGCCAGGTATTAGTGTTGGATAGGCAGGTTCTAAGGATGTAGCTGTTTCCTTGAGATGAGGCAGGGGGCCTATTGTCTGGGTGTACTAATATCAAACACTAAACTTGACGTGTTCAGCGTGATGGTGCTGATCTGTCTTCAATCCTTCATATGAGGAGTTTAAAATCTGCATACCTGAGCGTACTACTGTGTATTTAAACGAACTAAGTGTCCACCCAGCAGAAACCATTTTTAATAAACCTGATAGTTCTCCACATGAAGCTCCCCAACAATTTCATCTTCCGGTGCGTTATGACAGCGCTCTCTAGCCTCCAAAGCCAGAGAAACTGTTTCTTTTGCCTTAAGTCTGGTCACCTGGTTGCTAATTGTGACCCTTTGAAACAAGCAGCAGGGGTCGTTTCAGAAACCACCTAAGGGTGTGGGATTGATTAAAACGTCCCTAGCTCCTGAAGTACCTGATGACTGTTTTAAACCGTTCATATTTTTAATGGTTTTGTGTCTCTTTTCAGGGAAATCTGAGGATAAGCGTCCCATGAAAATACTGCGAGACACAGCTTGTTCAGTCACTGATCTTGTCTGATGTTCTGCTGCTAGGTCTCAAGTGTGAGTGCAGTTGTAAGGGGCATTGTAACTGCACCACTGTACCAGATGCATGTACATTCTGGCCTCGTGTCAGGGTTTTTCCACAATGGCAGGGCAGGATTCCCTGTTGACTTTATCATGGGGAATGATATTGCAGGTGGGAAAGTGTATCGTGTTCCTGAAGTTGTGTGCACTCCCATTTCTGACTTGCAAAGCGATGATCTAGCCATAAAACATCCTCAGGTGTCTGATTCCTCGTTTTGCTTCTCTCCTTTCTGGGGAAAGTGTGACCTTGGGTGGTGGACCAGTGAGCCTAATCAGCCTGCTCCGCTGCGGCCGGTCCCCGCAGTCGGTGAGCCCTTTGAGCTTGTTCTGGTCGACCGTTGGTCCGTTGCTGAAAGCCAAGTTTGGGAATCTTTTTGCTCACCGTGATGTGTTTTTCCGCTCGTTTTCCTGAGGCCATTTCTTTGCGCAAGATAATGTGTTTCCTTTTGTGTGGTGCTGGTGCGGTGTTTCAGGACGATGACGGGGATGTGTCATCCTGTTTCTTTTCCACAAAGTTCAAACATCAGCTGAACTACTCCACCATCGAGAAGGAGACCTTAGACATGCTCCTTGCCCTACAGCACTTTGAAGTGTACGTGGGATGCGGTTCATGTCCAGTCACTGTATACACTGACCATAACCCGCTAGTCTTTTTAGCCCAGATGTATAACAGCAATCAGCGCTTGATGCGCTGGGCCGTCCTGGCCCAGGGTTACATCTGCATCAAACACAAGAAGGGAGCTGACAACATTGTGGCTGACTCGCTGTCCCGTGGGTGAGGCTACATTGAGAAATAAAAGTGAGCTTATGGTGGATCAGTGACGTGGGAACGATTATAGGAATTTTTCTGTAGTGATGTATTAAATTGTTATGACTATGTATAATCGTGCATATGGAGGAGTTTCCTCTTATGGGAGGGGGTGTTAGGTGCCTTGTTTTGCTGTGTGTTTCTCTTCAGGTCTGCTAGACACTTTAGGGACGTAACAGCTATGTTGACTGCGTTGTCTACAGACCTGTGGGCAAACTGGAGGGGATTATATCTTTGTTTAAAGTCTTTGTGCTGTCCCTCCCCATAGGCTTCTGTCGATGGTGTTTCTATCTGATGGTGGTTGTCCCTGCAGTGGTCCTGCTGTGCACCCGGCTTGCTACTCAATTACTTGAAACATTTCTGTCATAGTAATTGAATGTATTATACATGGTTCATTCTGTTCATTGTAGTCTGTCCATTCCAGGAGTGGGATCCCTCCTCTGACGTTCTCCCTAAGGCTTCTTGCCTTTTTTCCCTCTTGGAAGGGTTTTTTCATTTTTTTGGGGTGGGGGTTTCAGGACACAGGGAAGTCGTATGTGTACAGACTGTAAAGCCCTCTGAGGCAAATTTGCGATTTTGGGCTATACAAAATGAATTGAATTAAAGTCTATACTTGCAAACTGAGACAAACAAGCCAAGCTGGATTGACACAACCAATGCTAACATACAGAATGAGGGCTGGACACAAAAAAATTCCAAATAATGTAGATGGGTGAATAACCGTTGAATACATAGAGTTGATAATTTGGGGATAAGGCTTTGTAATAAGGGTCGGCTTTTTTAATTGCATTCTTGTTACTTCATTCCAACTGCTGTGGTGAATAACTTAAGTATTTGTTTCTGAAATGGTTTATGTTGTTTAAAGTCTTTATTTGCCACCTCAAAATTAAGTTCATATCCAACACAGGCCAGGATGCTGGTAGTTGTGGACGATGCTGCCTGTGATTAGCAAATGACAGACAAGAAAACTTACAATTTCAGTTAAAACTGACCATTTGTTAACATTTTTTAAGCACAAGTCAGCAGCATCCTTAACTCCTCATAAATATAAGGTCACATAGTTATTTGTATACTTACATTTAAATAGGCACATGAATAATCTAGAAAAAACAACCCAATATGTGTTCTTCATACACATGCCAGATGTATGTAAACTAATGCAAAACCATGTTCTGTAATTGAGACACATAACGCAAACGTGTAAGTCAGGCAAGGTTTTATGCAAATGGTCGCCTGTTGACACTGCAATGTGTCTTATAACTATAATTAATGCCTCCTAAAGGGACATTTTGTGGAGTCAAACATTTTTACAGAGTTCCCTTGAAAGGAGATAATTTGCATCACTCTGTGAATGACAATTTTCAGGCAACCTCCGGGTGCAAAGATCAAACCCGTTCTGCTGAATAGGAAGGGATGGGCCCATGGATGGGATCAAGTATCCTTTAGCAAAACTCATTCATGCTGCAACCGCGTTAATAAAGCAATATTTTGAACTTAGTAGTTTTATGTAATCTACATGACTCAGCACTGAAACAACAGAGGCAAATAAGATGCTTCTTTGTAGTCCATCTTCAGAGAAATTGTAGTTTTGCCACTGCACACTGACGTCACTCACGTGTCTCACGTTGCATCATGTGGCTGTAGTGAGGTATGAGAATATATGGTGGGTCTGAAGTGCGAAACACACCAGCAAATAGGAAAACACAGCGAAATTCACTTCTTACGGAAAGGGTAAGGGCCTTATAGCAGATAGCATAGGACGGACCCTTCTGATTGGACAGACAGACTGTCTGTCTTTTAACCCTCTTAATCCAAAGCCTTACCCGAATCAAATCTGAATTTGTTCATTGGGTCCAGCGTTCAGCCAGAGTATTTTGTGATTTTAGTTCACTGTGTAGCGACTCATAGTTTTCAACGGTTCCTTTGAGCGGAAACTGTCAGTTCCACTATGCCAAAAACAATGTGAAGTTTTGAAGCAGCAACACACATGTGACAGGTCTGTTTTCTAAACGGCTGTGGATAATCTCTGGCCAAAAAGTATCTATCCTCACCTTATAGCTTAGGCCCACTTCACTACAGAATCAAACAGCTCGCTGGGCTCTAATCAACTTGATCTAGATATTGCATGACAGTGCTAAGTAACAGGTTTTGAATGGTGTGGTATTTAGTTTTACACACTCCGTGTGAGGTGACACGGTGAGAAATTTAGGGAGAGACCTTCTTCAATCCTTTACAGTAAAAGCATAATACTATAATGCACTATAATGACATTCCAATCAGCATCAGTGGACTTTTGCCCGTGAAGCTACTTAGAAAATATTTGTGTGTAAGTATAAGTGTTTGTTTTGTAGTTTTCATGTGACTGAAAAAGTTTATTTAGGGTTAGCGTCCTAAATTGTGCGCCCATGGTGTTGTTTGCTTATTACCTAACGTCAGCTTTTTCTGGTATCGGTCTTTATGTTCTTAAAACGGATGGTAATGTGTGAATGTGTGAACAAAATCCTCATGAAGTTTTGTTTTTTTCAGTTTTCTTTCTGCAGTTTGCTTGTTATACAGTATATACATGCTGAGGTAGCATTTAGCTGAAAGCCCCTGGCATGACTGTAGATTCTAACGCAGCAGGAGTCTATGCTGTATAGTTCATTTCAAGATTCCTGAAGCCCTGAGCAAAAAACACAAAATAAAATACAGTACAACAAAAGAGGGATGTATTAAAATAACTGTCTGCATTTCTACAAAAATAGAATTAAATAAAGTCCTGAACCTGATTTCCTGTCCTCCATACACCAGACAAACATTTACCTGTAGATTGTTCTGGTATAATTCAGAATGACACCTAGGAAGTACTCTTGCGTGTTTTTGTGGGATTGGAAAATTATGATGTAGCATTTTGGCAAGAAATAGAACAACAGAAAGGAGTAGACACTTAAGAGTATTGCCAGGGCTTCAAATGTAGCGATGTTGTTTTTAAAAAAGGTGTATATACTGGCATAGTTGATCGATATGAGGAGCAGGCAAAAGGTTATTGCTTTGGCTTCATTGTAATTTTCAGGAAGGTCTTTGCCCATGTACGAGAAAATAAAGCAAAGGAAGCACAGAGACACAAGTAAAACCACAGGACCAACGTATCCTTTGATATTCATCTCACAAACAAGGATGGTTTTGTCTGGGTACCAAGAGGTTTCATTGTGAGGCTTTGGAGGTGCAAACATATTGCCAAAAAGAAGTAAGAGTGCCTGAGTAACAAATGCCAGCGTGATGAACAGCCACTGTCCATGATACTTTATCCACACACTGTGAAAGTTTGGGAACTTGGCAGCCATTTTGAAAATAAAAACAATTTGAAAAGATCGCACCACAAAACATGCTAGAGAAACGGTGTAAAACAAGCGAAATGGTAAGAGCCTCATGACACAAGAGGAAGCAGTGGGCTTACCAAAGTAAAAGAACACACTGACATTAGACAGACACAGGCAGCCCAAATTGAGGAAGCACATCGGCCCCCCAGCAGATCTGACGACAGGTGTGTTGTAGTTGATGGCAAAGAGAACGGACATGGCTACTGTGAGGACCACCAAGGCCCAGGCTCCCACCATGATCAGTATGGCACCAATGTCTGTGAATGGGACAAACTCCAACTCCCGCAGATTACATGATGTGCTTCCTGCTGCAGACCATTCTGTGTCCTTACAGTTGATGCACTCGTAGGGATTCCCTGTTCAACACCAGAGAAGGACAGATTGCAATTATAGTCAAGGTCACTTTTGAATGGTCCTCTGTGGCTGAAGGAAGACGAGTTCAGGAATCTGGTTGAATGGCGAGGGTCTGTGTGGACATCCGAGCACCTCCAACCGGTTGTGCCTCGAGGCCACCGTACTACAAGTGGTAGCTCAGAGATGTGCTCTGCATATGTCGGATGTTCACGTACAGCTGAAGTCATGAAACTCCTGACCCTCAGTGTTGCAACAATTATGAATAGCTCAATCAAGGCTGCAGCCTCACTTTCTCTATGCAATTCTGTCTGCCACCAGGCACTCTTCTGTGGAAATGAAGGCTTGCTCCCGTTAGCAGTTATCCATTGACAAGTATCTATTGTGCGTTTGATCATCTCATTTTAACAGTGGTGAAAGTTACAAGTTATGACCTAGACAGTTGAAAGCTGCAAACTCTAGGCTCCAGTTATTTCACAAAAACAATCAATAGAATATGTATTTTTGACCTGATGTATCATACCAACCTCTTGGGTTGAAAAAAAATGTAATCTAAAAAAAAAAAGAGCATGGATTGAATGACACGTTGCTCACATGTTGCTTCTGTCTTGCTTCCAATGGGGAATCACAGTCAGCCATAAACAAGTTTAAAAGTAATGTACCTGTTTTGTTGAAATAAGTGCCATTCGGACAGATTTCACATTTGAAACAGCATCTGTGGATTCCATCTGGCTTTTTTTTAAATCCTTCATCACATTCTTGGGAACACCGTGAAGTAGGCACCTGTACAAGACAATTATTTACAACCCCAGTGAGGACAAGTGCAATGTTACACAGTAAGGGGTGCAGGCAAATTACAGTGTGTAGACCCATGAAGCATTTAAATTCTTAACAGGGTTTCTCACATGAAATCAACATTAAACACAACATCTGGATCTCCCTGCAAACGACTCCATGCACAAACCAATGTTGGTTAATGTTCAGCATTATTACTAAATAAATGTGCACATGGACACTCATCCACACATACACATCCCTGCAGAAGCTGGAAAATAAAACAGTATAAAGTATTTTTGTGGAGAAAAACAACTTACTTCCTTTGTCTTCCACTGAATTTTGCTGTTGTCGATGAAGAAATACAAGTTTGGGTAAAAGTTATGAAAGCCAATCTCCTGTGCGTCACCGCTTTGGTTCCAGAAAACTATAGAATAGGATCCGTAGTTGGGATCACCATTCTCATCAAATGTGACACTTTGATTTAAAAGTATAAATTTGGACTTCTTCAGCTCTGCTAGAACCTGATGTGGACACACAAGTTTAGAGAACCTTTTGTTTATAACACTCTGGATTAGGTGATGTTTTAAAAGAGACACGTAAAATACATTTACATCAAACAGAGTAAGCGACTAATTGATCATATTATGTTTATACTCACCATGTATGGGTACGCTGTAATACTCCTGTTACATCTGCCTGAGTCACATTGCAAGGTATTGTGTAAGGCATGGGCGATGGCATGTACAGCAGCATAAACAGGAAAATTAAAAGATGGATCCACATTGAGGATTTCTTCTGGTTTCAGGCTGCTGCAGTTGCAAACCTGATTGCAAAACATACTTTGTTCTGCATTTTCACAGTGAGTCTGGCCTTTGGAATGATGGATAAAATCACTGAAACCAGGTATTGTAACTTTTGGTTCAGAGACCCCAAGTATCGTCCCAATATTATGTATTCCTTTCTCTTTGGGGAGCTCCTTGTTTAAGGACCATGCATCTCCTGCTATCCACACCTTGTTGGTGACATTCTGTTGTATTGCTGATTTAATGAGAGCTTCAGCAGTCCATTCAGGAGCAAAAACAATAATCGCATTTATTTGATGTGCCTCTATCTGTCTGAATACTTGGGAATAATTTGTATGTTGATCAAGGCCTTTGGTGTATCCCAGGCAAATCTCAGTGCCATCAATTTTCTTTATGAATAATTCCCGGCCATCGTTTCCATAATCATCATCAATGTGAAGGAATGCGACCCAGCTCCAGTTGAAGTGTTGAATAATATTAACAATCACTTCTATAACGTCTTTATTGGGATGAACTGTTCGTAGGAAAGAGGGGAAATTCTGTTTTCTTGAAAATACCGAACTTGCCGCTCCGTAACTGACCTGTCAAAAAAGAATAATGTACAGTGACAAATTCTCAAATCTAACATTAAAACTCACTTTAATAGATTCAAGCAAAAATACTTTAGGGGTAATAAATACTCATTATTTTAGTGTTTACATGTATAATCTCTTTGCATTTTGTTAAATGAATGATAAAATCTTTGTATCACTGAATGTATTTGGATGATTTACCATCGGAATGAGATCCATCATGAACAGCGGGGCGACAGTCAGTGCCTGAGTGCTCGTGTGAGTGCCGACCACAGCCATGACTTTGGACAGATTCTTGGGTGGTTCAGCCCAAGGTTGGATCAAGCCATCAACTGAGAGAAGTTTCAAGATGCCTGGAAAACTGTGTATATCTGAGCAGTGGTCAAATATCTCATATCCGAGAGACACATTTGGCAGGAGGTCGGTGGAGTTATTGATTTCCTCTACAGAGAATCTCATCAACTGAAACCTCCGATAACTTGAATGAATGAAGGGTTTACTGCAGATAGAGGAAGGAAAGTAAGAGAATGTGGGAATTAGTCTCACTATTTACTGCCTGAGCCAACATCTGAAACAAGATTGGAATGAAGCATGGACTAAGGTCAAAAATGAAGATTTGTAACTGTTACGAGCTATATCCCCTGACCTGAAGCAAGGAAATGTTTGATCTCTATTAACATCAGGATTTTATTATTTTCAACCCTAGAAGATTTTCATTGAGACTTTGTAAGACTCACCTGGAGCAGTTGATGGCTTCTGGTCGGTCTTGTACAACAGGAGAACTATCATGGTGAATGTCAAAAAGTCCAGCCAACAAATAATCTCCTTCCAGGTGAAACTCTGAGCCTTGGACGGTGCATTGAGCCGATTCATGTAGAAAAGACTCCAGGAGAAGCAGAGAAATAAAGAAGGGTTTCATTGTGCTGGTGAAACTACCGTTCACCATTCCGATGTGAAACATGAAATAGGAGCGCATCTCAAAAATACCAAATGCAGAAGAATACACAAATCAGTATGCAAAAATCATCTGAGATGTCTATGATACAGTGTAAATTACAAATTTGCCTCAGAGGGCTTTACAGTCTGTACACATGCGACATCCTCTATTCTGAAACCCTCACATTGTCACAGGAAAAAACAAAAAATGAAAACCCTTCCATGGGGAAAAATGGACAGAAACCTGCAGAAAGTTGCAGGTGATTGGACACAGGTGGAAACAATCACAGGGGATGACAGGACAAGGCAGGAAGTGAAGCTACCAAGGGAGACAAGAGGCAGAAACCTACAAAATAAGACAGGAAATAAACCCAAACCGTGACAGTACCCCCCCTCAAGGGCCGAATTCCAGACGGACCGAAACTGGCAGACAGCAGACAAGGGGCGGGAAGGGAGGGGACGAAGAGACGAGGGTCGTGCCACCCAGGGGACTCTGGCGGGCTGCCCGGTGGGCGGTCAGTGGGCTGGGGAGCCTCTGGGGGTCGGCCCTCGTCTCTTCGTTGGCGGTCTGGCTCGGCGTTGGCAACGGGGCGCAGGAAGGAGTGCGACCCAGCTCCAGTTGAAGTGTTGAATAGTATCAACAATCACTTCTATAACGTCTTTATTGGGATGAACTGTTCTTAGGAAAGAGGGGAAATTCTGTTTTCTTGAAAATACCCAACTTGCAGCTCCGTAACTGACCTGTCAAAAATGAATAATGTTCACCGACAAATTCTGAAATGTAACATTAAAACTCACTTTACTAGATTCAAGCAAATATACTTTAGGGGTAATAAATAGTCATTATTTTAGTGATTATATAAGCTCTTTTTTTGTTAAATGCCAGAGCTCCTCCTCCTAGGGTTGAGGAGGTCCCGGAGCTCGAGGCAGGCCTTTTGATAGCTCCATGGGCCAAAAATAAAGTTAGTCCTTCGCTGCCAGAAGGGACTTCTTACGTCCAGGTACTCGGGTACATAATTCGGCAGAAGGTCTACTGAGTCCTTATATGGTGGTGTCATTCTGTCAGGATGCGGGGAAGGCAGGACTCAAACGCAGACTTTCAAAAAACGAAAAGGCTTTTATAGTCAAGATCCAAAAAGGACCAAGGTGCAAAAATGCAGACGGGAACAAGGAACATCCAATCCTCAATCACAGGGGATGACAGGACAAGGCAGGAAGTGAAGTTACCCAGGGAGACAAGAGGCAGAAAACTTCTAAATAAGACAGGAAATGAACCCAAACCATGACACCTATGACAAAAATGATTCAAATATTGTAGGAAAGGGTAGTAGGAAAGGGTAATGTTGATGTACCCTGATGACAGTAATAGGAATGTAATTAATATTTAAACTAATAATGATGATGAAAGCAGCAGCAGGCGTCAGAAGGGCCATGGCAGGAGGCAGGAACAGGGCCCAGATAGAACCATGATCCATGGAAACCTGCAAGGCGAGAAAGCTCGAAAAACTCTGGGGAAGAACCTGAGTTAGTGATGTGCATTAATAAAACGTGGATTATTGTAGAAGGAGAGAGTGAGAGAGGAGCTTGGCATGTCCTAAGAAGTCCCTCGGCAGTCTAGGCCTATAGCAGCTTAACTAAGGGCTGGTTCAGGCTAACCTGAGCCAGCCCTAACGATATTGTCTTTAAGATATACACGGTCGCTCACAAGCCAGTGCCTTGTAGGTGAGCAGAAGTACCTTAAATTATAGTCTTGATTTAAGACAGTGCAAAGAAGCGGAGTAATATGATCCCTTTTCATACACATGCTGCAGCATTCTGAATCAACTGGAGAGGCTTAAGAGACTTATAAGAGCCGCGTGATAATAAAGAATTGCAGTAATCCAGTCCAAAAGTAACAAACGCATTAATTTCTCTCCATCGCTTTGAGACAGGAAGTTCCTGATTTTCGATATAATCCGTAGATGAAAAAAGGCAGTCCTTGAAGTCTTCTTTATATGGGAGTTAGCAGACATGTCCTGGTCAAAGAGAACTCCAAGATTCTTGACGGTGCTGCTGGATACCAGAGCAATTCCATCCAGAGAAACTGTATCACGAGACAGATGACCTCGAAGGCGCTCTGGGCCTATCAAGATAACATCTGTTTTTTATTTGTTTATTATCATGTAGTTGAAGGTCATCCAAGTTTTGATGTCTCCAAGACATTCTTGAAGTCTAACAAGCTGGTCGGTGTCTTATGGCTTGATTGACAGATACAGTTGAGTATCGTCTGCACAATAATGGACGTTTATGCAGTGTTTTCTGATAACATTGCCCAAAGGAAGCATATACAGGGTAAATATAATCAGTCCAAGCACACAGCCTTGTGGGACTCCCTGACCAACATTGGTGGTGATCGAGGATTCACCGTTTACAAGCACAAACTGGGATTGATCCTATAATTCTCCTATTTTGTTTCACTGTTGCATTATTGGTTTTAACTTTAAGTTATTCAGTATAGCACAGAGAAGTGTGTAAGACTGTGACTCTGCTTCCTGGTCTGAACTCTGGGTCATGGATTAAGTCCACTAAGAAACTGGTAATTCCATTTCTGTTAATCGTCTTTTATGTTTCTACCCATTAAAAGAAGTGCCATCACCTGTGGTCAAGTTTGTCCTGCAGCAGAGATGGGATGATTGTGTTGAATGCAGAGCTGAAGTCCACAAACAGGATCCTGGCGTAGGTTCCTGGGGAGTCCAGCTGCTGGAGGATGAAGTAAAGGACAATCAGTGTGTTTACATGATGGTATAATTCGAATCTTTGCTTAGTCGGACTATCCTATCTTTCGGGGCAAGTGCTATTATCCCAATATACATGACAGTGAATAAATCGAATCATCGGCCGAAAGCATATCTGATACGATAGGTAGCGCTGTTTTCATTACAACTAGTTGTGATACAGCCATTTCCGCTTGACCTCTTAACCACTACCAACAACAACCGACAAAAACAACATCCACATTACGAGAAAGATGGCGAACGGAGAGCAAGGTGAAGCTACATCCCTCTACTATTTTTGCATGATGTTAATAGGAGTACAGCGAATGTGAATGGCGCTATTGGCTGATTTGATAACGGAGAGAAGACGCCGTCGGGATCTCAAGCATGCGCAAAGACGCAAAGTCTAGTTCCTTATCCAATTCACCGTTACATGCCGCAATAGTTGAACTATCAACTGGATTGGATCGAGTTTTCCAGGGGTGTTAGTCGGATCGTAGTCGGACCGCACATAGTCGGACAAAGGTGTTTACATGAAACGGATAATTCGATTTCAGTCCGACTAAGCCAGTTATTCGAATCCATGTAACCACGCTGAATGTTGACGGCGTCGTCTACAGACCTGTTGGATCTGTAGGCGAACTGCAGGGGGTCCAGAAGGGGGTCAGGAAAGGTTTTGAGTTGGTGCAGGACAAGGCACTTAAAGGACTTCATGACCACACAGGTCAGGGCGACGGGCCTGTAATCATTAAGTCCTGTGATCCTTGTTTTTTGGGGAGGGGGATGAAGTGGAGGCCTTGAAGCAGGCTGGCACGCAGGCCTCCAGTGAGGTGTTAAAGATGTTGGTAAACACCGGAGACAGCTGATCAGCACAATGCTTCAGGATGGAGGGAGAAACAGAATCTGAGCCGGCTGCTTTCCGAGGGGCTTCTGTGATTTAAATATCCTATTGATATTCCTCTCCAGAATAGAGAGAGTTATCAATGTGATGGGGGATGTGGGATGTTGTCGGGGGGCATAGGCCTCTATTGTGCTGGGAGAGGGCGACCAGGGGGTTGTGAAGGCTGTGGATGGGTTCAGGACTACTCCTTTGTCTGTCAAAGCGGCAGTGGAAATCGTTCAGCTCGTTAGCCAGGCGTAGGTCGTTCATGAAGTGGGGGGCTTGTAGTTGGAAATCAGTCTGAGGCCTTTTCAGACTGATGTAGAATCGTTAGCAGAGAACTACTGTTGGAGCCTCTCTGAGTACAGTCGTTTGGCGTCTCTGACAGCCTTGCTAGACTTTCTTTTAACAAGTCCCTATCCCCACTTCTAAACTCATGATCCTTTTGTAATCGTAGCCGTCTGAGTTCAGCTGTGAACCAGGGTTTGTCATTGTTGTAACTCACCCTTGTACAGTATGAGACACAGCTGTCTTCACAGAAGCTAATGCATGCCGTCACAGCCTCTGCATACTCATCCAGATTGCTGGTTGCAGTGCTGAAAATACCCCAGTCCGTACAGTCCAGAACCAGCTAGCGGTGCTCCTTAGCCTCACTGGTCCACTATCGTCACTGGTCCATATAATCCTATGTATACATATAAACATGTTTAAACATATATTGTGTAACCTCTCAATTGGTTTGAAAAAAATACTCTCATAATAATATTTATCTCATATTTTAAAATGTATTAATCGAGATTAATAGTGATTTAAAACTTCTAAAAACTGCATCTTATAAATTAACGAGCAAGCGTGTATTTTAGACACTGTTGTTTAATTCAATTTTTTTAAAACACACAACACACGTTTGATCATCTCCAAAACATGTTCCAGGCACTATCAGTGCGGGAAGTTTTCTGTTTGCCACTCATCTCCCTTCTGTTTGACACGTGGGGGAATTCCTCTGCACAGTTCTTCGTTGTCACGCCTGTTTCTTTTATTTCAAATGAAAAAAGTTCTCTGCATGTTTAATTACCGCCTCGGTCTCTACGATCTAACTGTAGTAAATAGAGTTGTGTTAACTGCGTTAAAATGTTTTATCGCATTAATCTCGGCCACAATAATCTCATTGATTAACGCATTAACAGCCCTAATATAAATATTAAATGCCACATCAAAATGTCCCAATTACTACTGATTGACACCTTGAGGTGGTCTTCCATTAACCCAAAGTAAAATGATCATGTAACCATGGACCATTTCCTTTTAGATGCCATCTGAAATTGAACATGAACATTTTTGAAAATGCTACATCAGAATGTCCTGATTAACCCTGAGTGACACCTTGGGGTTGTGTACTATCCGGCTGGAGTGGAATTATTATGTAATTATTGATTATTTCCTTTTATAATACGGGTAGATGAAATCCAGCGTTTTGATTGGTTGAGAGTGAGTCACGGGGGTGCATTATTGGACGATAATGTACAGTTGCTGTTCACATTGACCCGAGAGTTCACTGCGCACTCAAAGTAGCAGGTTAGATTTTGTACGGCTGTTAGTTGACATTTTAGCTTTTAGCGATCTTTCTCAGGTACGTGGGCTATGCTTTCTCTAGACTACTGAAATGAGATACACAACGTTTGGTGGCTAATACTATTTTGTGCTCAGAAGCAGCTATATACTTACTATTTATGATTTTATTTATGGGATTATTTATGGGAACCGTATTATAATAAAGCAATAAACTACGAGAGGCTGTACTTTATCGTCCAATAATGTAACAGTTCGAGGGTGTTGTTTGGGGTGATGGCAGCCATCTAAAAATTCAACAGAAGTTGTTTCATGAATGAGAAGTGAGAATTTCCAGATATTCTCTGGTCTGTGCACTCTGTAGTTGAGAAAGAAGGCCTGGCCATTAAAGGGGCTCTGGAAAGTCTGCTGTACTACTTATTGGGCCGAGAGTTTGATCTTGAAACTGACCACCGGGCTCTAACCTGGATAAACTTTATGAAGGACCAGAACCGGCGTGTCACCCGGTGGTATCGAGGTATTTCTGCAACCATTCACTGGCTCATACGCAGACACACATAAATACGCACACATTGACACACACAGACGGTTCAGATAGGCTAAAGGAGAAGCAGGTGTAGTGATTGCCAGCAGTCTGGAGCTGAAGGTCCTCAATTAGCCTGATGGGAGGGGCTTAGGATTTTTAAGGGAACCTTCTCATGGAAGGAGAAAGGGGGGGGGGGGGTTGTTTGAAGTGTGGGTAGAAAGCCATTTAGAGAGTGAGATGGTGACTTTTTGGTTTATTTCATTTGTTTGTTGTTATTTTGGACAAGAGTTTTCTATTACTGTAATGTTGTTTCCACTTGTTTGCACTTGGGGAGAATTTGCACCACCTCTACCTACGACTATGCCATCGTTTTGTGCTGTTTAGCAAGGACTGAGTTTGAACCCTGTCGCAGAATTCTTTATAAATATATTTGAATAAGTAATTACACAATTTCAATTACATGTTTCCTCCGATAATTCCAATTATATTTTCCTCCACAGGTTTGCATGCAGTAATTCATATTTTGCGTTTAAAGTTATTTATAGATATATAGCCTATATAATTAATTACCTGTTTTTTTATGTATTATCACATGTTATGATCCAGCTCCAAGGCCACAACAAATACAAGAAACCACGCTACAGGGATTATCAGCCAACAATTTTTATTCTCCAAATTAACCGATTAGACCACCTAAGCCGCCATTGCGCTGGGGAACAGGAGGAAGCCAGAAGTCACGCCCAAACACTCAGAAAGGGGCAGGTTTTAATGCACTCAAGACAGTGGCCAGCTGCGTCTGATCTGCCTGACGGCCTCAGCTTCACTCCACCAGGAAGTTCACCCTGTAACACACACACAGATAGAGACACACCCACAAATACCCTGGCAGTGGCCCTGAGGCCGTCACAACATGTATATATGATTTCCAGACTTATTATTATGAGTTTGAGTTTGCTCTTATTTTGAAGTCAGTTCTTAGACCTCACTACCGTAATCTCTAGTATAGACGCGCACCGCGGTATGACGCTGGCTTGACCACAGTCTCATACCGACCTTGTTGAGAAATCAAGTCTGGTCAGCTTTTCATCGACAGCCATGCTACACAACATACACGTCGATACACAAGACAATGACTGTAGCGAGCTTACCTAAACAAACTTTTTTCTTTTTTTGTATTATTAAGGATAATTCATTGGGCAGATGCAACTGTGCGCATGCGCAGATCTCACCTCTTTCTTATAGCGGGCTTGGTGTGTTCTCGCGAGGCTGGCTCATCAAATACAATACAAAAATAAAATAGTGTGACTAGACGCAACTCACAAATCTGTCCTCTTGAAATGTTTATTAATGTATTGGACATAATAAGCCCGAGATATAGTGATTGAAACGTTTGCTTAGATGACGTGTTGCACCTTTAAGATTCCACCAAATTCCAACGTGTGTGATACTTGCCTCAACACACTGCAACGTCTGAAACACAACGAGATCAAACCGGGCAGATCCGGTCGCTCGGCCTAATTATCCCAAGGTAAGATTACGACATCGAAGTACGCTCCTCTTCAGGCCGGTCCCATCATGTTTAGTACCTATGGATACACCTTAGATTCGGTTTCATGTTTAACATCCTTCATATTTATATTGGAAGTTTGAATTAAGTAGTCAATTGATGTGCCCAACATAAACTCACTTGTATTGAATCAGTACAGAAGATTCAGCTTTATGCCATTTTGTCATGACAGGTCAAGAATTATGTTTGGAGCACCATTCTTTATGATCTTTCTGATCACCATTTTTTTAAATTTAAACCAGGAAAGTCCCATTAAGATTAAAAATCTCTTTTTCATGGGAGGCCTGGTCAAGACAGACAGCAACATAGAAACGCATAGTTACAGACAGAAAACACAGTAATAAAAGAATAGTTTTCACATGGATCACAACCTTTTAAAGTGTTTCAGTCATTTTAATTAAAATCATGCCAAAAAGAAAAAACAACCTTAGAGTTTGTCTAATTACGGCAGCACTAATATTCTTTAGCCTGGAGTGTCCTCTGCTGGTGGGATCACAAATTACAGCAGTTGCCAGAGAGAAATTCCAAGATTACACTTATTATTTGTATGTTTTTACAAGAAAAAATAGAAAAATGACTGAACATACACTGATTTTTCATCCTTGCAGTTTTACAATCTCTTTCAGCCAAAGAAGAATCGAGCACCGTTTAGCAATGCTTTGAAACAGCGAGCGGTTGCAAGCACCTCAAACATCCAGACGAGTGCATCATCGAGTTGTGTCTGAACCAACACTGATGAAGCAGGACTGGAACCACGTGACTAAGCTCACAGACAAGAAGCACGTAATTGGTCTGACTAAATGTAATGCTGTTAAAGGACAGGGGAATAAATATTACAGGACTGCTGATGAGAAATGTCACTGTTGTTGAACACTGGTGTTCGCAGGAAGCTTAAAGATCCCATTCAGACATAATAAATGTATTTTCTCCTTCTCCCTCATTGAAAAATCCACAGTATCTAACACGTATCCCTAATTTATAATCGTTCCACTCTTCGACAAAATGTTACTTCCCTGTAAATTCCACTCCTGGGCGTTCCCTGCAGGGTTCAGGTATCTACAACTCACTCGTGTAAGTTATATGCTGGACAACCAAAGCAGTTGCGATGTCCCAAAATCATGCTTGTTTTAAAGACAGATTACAGATGAACACTGAGAATTCAGCCCTTATGTCAAACCCAGAACATACATAATTCTCCACATTGAAGGTCAAATATCCGAGTGAAGTATAACAATAAATAAAACGTATATTATTTGCCGGTCAGGATGACTATAACCCTATTTAGCGTTTGCTCATCTTGCCGGTTTCATACCGTGCCAGTTTATTTGTGTCTAAACACAACGAAACGAAACAAGAGTTTATACCAGCTTTGTCTCTGCACTCTGAATCATTGGATTGAGTGAATCGTTTCACCCATCCTCTTATTATGGAGTTAGCTGAGTGCTAACTCCACAGCAAGCAGCTATGGAGCTGAGGTTTCGTGGGGTTTGTACACTCGCCAAGTCAATTGTCTGCATAGATTTACTGGCTTGTGTCAGTGTCATTCCTCTCTCGTACGTGCATTACTGAGATACTTTCAGTTAACTCACACAGCTAACAATTCGTAGGGGAGTGACATGAGGGGCTGCGACAGATAAAGCTGCATGTTGTTCATATTGAGTTCATTATGCACCGATATTTTGTAGCTGACAGCCCAGTCAAGAACTTAATTGTGTATTCAATGCAGAGGGAAACAACTTTGAGACTATATAGATTTCACTCAATAAAAAATTGCATTAACATCTATTAGTCGGACACATATCTTGGCCTTCTTGTATTTGAATTTACAATGTTCTAACCAAAAAATGTGAACACCGGCAACGTCCACTACAGTACTACAACAGCAGCCAGTGCAAAACCAAACAATAAAAAACACATGTTTGAGACCGAGCAGCGTGTGAAGAGGGAACATGTAAAATATCAATCTATACCAACCAGAAATCTTCAGGCTCAAAGAGGGTTTCTGTTCAGGGGGCCGTGCTTTATAACAAGCTTCTCCTTGCATTTAATAGATTACTGGCATAGTTAAAGAATAACCAAGTCCCCTGGCTTATTTGTGGTGTAACAGGAAAGTACAGTACTGGCATTTAGGTCCCCTTAAATGAAGTGTTTTGCAGCAAATGTTTTGTTGCACCTTTTGCAACGTGTAAATTGAATGCAGGTCTCGTTGCCACTCTAGATGTCACACATACAGTGTTTGGAAAAAAACGAATTATGATGAATAAATAGTTTCACCCTTTTAGCAAAACAGTCAAAACGACTGTCATGCGCTAACAACGTGTCACACTAATAATAACTACACTGGTGAGAGTGCATTAGATGAATACATACACCTATCATAATAGTATGACAATGCTTTTTATTAATGTGGATTTAATGCAAGGCGTGCGTGCCACCCAATGCGCTAAATATGGCACGCCTCCGCGCGTGCTCGTAGAATCTCATTAATACTGGATTTCTGGAACTAGTTAAATGGATGTGATTTCATTTTTTCCCCCCCTTCCCCATTGTGGTGCATGAATTCATCTTCAACGTGCTCCGGCTGGCGTTTGGAAGTAGTTCCGGTGGCTTCAGAAGGCGAGCGCAGCGCACAGAGCCCGGAGCTTCGTGCCGGCGTTCAGCGCGAAGGCTAAAAATCGCGGGGTCGTTGTCCGCCCGTCGCGACCACGCGAATGACCCGCAGCCTGCGGTCAGTCCGCCCGCTCGCACGGCTCCGCGCGGGCCGCCCCGTGGTGGTGCTGGTGGTGGGTGGGGGGCGGAGGACGGCGTCCGTCCACCGCCGCAGCTTTTGTCCTCGATCGGGGGATTTGTCCAGTTTTGGGGGGAATAAGGCGTGCGTACAACAACAACAACAACAACAACAACAAGAGGCACGCACTCAACAGTGAGCCGGTTTTCACGGTGCAGCCTACGGTGAGTGTTCCGGTGCGGAGTGAGGTCTGACGGTCGGACGGGGAGGTTTGCATGGGGGGGCTGCCGGTCGCCCGTGCACGCGGCGGGCACCGGGTGACCCCACATGTCCGTCAGATGAAGTCAACTTGTTTCTAGAAGTTCGGCTGCAGCGGGAGGCTGCCGGGAGAGAGGGGGACGTTCAGAGGGGGGGGTTGGTTAAAGGACCGGGGGGGGAGCAGGAACCACCTCGGGGAGGGATAAGGTCGCCAACCTCGGCGTTTTGGTGTTGGTGTGAGGCAGAAGCAGAGAGAGCGGGAGACAGTGGGACACTTTACGCGGGCCATCAACTTAGTTTGAAATATTCGACGTGTCTTTGCGCGTGAGCTGCACGCGAGCTGCTGCTTTCTCGATGTTTAGACGCTCACGGTGTTTCCCCCGGTGTGCTTGGATGCGCAGTGGGTCATTCACATCCGTGTGTGCCGCATGTCATGTTTGCTGGTTATCAACCAGCAACGTTGTGTTGACATACATTATCTTACTGTAATTTGCAATAATTGCCCTTGAGTGTCGTTTTTTTTTACAGTGCTTTTATTCGCTGCTAACCAACATAATTGCTGCAGTTATACTTATATACATATTATGGATTTATTATCCAACTGGTGTAGACTTTACACTCACCTCAACATGAACGGTGACCATCTTATACTGTAAATGAGTCATTGTAATTCATCATTCTGCAGTTGGTCAGTCAAGACGATGAGTGTGTGTGTGTGTGTGTGTGTGTGTGTGTGTGTGTGTGTGTGACATACAGTCCAGAGAAGGTTTGAGAGCGCACTGTTCCTGATTTGGATGCGCCTCTTAATTCCCATCAAGATGAGAGCTGTCTGAACAGATTTCTCTCATCATTATTTGCTCTGAGATTTACTTGCGCTTGTAAATGGTGTTGATTGAGGGTAATTTGGCTTTTTAATTGCCAAACAGCTGCCACACTCGCTGCTGATTGCCATTGTAGACTTTCTCCGTAGATCACTCATAGGCCTCTAAATGCCTCATTAAAACGTTGTGAGGAATTGCATGAAACGTGAAGAGAAGGGACCCTCATAATGTTTTACTGATTTCTGTTTTGTCGTCGCAAAGGTTGTTGTTATTTGTCGTCAATGTCAGCAAATGCGATGCTAAGAAAGAGGTGTGTTCGGGAACATTGAATCCCGAGCTATTTGTGGATATTCTAAAAGCATTTGAATTTCTTTGATGAAGATGAACTACTTATGCCAGTGTAACAGGTGTTAGTTAGTAGTACTCAGACCACTTGTACCCTTCCAGAAGACAATATTGCACACATATATTCATTGCATTTTGACTTTCACTTTTTTCACTTAACATAGGCGACGACATAATAACACTTACCACAGAGCGTGTACCTCTCAGAAGACAACATCACTGGACAGCTGGACCTGTATTTGAAAAAAATGACGATTGCCACCAAAATCCCACCAGAGTCGAGTGTAAAAAAGCGCAGCGAACTAGAAATAAAAGAATCTACAAAAGAATTAAAGCTGTCAAAATGACCAAAAAGGAGTAAACTAACCTAATAATACAGGCAATATGTATTAAAGATGACAACCCAATGAATGTACAGAAACCCCAGTCATGCCGGTATGTCAATCATCATCGCTGTCAAGATTTCATGTTGTGTTCCTGTATGTTCCTTGTAATATATGATAGACACACATGCGTACAAAACACATTCTGGTGTTTGTTGTTTTGGAGTTTATCCTATCAAAAAACTCTTTGTGTTTATTTGTATTTATTTGCAGATGAACGACTTGGACATGCTCTGCGGAAAATGTTTGTCTGACTCCTTTTCTCCCCGTGAGGAGTCTCTGGGCACCTCTTCACACTGCTGAGTCTGTGTTTGACCGTGGAAACAGAGAAACGACTGTTCACTTAAGGACTTGCTAAGTGAGATTATGCGTTTAGCAAACCGTAACGCTCCCTCTTCCATCGCATGGATTGATGCCTGCAAGGATCTTGGTTTTTTCCAACAGTTTACCATAAATGCTGTCGACAAAGTGCCATGCAGGAAGGTGGCTCGGCCACAGCTAATGAGAGAGATGAGGAACAGGTCGCATTTTCTTTATCTCAAAGCCCTCTCATTTTCCTCTCGGGTCAACGGGTCATTTTAATTACCTCTGGGGTCACACCAGTAATTCAGCTGTTTGAATCCTCATTTAGACAAAGCGGAGGTTGAAATGACCAGATAACTAGCAGACCACTGCACGTGAGGCGATGAGGAAACTTGTCCCTAAGTTGTTGATGCACCTTTTATACTATAGTACCTCAGCCAACGGTTCTATCTGCAGGCTGGGAAAGCAGAAGAGGAAAAACGGACAACGCATTACAACAGACTTACTTTCCTTCAAGTCCCTTTAAGTTCTCTGTGCTCTCAGTCAGTGTGATTTTTCTCTTGTCCACAAGTAAAGTACACATCATTTTGATTCAAATGTAGCAGATCCTTTTATCTTGTCAAAATCCTCCTTTGATTCTGTTTGGAAAGCATTAGCTGTGATTTGAAAGGGAAAGATGTAAAAGATAAGATGGGGGGGGGGTGATCACTTTTAGAGGGCTGTCATTTGGAGTGAACTCAGCAGCGGTGCTGCCAGCAACAAGAGCTCAGTGCCGAGCTTCCTTTGTGAACCTGATGTAAATCCCGTGTCTTACACAAGCTGAGAGTGTTGCTGCACTCTCCTGGTAACGTTTTAATGAGTAACAATTGTTAGCCAATTTGCATGTAAAACAATGTAATTATAAACAAGCATCAAAAAGGCTGTGATACTTCTAAAAAATGTAAATTACTCTCCATTATAAAGCGCAACAAAACCTAAGCCATGCCTCTGAGCCAGGGCCTCTAGGTTTTGGATGCTCGCTTCCATTATTAATGCTATTCCTAAGCCAAACTTTTTAGGTTGGGCGCTTTAATCTATTTTTGCTGTAAATTAATGAATTTTTAAAGAGGACTAGTCCTCGCTGAATAGGGCTTGATGTGAAAATGTAGAGTCGTGGCGATGCAGTGCTATAGCCTCCTTTCACTGTGCAAAGCATGAGTTCACAAACAGCATCCCGTCCCCCTCCTGGGACCGTTCGTTTGGGGAGTTTGCCGAAATGCTGCACTCCTATGTTTTATTTATGACAAAATATGCCTTTTTAACTTTGCCGTTGTCAGAATCTGGAATTGTGATAGCTTTTTCCTCGTCGGCAGCGGTAAGTCTTCGGGGTCGCTAACTCCCTTTACCTTTTGCAGATGTTTTCGGGTGTTATGTTCTGTGTGGGCTTAGTGACTTCAATATATTACCCGAGGCCTTCGGGAAATTCAGTGGAACCTTCTGACGGTCTTTGCCTTCTTTCACAACCTTTTGCAGAAAAATCGTGTTCATTAGTGGGTTGTGTTTCCTACGAGATGCCGCTTGATGGACATGCGCCAGCCATCAGAGACCGTTGACCAATGTGTTCTGATCAAGTATCGTCCTTTCTCTGAATGAAGCCTTCCCCTGTTATTTTACCTCTAAAGCAAAAGTTTGCCTGACCACTCGGGAGAGGGGGCCACAAAGCTGGACCCGAGTTTGAAACGGTGCATTCCATCCGCAGGTCTCCTTTGAGAGGAAGTAGACGGTAATGATAATTTCTTAACCCGGCTCCATTGAAGGATGAGCAAGCAGCCACCATAAGGACAGCTGATTTGCCTTGATATCTTATAATTGAACCTTTTCAGCAGTACGTTTTCTGGCGCCGAAGCAGAAAGTAATTAACACGTTCAATACTGCTTTTTGGGCCCTTTTTTCCCGTTTGAATGCCCCCCCCCCCCCCCCCCCCTTTTAACAACAGACAGGTTTACAGTTTTTATTTGGACAATATAGCTTTTCCCCTAGGCAGAGGATGTCTTTCCCAACACCCCCCCCCCCCCCCCCCCTTGCTTTGCGCACTCCGGGTGGGTATTTTGTCATTACTTCATTTTCCTCTGAAAATATTTTGATGCCTCTTTCTTTTTGCTCCCCCCCTCCCAACCCCCCTTTCTCTCACCCATCCCCCGTCACTCTATTCAAAGTTCTCTATTAAAATGCGGAACTGTAAAGCCTCTCTCCGTCTAAAAGCCTGCTAGCAGCGGGGGACTGTTAGCTGTTAGTGCTGCATACAGCTGAGTGAGTGCATCACAGCTACAAAGTCTAATGGGTGAATGCATTCAATCACACACAGACCCTCGACTCTTTTAAAGGGACATTGTTCCCAGTCATGAAAGGCCCATCCACAGCGCACAGAGTGATGTATTTAAATTTTTTCCGAGGTGAAAGATTTCTTGTTCATAAACATCCAAATCCTTGCTCTCCTTTTTATGTAAATACTTGTAATCTTTTCTGGAAGTGCCAAGTAATAGATCACCACTTCCAGGTTGCCAAAGAAATGTCGGGTGAGAAATTAAAATCTGAGATGCCACATAGTCTCTGCCTTCTAATGTTAGCCAGATGTCTATCGCTGAAATTCTGTGTTCCCATGCACATTCCTACTACAATAAATATTGCATCTCACACGCTGCTTCTGTATGATCAGCTGCCAGGACATCGCTTCCTCACTACCTTTTCATTTTCTCTTCAACCACAGCTCTTTGAAATCTACCTGAGTTTCTGATGCGTTCTGATCGATCATTAAGAGCCCTTAATTATTGTTTCACGATTAGTTCTCTCCTGCCCTCCAGCAAAGAGAATCTCTTTCATCTCTGTCTTAAATTTACTTCAAATTCCTCTGTGGAGTTTCTTATTCGAAACATGCAGTTAATCTAATATTTCTGAATGACATGGTATAGTGTTTGAAGGGACATCTGCATTTAAAACACAGTCAAATAACACCACAAGCACATGATCATTTAAAGATGATGTCATCATCTCTGTATGTAATGCATGTGTAGTATTCTGTTGGATTGTATAGAAGTTGTTCCCGGTCTAAACATTTGTCCCCAAAAAGCGCGAGGCTTCCTGGAGAAACGCATCGCATTGCATGCAAAGATGCTAAGCTAGGAGCGCCGTACAGTGTGCAGTGCTCCCATGAGGCCGCGTGGAAAACAAAAGGCGCGGGTGCTGAGGTTAACCCGGTCTCTGTGGGACCAGTTGACTCTGAGCTGACTTGGTAATTGGCCGCGTCTACCCGCCCGGCAGGGCCCCTCTCCCCAGGAGCCTCTTCCCTCTTCCCTCCCGCCGCCCTCCTCTCACTGCTCATCACCCCGAAGCCTCACCGGGCTAGCGGTGCGGAGCTACGCCGCGCAGCCAGCCCACACTCGCAGACTCCTCCACAACAACAACAGCAGGTCAGGGCCTGTGGCGGGCTGATTTGCAACTTGAGCCTCCTTTTAATGAGGGGAAAATAAGTAGTGGTGTTATGTGTCTTGCGTGTCACCTCCACCCCCATCCCCACCTACTCGCCACCGCTACAACTAGCAACGCTACCTTCCCTTTAGCGAGAAGAAGAAGTAGAAAAAAGAAAAGTGCACTAATTAAGATGGCTTCTTGGGATTTGGAAGAGGAGGGCTGGGGTGGGGGGCTTTAGGAAGCGATTGGGGGTGGGGGGGGTGGTGTCGTCAAAGAGGCCTCATCGGGGCATCTTCCCTCCGTTCCTCTTTCCTTCCCGAAGTCCCACCGTCTGGCTTGTTTTGGCTTGACGAGTCTGCGGCTAAACATTTGTTTTTTTCTACTTGCAATTAAGCAAGCTTTTTTTTTTTTTTGCGGCAGCCGAGCACTTCCCTTCCTCTCCTTCATCCTGGTGTACTGGGCTCTCCAGGGGGATCGGTGGAAAGAGAGATAGGGGTTTGTGTTGCTGGTAGGCAAGCTCCTTGATTGCATACAGGCGAGCATGAATGAAAAGTGCGTGGGCCAATCGTCGCTTTGTTGTTCAAGGACACGCGAAGGTTACTGCCTGGGATTGCGGATGACGGTTCTGATGTAGTTTTCTGTGTCCTAAGGAGGATGAATCCATCCATTCGGTTACTATTCAATGGCTGACTATTCGCAGACTGCATCCATCTCTTTCTTAAAACTCACAGGGTGACCTGCGTAGATGCAGGATGTGTATCACCTAAAAACACCTTTTGTTTTTTTTGATTTCCCCCCGTAGAATCAGAGTGTGTTCGGAATGCAGCATCTTTGCTCCAGCGATGAGTAACAGCTACGTGACATTCTGGGTCCAGCAGTGACACATCCACGGATGTGCTGTGACTGACGGCAGCGCATAACATTGGTGAGTAATTACACTTTAATGTCAATGTCTAACGGTCGTCTTTTTGCATACGAGGACTTTGACATGGCGGTTGGTGCATGCTAAAAGGAAGCCCCCCCACCCCACCCCCCCCGCCCCCCGGCCCAAAAAACTTCTCTGCTAACAAAGGACACATTTTTAAGTTCAGCGCTGCTCTAAAAATAGCTTCCAAATTAAAATGTTGGGACTTTTTGAGCTCTTTTATTGTTTGTGTCTGTCTGAGCAGCATCTGAGCCGCTGGGGGAGTAGTGTGTGTGGGGCCGGGGGGAGTTGACAGGAGAGTGAGGCACGTCGGGAGTCGGAGAATGGGAACGCGGTGCGCGTGGGGGCTACACGAGAGGGAAAGGGGACGAGCCTTTCGGCTCCTCTAGAGGGTTGGAATTCCTCCCGAGCTGTTCCCCCCCCCCCATTTGGCAGACACTTGTGAAAACAATTCCCCAGCTTTTAGTCACTGCAGATCCAATTGCCATTTCAACTTTGGAGCGAACGAGACCGAGAGGCAATCCAGATAGAAAGAGCACAGAGAGAGAATAAGACAAGAGTTTTAATCGGACTGGACAGATGCCGAGGCCATTCGAGCTGTTGTGCCATATTAATATCTTATGAAGGCTGTCTGGCGGTGTGCGCTCACCGTCTTGTGTGGTTCTTGTGTGGTTCTTGTGTTTGTGCGTCGCAGCAGCGGCCATTGCCGCGGCTAAATGAAGGACTCGTGAGGATGCACGAGGGAAGGACGCTACCTCTCACTTCGGTGACTTCCCCAAATGCTTTGGCCCAAAGAAAGATGGAAAGAGTGAGAAGAGTAAGACCCTTAACTCATACCTACCCTCCCGCACTGCTTTGCTTCACGCTGTGTAATTAATAGAATACAACCGTGGCATTAAAGTTCCTCTTATCCACAGCGCGCATTGCAGATTCATGTGCAAAGAGCAAGCGATGATCATGCCAAAACATTTGGTTTTCCATTATACAAAGGAGCAGTGCATGTGGAAAATAATGTGCACGTTTCGCATCGGCCCGTCGCTGCCAAAGAGTGCTTTCTGCTCCATCTGAAGGGGAAGAACAGTCGTAGTAAACAAACTCCATGCTCTTTCAGACCTGAGCCATCGCGAGCACATCGCCCGTCCAGTGAGCCACCGGGAGGCCCTCCACACGCCACGTCGCTGAGCCTCCCCCCCCCCCACCTCCTCCCTCGACCTACGTGAGCCATGACCTCTGAGCTGGAGAGCAGCCTGACCTCAATGGACTGGCTCCCCCAGCTCAGCATGAGGGCGGCCGTCCAAAAGTCCGACGCGGGCCACCACCACCACCACCACCACAGTCATTACCATGGACAGCATCACGGCCTCCATCACGGGCTCCATCACGGGCACGCGGCTGGCAAGAAAGTCGTCCACCTGGACCCGGGAACCACGCTGGACCAGGAGGAGGCGGCGCAGCACAGAGACGGTAAACCGCCCTACAGCTACGCCAGCCTGATCACCTTTGCGATCAACGGCTCGCTGCGCAAACGGATGACGCTCAGCGAGATCTACCAGTGGATCTGCGACAACTTCCCCTACTACCGAGAGGCGGGCAGCGGCTGGAAGGTAAGACCGGACGAGAGGGGGAAGCTTGTACAATATGAAACAATATGTCGTCGAGCTTTGTAGGGGTCAGCTTGTATATCTGGTCTCAGGTCTTTGTGTTGACGTGTTCGAGTGCGCTCATAATAACCACATTCACATATTAACGGATGTTAGAAGAATATGTAAAACTTTTTATGCTTTTAAATTAAAATTTATTTGGGGAATTTGATAAACAGATATTATACTAGTCTTTTTTGTAATATTTAGGTCATATTTTATAGTCATTATTATTTAAAAAAAAAACATCTCCTCTAGAGTTTGTTTTCTTTTAAAATGATGAATTCGTCTATGTATTTTTTTGTTAGGATTTGATGGTGTCGGATTGCGTTCCAAATGCCAGTCTTACTAAAAATGATAATTTAAACTTTATAACCACGTAATTCTAAATTAGGACCTTTCATTTCGGGCGAAGGACGACTTTTGTTTGGGTCATTGTGCTCATCTTATTTTGATGTCATAGCTGCTCAACGTGCGCCTACCTTCCCCTGCCACAAAATATGATTACAGATCTCAATTTCAAGTTAAGTTATTTATAACTTCCAAGCGTTGAAAGATAAACCTCGACTGTGATTCAACAAGCAGCATTCTGCTACTGAACTGATCAAATGCTATCAAAGCCCAACCCTATTACTAGTGCTCAAAGTGCACTAATCTGATCCAGCGGTTGCCTGGAAGAGCACTGGAACCTTTTAGTGAACCAGGAATGATTGACGGATGCATTTTGTCTCATTCCGGCAACATTATTAAATCCTTATGTAAATGTGGCTATGCAAATCCTGCTTAGTATGAACAGAAGGGTGGCAGTGTTATTGGAGAGAAATGAGTCGGTGCCTACGGTTGTGTCTTGGGGATTCTCTACCTTATTATTGAAAAAGGGGAAGAGTATAGTCCTTCCTCTGACATACTGTAAAGGCTGTCTGCAAACTATCAGCCAATTCATCTCTGAGAACCACACGATTTTTCTTCTCCTCTCATTATTTCTCTCTCTTTCACTTTCCATCTTCATCTCCCGTGCAGCCCCCCCCCCCTCCACCCTCCTCCACCCCCCTTCTCCTCTCTTAGTCACTCACTCCTCTCTTCTCGTCTTCTTTCCCTTTTGCAAACCTGTGTGTTTGTTCCCCGTCTATAATCTTGAGCACACCATTCCCTGAGCAGAGACGCATGCCAGAAACGGAGACAAAAAGGTTACGATACGAGCCAGGTTGTGTTGGCAGAGCTTTTTTCACCTGCATGCAGGATTCAATCAATGCAATTTCTCTTGCGGAGAGCGAGGAGATGCGTTATTGAGACCATTCAGGAGATCTCTGGCTGTGGTTGTACTCCGGCGCCGGGGGGGTTTCAGTATCCTATGATTACACCTTTTAGATTGATCGATTAGTGTGCATGTGTGGCTGCATCCGAGTAGCTTCATTAGAGCACTGTCCTGATGGCGTTGCCTCCACACGTTCTGGCATTTACCCGCCAGGTTTGATGCGACATACGTAAGCCAAACTTGTGCTGCTTTCCTGTTAAGCTGGATACATTAAAACCACGCACAATAACATTCTGTACTTTACGTGCGTTTTACAGTAAGGAACTCAGTTCGTCCCTTCTTGCCGTCTTTTGTTACTGGGGCGACGTAAAACAGCCTCCAATCTCACAGCGACTTTTGCACGTCCGGATATTGAAGTCTGTAGAGTATCACATTATTAAGTACTTCGGGGTAAAGCAAAAGTCCCATTTCTGTGTTAGAATCAGCCGTAAAAGGTCTGCTTCCCGGACTCGACCCGACTCGGAAAACAGCTCGTTCCGTAGCAGCGGCGGCCGTCGCAGGGAAGGTTACGTAAGTCCGGTTCATTCCAGTTCAGGTGATTGCTGTCAGCTGCACACAGTGGGACACAGAGATTGTCTGGCTGCCACGCTCGGCAGACGTGGCCGGCTCACACGTTGCAAGTACGCACTTGGAAATGAGTGTTTTTTTGAATGTACCGACTCGGAGCGAAGACGGCAGCCTTCAGAAAACGCCTCATACGTGCTGTTGTGTTTGCCTTCGCTCTCTGCCACACGTGCGTGCAGACACACACACAGACTCCCACTCAGGTAGGCAGTGTACGTGTGCAGTCTGCAGAGCGCAGCAGGAGAGGAGATGAGGGGTTGGGGGGACGGGGGGGAAGGGGGGTTGGAGAAGGGAGACTGCCAGGGAGCAGAGGAGAGTTTTACTACCCAGCACACGCACTCCGTCTGCTCTGTATGATAATGTGAGAGGAGCGCAGGAACGGCAGAGTTGAAACCAGGACACACACACACACGTCAGCTTCCATCCTTAGAAATCACACAATTAGGTGCACTGGTTGAACACCACAGGCTTTCCGATGCTTCCCAAGGTCGTGAGATGTTTGTGTGTTAGCTGGAAAATGAGTATAGGGATCTCTTTGTGTCTGAGGAGTAATGATGAGCACCTTTCTCCAGAGCTATGGAGGAGAATTAGAATCTATAACATTAAAAAAAGGAAATTAAATAACGCGCAAATGGGTTGGCCATTAGTTCGTGGAGCTCGTTGATGCACCCAAAAGCATCTCCGTGGAGCGAATGGAGCAGAATGCAAGCAGCGTTGCATCAGGCTGCATCATTCCCGCATTACATTTTATCACTGGAACGGCATTATGTCCCTGGTGTTATCTTCCCCAACCTCTCCCGCTCTGTGTGTGTGTGTGTGTGTGTCCTACACTGCATTCCCATGCTCTCTGCAGCCCCCCTCGCAGCTCTTTCACACCCACGTGTGCGCCTCCACTTTAGGGTCCACTTTTAACACAACTCTTAATGAGCACGCAGCGGTTGATCAAAGCCAGAGAGGGGTTCAAAATCTTCTGCTTTTGTCTCTCACTCACCAGTTTGTCTGAAATTAAATCGATTTTAGGTGTTTTGAGTGCAATCACAAAATCTAAAACTGACCTTCACCACCTGCCCCACAGTATTCTCTGTTTTACGTTTTGCTTTAATTTGCTTTCCCTTTTATGCTGTTATTTTTCACAATTTGTTTGACATTTTAAAGATAAATTGACTAAATGAAAAACTTTAGAAGGTGAATCAGTATTCAATGCTGCTCTACTCTATTCAGGCTGAATATAATGATGGCAGATATTGGTTATTCAAAGCTTACCTCACAGTTATATTATTATTTAAATGCGAAAGCCTTCCCATTATTTGCCGCTTGAGAAAGTCTAGAACTGTACCTTCACGGAATGGTTTGTTGCAGTCGGGCGCAGCTCCCCGGCGACCCCCATCGCCTCCAGCTATCTCTCATGCAGCCAGGCTAATTGCCTGCGAATTAGCAAGGCCTAATGTGACGCTGTAAAGGGCAACGCTGCCGCAGTGGCCTTTTGGCCTTTTGGCTGAACGTCACAGACAATCACCTGATGTGAATCAGCACCGGGCCATTATTCTGCCTCCCGTCCTCTCCGGGCCGAGCTCGGCGGAGGTCCGCGCACGGTTGTCTAGTGTACTTGTGTACGTGGAAAAAGGCCTTTGTCATTTGCTGCTGGGGGTCGTGTAGGTGCACCGCGGCTCGCCACCTCGCGTCCAACTGAAACTGCGTGCTTGTTGCGAGTCAGCGTTGAGACGGTCTGTGGAATCTACACAACATGACGCGCAATGTACGTCTGCTGAGATGATTGCGTTTGTGTGTGTGTGTACAGCTGCTTACTTTTGACTGCAAAGGTGATTTCAGGAAGAGGAGAAGGCCACAGCTTTCCGTTTGTTTTATTAGTGTCTGTGTTGTGCGGCTCCACACTTGGTAGCGCATACATGTACCCCAGCGTCACGTTAGACCAATCTGCTGCCCAGACGCGTGTCTCCAGTCTCCTGCCCGACACTGTAATGCATTAAAATATACACTCTAGATGATGGCATTCAAATTAAGCGTTGACTCTGACATAGTTTTTTTGTATTATTTCAAAACAAAGCCCCCCCGTGGCTTCTCATCACATTTCTGAAAATAGGTTGATGATAAAAAATGCTGACATGTATACATACATGTTAATACATATATATATATTTTGTCGAACCCAGCAGTGTAACACACTGCTCGTGCTGTTAATTACATACCCGTCCCTGATAGCAGTCTCAGTAGTAAATCCTAAATTAAAAACTAAGAATTTCCCTTGCGACCCCCTGGAGGATTTGGCGGCCATCCAGCAGTGCGTTTCCCTCTCTAAGCAGCCGGGCCCGTGGCACTCTGCATATGGCTAATAACAGGCCCACGGCTGGTTTCCCCAGCACTCTGGAATGCAACAATTATACTACAGAAGGAGCTTATTCTCTAGTCACTGAGTTTGTTCCCTGCAAAGAGACGTGGGCCCATCTTTAGTCAGACCAAAGGACCTCACAGAACGCCTGACTCTTTTCAGGGAATGTCAGTTGCGATCGGTCGATTCAAATTTTCTAGCTTTGTCAGAAATGTAAAGACGATGGAATTATTGAACATATGCTGAATATATATTTTGAGAGAACAAAAGCAAGTGATATGAAGTAACAAAATTCTTACTGTTTTAGCTTGTTTGTGCTCTTGACACCGCCGCTGCAATCAAACATGCACAGTATTTATGTCTGTACACTGTAAACGCCTACTTATTGTAAATCTTTTCTATGCCGTTAAAAAAAAAAAAAAACACGCCTCCAAACTTGCACTCTCAGGTCGTTTTGGTACGCTGTGAAAGCAGCTAGAACTCCTCTTCTTCGTCACCTTTGTGTTGCCAAAGACGTGCGTCACAGCTGACAAGGGTTCAGATACTTTGCTGAATCTGTAATAAATAAACCTCCAAACTTCCCAATTTGTTCACAGTTTTTGGTTTCTACGAGAGGAAAAGCAGGCTGTCAAACATTGGTAGATCTGCAGGGTACAAGCGGGACACTTCTTCACGTCCTCCTTCCTGAGGTTGTGTCGAGCTGCACCGCGCCGCTTGCCTCGACTCAACCAGCAAGAG